GGTCAGTTCCAGGTCTTCAGTGCCCCTCACACTCAGTGCAGGGAGAGCCTCGTCCGTATTCCAAGGCCTCAAGGAGGGCACTCATTGTTCCACTCATTCCTTCCTTCAATGACGCAGCAAACAAGGAGCACGTGAGGCACCAGGCCCTGTCATTCATGGTGAGGACCCAGAGACTGAAAACATTGCCCTTGCTCCTCCAAGGGTCTTAGTCCCATAGGGGACAAACCCGTGAGCCACAGCATTTCCACAGAGCAGCAGAAGCCCAAGGCGAGCACTCGGGGAGCAGGGAGTAGGCGCCACCCGCCCTGGGGAGTCAGGAGGGACTTCCTGGAGGAGGTGGGCGAGGAGGGGTTTGCTGGAAGAAGCTGGAGCGGTTCTAGCGCCAAGGGAGGAATGGGAACAAAGATCTAGGTGGGTCAGGCGTGTCGGGTGCTTGGTGAGGCTTCAGGCTGATGTCACACAGAAGGTGCGTGCTCACCCACCAGGGAACACTTCGGAAGTGCAGGTTCCTGCTATCGCAAGGAGTGGGGCTCAGCCGCCGTCACATGCGGAAGGCCTGTGACACACAGCATGTCCAGCCGTGACTTCAGTGAGTGCTCACGACCACTCTTCCGTTGTCTAATTCTAATACAGGTTTGGCCAGGACAGGCCCACGGAGCACCAGGGCACAACGCGGGCCCTAGCACATAGCACAGTCAGTATGGGGAGCGAGGGGCCAACGGGGGCCAGGGACAAGAGCAATCATTTATTTGCCTCCTTATTTACCACTTCATACTAAAAGTGAGTTTAGCAAGGGAGCACCCAGATTTGAACCGGGACCTCTTGACCTGCAGTCAAATGCTCTACCCCTGAGCTGTGCCCTTATACCTCTTGAGTGGTGCCCCTGGCTGCTCTTTGTGGACTTTCACAGCCCAGCTCTGGGCAGCAGGCGGCCTGCCCTGTGACACCCCGACTCCCACTGCCCTCACTCACTGACTCACTCACGGAGGGACACCCCATCTACACCTTTCCTAGAATTCCGGCAGGAGAGGCCCCGAGGGAAGCACCCAGTAAATAAAGTGGTCTGGCTCCACGCTGTCCGGTGACATGCCGCGGGGGACCAGGCCAGGCCGAGGGCTCCCATCCTGCGGCCCTCGCAGGGCAAGAAGTAGAATCCAGGGAAGACAGGAGGGGCCCACAGTCCAGCCACATCATTTGACAGATGGGGAAATGGGCGCCCGGAAGTAGAGGTTACCTGCGCCAACGTGAATTACAGCCATTTCGGTTAAACGGGGGAGCCAGCTGTGGGTGTGGTTGCCGTCCACACTGCGGCATGGGCCTCCCTCAGCGCCCCCGCCCTGCAGCACACTGGGGACCCCTTCTGGAAGAGGGGCCAATGCAGGGCCAATGCAAAGGCATCTCTACCACGTTCGCTTCACCTAAAAGGTGGGTACCAGAGGCTAAGAGGGTCCAAGGCCAGGGCTCGTGAGCCCTCGTCCCCCCTCCTAAGTACACACACATCTTCTGTGACTTTCCCTACCGAGCCAGTCTTTCCCCTCAGAGGTCGTTCTAGAACAATGGGCACAACCAACCTCGCCCCACCTGCCACAGACGTTTTTGCCATCACTTTTCTTCCGACGTTTCTCAAGCCCTTTCAAGCCAGCTGGTTCTGGCTTCAGAAGCCAAGAGGCCAGGCTTTGGCAGCCACGGGCCCTCCCTCCACCGAGTCCAAGGCCCCTGCTGAGTGCAAGCAGGACCCTCCATCGACGCGCAGGCCCTACACTTTGGGGGCCCCCTGCGCCGCCGGGGACAGCCCAGCAGGACCTAGAAGTTCCTGTCCCGCAGCAGGTTCTCCAGGCGCCTCCGCAGCAGCCCGTACTCCCGCAGCAGGGTCCCCAGCACGGCCCACTTGCTCTCCATGTGGTTCCTGAACTCCAAGGCTGTCACCTTTTTTTTCTTATTTTTTATTGAATTTCTTGGGGTGACATTGGTTAATAAAATTAGGTCAGTTACAGGCACACAATTCTATTCAAGGCGGTTTTCTTGAAGTCGGCCAGCTTCTCTGCTGTCCCTGTCCCTCCCGCTGAGTCCGTCGGTCAAACAGCCTGGGAATAATATCCCTCCTCCCCAGGGTCTGATAGCGGCCACGGCAGCAGCAAGGGAGGTCTCTGCGGATTGGATGTGAGCCTCCCTATGTGCCACTCCTGTGACCAGACACAAGGAGGGGAGTCAGCCACCGGGAGAGGGGCCCCCTGAGCTATTCCCAGCTACAGGAAGATCGGGAGGCCCTGGAATAGGGGAAACTTCTTCCAGGAGCCCAAAGGCCTCACTGGTCAGACTCCCACATAGACCCTGCCTGCAAGACAGTCAAGGACGGCAGATGCTGGGCCCCATGGGGGCAAATCTTGAACCAAGACCCAGGGCAATGGAAGATGAACCAGCTCGGCACTGCCAGCATAAATGAGCAGAGCGTAAAGCATCTGAATCCCAGCTCCACCACGCACAGCGATGTGAGCTTAGTTAATTGCTTCACCAAGCACTTCACCCAGGAACACAGCCCAGCAGGAGACAGGAAGTGAGAGAGAAAGCCGGGCCCGGCGCACCCCCAGGCTGCTGTTCGGTCAGTGAGGCCTCTAGAGCAACCCCCTCCCCCGTCCCGTGTGCTCTCCGGGTGCGCAGCCCACCCGGAGGCTGTCCCGCGTGGCCGCCGTCTGCCGGAGAGCAGGAAACAGGTCAGGTGCACACACGCGTGGAGTCCAACGTATTTATTGAGCCCCGCCTGGGGCAAGGAACCACCGCCACCAGTTCTTAAGGGACTTCAGCACCAGGACCCTGCCTTTCTTTGTTTTACAAACGAAGCAGCCAGGACCCCGAGGGGGCAGTGAGCAAGGCCCCAGCGGGCCCCTGCCTCCCAGGTCCCCGAGGTCTGCTCTGCTCCCGTGCCTCGCAGGCTCTCTTGACTCATTTCGGAGACAAGAACTTTCTGTGAACACTTACTGGGCGTCAGAACTCAGAAGGCCTCGCCAGGGGCCCGGCAGGCGTAAGGCTATGGGAAGAGAAAGGGGCGGGGCCGGGGCTCGGCTCAGGATCCTCGGTCTGGCTCCGCGGAGCGAGCGCCGAGGGGACCGGGGCCCAGCCGGGCCCAAGGCTCGGCCGGGGCGCCCCGAGGAGACCGAGACCAGCCCTCGTCGCCGAGGGTGAAGATCAGGGCAGCTGCACTTGCACCACCATATCCTGTGTGAGCACCTGCCGACAGCCAGCCTGGCGCGTGGGGCGCCTGGCCCCGGCTGGGGTGCCCGAGAAGACAAGCTGGGTCCCCGGCAGGGAAGGCGGGCACCTCCCCTTCCCAAGCCCGGGAGAGCCTGGCTGCGCCATCACAGACTTGTACACTCACTCGTGCCCCCGGGACGATGGTGGCGTTACCATTTGCCCCCAGCTGTGTTCATGACTCTGGGACGGTGTGAGAGGTGGGGGCGAGGAACAGCAAGTGGCGCAGCCGGGCCCCAGCACCTGCATGCCGTCCACTTCACACGGTGCCGCCAGACAATCCGATCAGCTGGGAAACCGCCCCCCCGCCCCCCAGCTCCACACTCACCCTGAGGCTGCTCTGCAGGCAGCGCCCAGAGCCGTGCGACCCAGGAGGCCAAGGCGCTGGCGGCCGGCGGGACTTCCCCACGAGGCCGGCTGCCGCTGCCGCCGCCTCAACCGCCCGCTTGACCCTCGTTGCTTTGGTAAGACTTTGTTTCACTGAAGTATTATGAGGCCCAATGGAAGAGCTCCCTCCCTCTGTATCCACGGGACCTTCACCTACTCCACAAAATCAAGGTCCTTCCCGGCGGATTTGGAGGGAATGGGCTGCACATCAACAGGGAAGACGGTGCGGCCCCAAACCTGAAAGGGGGGCAGCAGGCTTCCTGTTTGTCCGGTTGCCTCTTAATCTGTTGTGACCGTGACAGCCCCGAGGTGAAGCGGGAAGCCCTGGGGTCACTACCTGCTTGGACGAACAAGGAGCGCGAGGCTGTGGGTGGTTAGACTTACCCAGATCCCGGCTCTAACTCTGCTGGAGGCCCAAGTTCTGGGAGACAGGCCCCTCCTCCAATGTGACAAACCATCCAGCCGGCTGACCAGCCTCACCGAAGCCAGGGTCTTCCTCTGAGGAGAAGCTTCCTGAGGCATGCCCCTCGTGGTGGCACACGGGCATGGGGCATGCACACCCTCGAACACTAAGCACGTGGGGCATGTCATCTACTCTCAGCTTCGGGTTCCCCTTCTCTACTGATAACCAAAGCCAATCAATGCCCATCGCAGGAAGGACCAGGAACGCGGCCTCCGCGGGGCCAAGGCGCACACACCCGGGAGGACACCCGGTTTCCCGGGCAGCAGCTGAGGCATCCCCATCGATGCCCAGGCTGGTCTCAGCGGCCACATGACTGTCCCCGCAAGCAAGCAGGTGGCGGAATAATCCTGCCCCTTGGGAGTTGTGGTCCCCTTTGCAACCACCCACATTTACAAAAGCACCAGAAAAGCTCCAAAAGGAGAAAAAAAAGGTTTCAAAATAATGAAGAAAAAAAAAAGTCCAGTCTCCAGTGCCTGTTCTTCAGGCTGTCTGTTCACGTGGCGGTTTCTCACGTTGCTGCAAGCCCAGGCCTCTGTGCGCAGAATCAGCAGCCGGGGCCCGTTCCGCTGTTCCTGCTGGGAGACCCCCAGTCCTGGCCCAGTTCCAGTCCACGGAACTCGGCAAAGCCCCCAACCAAAACCTGGCATCCCTACGCCTTAAGGGATCCTTGATAAGTCAGGAATGTAGAAAAGGCAGCAAAGAGTGACAAACTTAGGACACAGGAAATGGAGGCCACTGTCACACTCATACACTGTCACCAAAAAGGCTGCTGCTTCCCGTTTGAATGAAAAGAAAACAAAGTCTCTCCAACGCCACCCGAGGATGAGGAACCAGCACCAGGCACGAGGGGAAGGGCCCCGCAGGCGGGCAGCAGGCCCTGCTGCTGCCCGGGGCTCCCACCCGGTCAGCCCTCCTCGGGGCGGCTGGGCCGGGGCCGGGGCCTGGGTGGGCCACCTAGGCGGGCGGAGGCCGCAGGAAGGTGCGGGCCAGCCTGGCTGCGGGCGTGGGTCTGCATGTGGATGGCCAGGTGGTGGTTCCGGTTGAAGGCCCGGCCACACTGGGGGCACTGGTAGGGCCGCTCGCCCGTGTGGATGCGCTGGTGGCGGAAGAGGTCCGAGGGCCTGCGGAAGGCCTTGCCGCAGTAGGGGCAGGCTGGCCAGCCCTGGCTGTTGCCGGTGTGCAGGCGCTGGTGCAGCAGCAGGCTCTTGCGCCGCTGGAAGAAGCGCAGGCACTCGCTGCAGTGGTACACCTTGCTGGCCGCCGGCCTCCGCCCTGCGAAGGGCCGGCCAGCCAGGGAGCGGTGGCCCTCGGGCTCCTCGGGGAGCCAGCGGATGACAGGCCCCGGCACCACCACCTCCCCTGGCTCCAGAGTAGAGGGGGCCTCGCCCCAGCCAGTGGATGCGCCGCCCCGGGCCTCCCGCGCCTCCCCCTCCACGTGGGTCCGCTGGTGGATGGTCAGGTTGATCTTCAAGCGGAAGCTCTGCCCGCAGTCTGGGCAGGGGAAGGCCCGCTCCCGCCGGCGGCGAGGGAGGACGCGGGGAGCCTCCCCTGCCGCCCCTGCCGGCCGTGGCCGCGGGTCCCCTGCCCGCACCCTCGTCACTGCCTCGGCGTGAAGCTGGCGGGGACTTCCGGTCCTGCTGTTGGGCCCCTCGGGGACCGAACTCTGGATCTGGCCGGGGGGCTGCCCCAGGAAGAGCTGCTCCGGCATCATCTCGTCCTCAGACTGCGCTTCTGTCTTGATGACCACACCAGCAGCACCGCCTGTGGGAAGGGACCTCTGCTCATTTCCTGTGGGCCGCCACCCGCTGGCCCTGCCTGGGCTGGACCCTCCAGGCATGGCCCCAGCCTCCAGGCATGGGCACCGCCCCACTGGGCCTGCGCCGCACCCTTCCCCGGGCAGTGCGCACCGGCCTCCTAGGGTTATCCAGCCTGTGCCGGACGAGAGCAGGCAAGGCTGCAGCAGGTGGGAGATGAAGGGGAGGCGGGGACAGGCAGAGACCCTGGACCCCGAGACACGTGGCCCACGTGGGGCCCCCAGGAGCTCCAACGACTTCAGCTCTGCTCTCCGAACAAGGAGCCCTGCGCACCCTGCCTGCCCTCAGGCTGGGTGGGAGGCCTCGGGCCCTGAGGTGCTGGGCGTTGGCCACACACAGAGCTACTCACCCCCGGAACAAGTCCACACTGAGTGCCCCCCATTGCCCAGTACTGTGACCTCGGTGACACCCGGCGGGGCGAGAGGACTGGGCTTCCCGGCTGGGTCTCAGTGGGGGTCACACTTGACTCTGAGACAGGACGATGGAGGCAAAGGAGCTCCCATGACACAGTGGTGGAAGGGCGGGGCTGAAGCAGCAAGGCCGGGTCCCTAACGCTGGGAGGTGGGTCCTGGCTGCCCAGCCCAGCCCCAAACACCTCACATCCTTCCAGAGCCTCGACTGCTGCTCCCTTCCTGCCTGCTCTGCAGCCAGCCCCCCCTCCCTTCTCTGATGTCCCCCGCCACCTGGTAGCCTCAGCTGCTGGACCGCAAGGGCTGCTCAAAGGCTGACCGTGAACCCTGCCCTCTGCACGTTAAAATGAAAATCTTCAGCTGTTTACAAGCAACTTCCAAGGACCAGGGTAAACCTCTATCCGTGTGGAGGCTTGAACTTAACCCAGAAGCCAGGAGGCTGGGGCCCGGGGAGCCTTCCCTGGTGGGCCCCCAGGACAGCAGCCAGGGGCACCCCCTTGGGCCTCTGCCCCCTGCAGCTTACCTGTAACCCTCATCACTCTCTCCGGACACAACTCTATTTCCATTAGAAATGACCCACTGGTGTTAATTTAGTCCTACCGCTCCAGAAGCATTGAGCATCTATAGGAATCATCTAACCTTTGGGGTAAAACGGCAGTGCACTTAATGGGCTACAGCGGCGTTCCTGAGCTGAGGGATTAGCGAAGGTCCCAGGCTCTATTCCTGCTGAGGCTGAGGTCCCTAGACCCCCGTTCACGTGAGCCCATCTGCCGCTTGGGGCCACTAGGCCATAACCGGGCGGCGGGCCCAGATCTCACCGCTGCTTCCCACCGAAGCAGGCACCGGGATGGGGCCGGGGGATCCCTTTTTCTGGGGACAGAAAACCTGCCCCAAGGCCAGTACGGGCAATAACCGCTTTCTCTTTCTTGCTCACGGCAGTGTCAGTATGGTTTACAGAAAATGCAGATTCTAAGGGGGAATTAATTGTAACTCGCAGGAACCACCACAAGCTGTAAGGCACTCGTGGCTGCGAGCCAGGGCCACCCCACGGTGCTCGGGAGGCTCTTCTGTCACCAGACGACACACCGGGTGGCATGCAGCCAGCTTCCAAGCAGTGGCCTTCCAGCCAGGCCGGACCTCGGGGAGGGAAGACCAGGACCACAGAGAACCTGAGTCCCCCGGGCCCCAGGGAAGCGCTGCCTGGGTGGCGAGGAAGGGGCCCCTCAGGGGGAAACCCCTAGCGGGTCCCCCTGCTGCCCTTCAACCCGCTCCCCAGAGGACCCTGAGCTCCTCTGAGGCTCTGCTGCGGCCCCAGGGCTTCTCCCCCACCCCCCGCTCACCTGGCCCTGGGCCGGGCAGGGTGTCCCTGGGAGGGGGATCCGGGGGCTCCCCGTGTGAAGGCGTCTCCTCCTGCTTCACCGACGACGGAATGTCGCTGCTGGTGGGGGGCCCTGTGGGAGAGACTCCCGTGAGGGCCTTTCCAACCCGGGCCCCCGCAGGGCGACACATTTCCCAGCAGGCCGGGACCCGCCCCAGCGCCCGCCGGGAAGCGGGGCTATGCTCTGTTCAGAGACTGCAGCCTCTGCTCCAGGGCCGAGAGCTGTGAAGGCCACGCCCCCCAGTGCCATCAGCTGGTCCCTTGGCATCGGACTGTCATTCTGATGGGCCTCAAAGAACAGAGGATTTGGGGTGGCACCTGGGGCATAGTGCCAGGTCTGTGACAGAACAGGGTCCACAGGAGGGTCCTATCTCCCTGCACACAATGCCTGGGACGGAGGGACACAGGGAAGGGAGGGTGTCACCTTCAAGCTCAGAGGGCCACACTCAGTGGGGGAGACGCAGAGAAACAACCGGGGAGGAAGACCCAGAGTCTGAAAAGTCAGGCCAGCAGCAGGGAGGCAGCCTGGGGCCGCAAGGCCGCAAGGCGCGGGCCAGAGACAGAAAACAAGGCTCCAACTGATCCTCCGGAGACCAAGCTAGTGCCCTCTGAGTGACATTCCACTTTTGTGCAGGACGGACAGGCATTTCCTTCCAGCAGAGCAGACAGAGGGCGCCGGGAAGGGCGACTGATGCCGCAGAGCTCCTCTGGAGACTTCCTTCAGGAAGACGACCTCACCACGGAGCACACGGGCCGGCCCCCTGCTGGGCGGGGACACACGCCTCCCCAGGAATGTGCCCACTGCTGGAGGCCCAGGACGGCCCTTGCGTGCCCCGCCCCTCACTCCAGAGAGCCCAGTGTGGCGCACCTGGCTCCAGAGGAGCCTGCACCCCTGCTCGCTGTCTAAGGGGCCCCTCCTCCCGGAAGCCTGTCCGGCTCAGCCCAGCTGGTCCCCGCCGTCCCCTCCCCCGCCCCATACCATGGGCCCGGTCCTGTGGCTGGGATGCCGGCCACGCGGCCGCCTGCAGCCCTCACTCACCCGTGCTTGCTTCCGGCGGGGTGCCTCTTGCCCCCGAGTCTCCCTGGTGCTCGGGGGGCTGCCCTTCTGTGGGCCCCTCTGGGTCAGACCGAACTGGGCTGGGAATGTGCTCTGGGTGTGGAGGGAGGGTGGGGATACACAAATCAGTGACCCCGAGGACGACACAGAGTGGCCCCAGGGAGCCGGCAGCCGCTGCGAGATGACTGACAGGTGTCACTGGGACCTGGGACAGCAGGTCAAACACAGGGTATGGTAACTAAGTGAGCTTTGCCGGTCATCTCGTGACTACATTCCGGACTCGACGTATCTGACAGCACCAGATGTGTCACACAACAGGGCCAAGGGTCAGGCTTTTTCAGGGCTTCTGGCTCAGAACATTGCCGCCACAGCTCCCAGTTCCAAGGCCTCCCCTAGGGACGTGTATAAGGGTCCCCTGGGGAGCATCCCAAGACTCTCATCAGTAGAACTGGGTGGGCCTAGGAAGTGTGTATTTTTAAAAAGCTTCCTAAGGCAAAACAGAACAAATATTTCACAGAATAAGAAGTTAAAATGGCCCATAAACAAAAAGATATACAACCACACTCATAATAAGAGAGGTACCATTAAAACCACACTGTTACCAAAGCCAGAGAGACACTCCAAGAAAATGACAGACCAATGGCCCTTAGGGATCAATGTAAAAGTCCTCAACAAATACTATCAGAACAAAATCAGCAGCACATCACACGGATTAAACACCTTGACCAAATGGAGTTTGTTCATGGAATGCAAGGATGGTTCAACATATGGAACTAGATCCATGGAGTGCACCATATTAACAGAATGAAGGGAAAAGCCCAAGGTTATCTCAATTGAGGCAGAAGAAGTACCTGACAAAATTAAACACCTTTACCTGATTAAAAGCACTCAACAAAGTAGGCACAGATGAAAACTACCTCAACATTATAAAAGCCATATATTAAAAACTCACAGTAACATCATATCTAATGGTGAAAAACTGAAAGCTTTTCCTTGAAGATCAGGAACAAGGCAAGGATGTCCCCTTTCACCACTTCTATTCAACAAAGTGATGGAAGTTCTAGCCAGAGCAATTGGGCAAGAAAAAGAAAGAAAAGGCACCCAAATTGGAAAGGAAGAAAACGATCTGTTCACAGATGATAAGATCATATATGTAGAAAATACATAAAAATTCCACAAAAGAACTGTTAGAATAAATGAATTCAGCAAATTAGTAGGATAAGAAAAGTAAATATAAAAAGATCAGTGGCATTTCTATATAGTAACAATGAACAATTTAAAGAGGAAATTACTAAAACAAGTAAGTCCATTTACAATAATATAAAAAAAAAGAAATATGTAGGAATAACTTCAGCGAGGGGCTGAGAGACTTTTACAATAGAAACTACAAAATATTGCTGAAAGAAATTATATCATTCCCCAACCCACGGAAGAATGTCCAAGAACCTCTGGTGGATGCTGGAAACCACACATGGTACCAAGTCCTCTATATTCTATGTTTTTTCCTATGTATGCATACCTATGATAAAGTTTAACATATAAATTAGGCATGGTAAGGATTAACAACAATAACTAACAATAAAATAGAAGAGTTATAATAATTTACTGACATAAAAGTTATGTCAACAGCTTTGGGGCCATTATTAAAATAAAGATTCTTTAAACACAGCGCTGTGATACCTCGACAGCCGCTGTGATAACCAAGATGGCTACTGAGTGACTCATGGGTGGGAAAGAGAAGACGGTGTGGAGACACTGGACAAAGGGGTGATTTCCATCCTGGGCGGGATGCAGGGCAGAGCGCGATTTCCTCCTCCTCCTCCGAAAGGCACGTAATTTAAAACTTATGCATTGTTTACTTCTGAAATTTTCCATTTAATATTTTCAGGCCATGGTTGACTGTAGGTAGCTAAAACCATGGAAATCAAACCAGCGGGTACAGGGGGTGTTGCTGTGAATACATAAATAAGCGGAAACACATCCCATGACCATGGGTTGGAAGACTTAATATTGCTAAAACCCACAGTAATCTCTATAGATTTCCTTATCAAAATCCCAGTGGTTTTTTTTTTTTTTTTTTTTTTTTTTGCAGAAATAGAAAAATCCATCCTAAAATTCATACTGAATCTCAAGGGACCCCACATATCCAAAACAATCTTGAAAAAGAAGAACAAAGTTGGATGACTTCCTAATGTCAAGGCTTACGACAAAGCTACAATAATCAAAACAGTGCGGTACTGGCATAAATAGAATAAGTAGCATAGAGAACTGAGAAATAAACCCTCACGTATCTGGTCACATGATATTTGAGAAGCGTGCCAGGACCAGTCAGTGGGGAAAGGACAGTCTTTCAACAGGTATGGCTGGAAAACTAGATATCCACATGCAAAAGAGTGGAGTCGGACCCTTATCTAACACCACCTGTAAAAATTAGCTCACACTAGACCAAAGCCTAAATGTAAAACCTAAAAGATAAAACTCTTAGAAGAAAATGTAGAACAAGAGCTCCATGACACTGGACTTAGCAATGGTTTCCTGGATAGGACAGCAAAGGTACAGGCAACGAAAGAAACAATAGACAAGCTGGACTTCATGAAAGTTAAAATTTGTGCATCAAAAGACACTATCAACATAGTTAAACAATCCACAGAATAAGAGAAAATGTTTGCAAATCACCTATCTGATAAGGGAATAATACAGAATACATAGAGAATTCCTAAAAATGAACAACAAAAGAAACGAGCTGACTCAAAAATGGACAAAGGACTTGAATGGACATTTCCCCAAAGAAAGTATTTCACTAAGTCAATGACAATGATCAATAAAGACATGAAAAGGCCCTGGCTGGTGTAACTCAGTGGACTGAGTGCCGGCCTGCGAACCAAAAAGTCACCAGTTCGATTCCTGGTCGGGGCACATGCCTGGGTTGTGGGCCAGATTCCCCAGTGGGAGCATGCAAGAGGCAAGCCACTGATGTTTTTCTCCCTCCCTACCCCTCTTTCTAAAAAGTGAGTAAATGAGATCTTTAAAAAAAGACATGAAAAGATTCTCAGCATCGCTAACCATCAGGCAAATGCAAAATCAAAACTCTAGGGAGACACTACGTCACCCTCATTATGATGACGACTATTAAACAACAGAAAATAACAAGTATTGACAGGAGTGTAGCGAAAACTCGTGTACTGTTGGTGGGAATATAAAACGGTATGGCCATTGTGGAGAACAGTTTGGTGGCTCCTCAAAAAATTAAAAACTAGAACCACCTTATCATCCAGCAACTCCACTCCTGAGCACAGACCTAGAAGAATGGAAGGCTGAGTATCGAACAGGTATTTGTACACCCGTCCCACAGCAGCACTGTCTACGAGGGCTGAGACAAGGTAGTAACCCAAGTGCACATTGACAGACGAAGGGATAAACCAAGTGTGGTCTATCCATGCAATAGGATGCTACTGCACCTTAAAAAGAAAGGAAATTCTGACACAGGCTATTACACGGATGAGCCTGGAGGACTTCATGCTAAGTAAAACAAGCCAGTCACGAATAGACAAATACTCTATGATTCTACTTATACGAGGTACTCACATAATCCAAATCACAGAACTGTGGGTGGTGCCAGGGCTTGGCAAGGAGCAGAATGAGGGGTTATTATTTAATGGTGTAGGGCAACAATTTTCAACAAGTGTGTCCTAAGAGTTTTTATTTTTACAACATGCAACACCTGACTATTTAGTCAGGGGCACTCATCTCTTTTCCTTGAGATTGTCAAATTAAAAAAAGACAACAGCCAACACAACAATAGCTGTTTGATGTGACTGAGTCAAAATTATACCTTTTTTCTGTCAGATTGGAAAAAAACATATTTTTTGGTGTGCCACAGATTTTTAGTAATTAGTTTATGTGTGTCATGCAACGACAAAGGTTGGCAATTGCTGGTAGAGAGCTTCATTTCCACCAGATGAAGAGAGTTCTGGAGACGGATGGTTGGCGATACTTGCAGACAGTACGAATGTGCTTAGAGCCTCTGAACTGTGTACTTAAAATCGTGTAAGATGGTCAATTTTATGTGTATTTGACCCCGGTAAGAAAAAAAGAAAGTACTGATACACAGGACAACATGGATGAACCCTGAAGACGTGCTGCTAAGTGAAAGAAGCCAGAGACAGAAGTATTTTGCTAGTTAGAAGTTTAGGGAAGACAAAGGGATGGATAAAGCCAATGTGGCCAGCTCTTTCTTTAGAGAGAGAAAGGGGAAGGGAGGGGGAAAGAGAGGGAGAGAAACATCGATTGGTCGCCCCCAGTCAAGAACCTGGCCTACAACCCAGGCTCGTGCCCTGACTGGGAACAGAGCCCGGTGACCTTTTGGTTTGCAGGACGACACCCCACCCACTGAGCCGCAGTAGTCAGGGCGAACGCGGCCAACTGATCACTGTCGAGTCTGGGTGATGATCATCCGGAGGGTCACTGTGCTGTTCTACTTTCATTTATTTTTTAAAATTTTATTTTTCAAAAAAGCTCCTGACATGCAGCCAACTTTGGAGCCAGAGCCCTACACACCCACTGTGGGAAGGAAGCCGCCCGGCTCCTGCGGGAGGCCCTTCCTCAGAGGGCAGTCGGCACGTTCCAGGCCTTGCAGCCCGTGTTACCGGGGCGGGGGCGGAGGGGAACCAGGGCGCCGTGGCAACAGGGCGGCTGCTACTAGTGGTACTGTTAGTGAGAAGTCCCCACCTGCTATAAAACGCTCCGCTTTACAAAGGCCGCCATCATACTTGGTCCTTGCAGCCACCAGGCGAGGGACGTGCCACTGTCCCCCTGCACAGAGGCAGAGACCTGGGGGCTCCTAGGGCAAAAGCCCTGCCTGCACCCCCCAACCCACGCCCAGCCGGCCTGGGCTAGGGCGTGCCCCACCTTGGGTCCTGGGCCTGCGCACCCCCCTGGCCTCACAGCACGCCTGGGAAGCCCAGGAGAACAGGGGCGCGGCTCCGGTCACCCTGCCCGTCTGGCTCCCACTCACCAGTGCCCGGCCTCCCCGGGCGAGCTGCCGCTGTCTCCTGCCCCTGGTCCTGGCCCCACAGGCCTTCAGGACAAGGCTCCTCGCCCCTCTCCATGCGGGCGAGGATGTCCGGTTTGGAGACGGCATAATCTGTGTGCAGAAGGGAGGGAGAGGGCTGCGTCAGGGTGGGACTCCTGCCGCCCGGTTCACCACAGGGACACCGAGGCTCCGGAGGAGCAGAGGCCGAGGCAAAGGCACAGGCTGCCGGAGGCCAATCTGCAGACAGAGGCCCGGGCGCCACTGCGGGGCCTCACCCAGGGAGACCAGCATCTCGTAGTTGCCCCTCATCACGTGCTTGTACAGCTCCTTCTGCCACTCGTCCAGCTTGCCCCACTCCAGCTCGGAGAAATACACGGCCACGTCATCAAAGGTCACGGGCACCTGGAACCACAGGCGTCACGCATGCTCACCCCCACTTATAGGCAGGGCCCCCCCCACCCCCGTCCCGGGCCGTCCCACCCCAGGGGCCCGGGTTACCTTGGGGACCTCCCCCTTGCTGCCCGGGGGCAGACGTAAGATCCAGAAGTTCCGGTTCCGCAGCAGGTTCTCCATGTTCTCCAGGCGCCTCTGCAGCAGCCCGTACTCCTGCAGCAGGGTCCCCAGCACGGCCCACTTGCCCTCCAGCTGGTTCCCGAACTCCAAGGTCGTCTTCTCGCAGTCGGCCAGCTTCTTCTCGGCCGTCCCCGTCCGTCCCTCCAGAGCCAGCAGGCGGGCCAGACAGGAATCCACTTTCTTCTCCACGGCCTGCACAGCGGCCACCACCGTCCACAGTGTGATCTCCGTGGAGTAGAGGTACGAGTTCTTCTCGGCAGCCGGCTGGGGCGAGGGAGTGGGTGTCAACGGCCTGTCCCCGGTCTGCTTGTCCCTCTCGGGGGCCTGTCCACAAGAAGAGAAAGGGAAAACGTTATCAGGATCATACAGGCAAAATGTCTGCCTCCACAGGAACCCTCAGGACGGCACCTGCCCAGGTCAAGGCCCTTCTGGGAGCCCGAGGGCCAGTCAGGCGGCCGTGTCGGGGGTGGCGGTGCAGGGACCTCAGTTACGAGTCCAGCCTCAGGGACAGGAGACGCTGGCTGGACCAAGGTATTAGCAAGTGGGAAACAGAAGGAAAACCACGGCCAGAGGGAGAAGTAATATGGTCTCGGAGAGGTGGCTCCCCACTCGGGTCTCAGTCTCCCCTGAAAATGAAGGGATAGGCTTCGCAAGAGGCACAGAGAGCAGCCAGCCTGGCTGCCACTGGCGATTCCGCCCCCACCGGCTGGCTAACTGCGGGCGAGGCTTCTGACACATCTCTCGCCATCCCTTCCACATCTAGAAAATGGAGCTGGTGACAGCATCCAAAGGACGTGGCTGTGACAGATCACGACACAATCTGGCAAAAAGCACTCGGCACAATGTCTGTTAGGGGGGTCCACCCTTCTGGTGTCTCTGGGCCACTCTGGACAAAGGACAGTTGTCTTGGGCCACACATTAAATACACTGCGCCACATCGTCACAGAAACATCTCATGATGTTTCCAGTGAATTTACGACTTTGTGTTGGGCCGCGGTCACAGCCACCTTGGGCCGCATGTGGCCCACGGACCGCGGGCTGGACACCCCTGGGCCAGCCTGTGCTGCTCCCTACACGTGAGCCCTGTGGGGACCCGGCTAAGCGGATCATGATGAGAATGAGGAGGACGGGACGCTTCTGGCTCAGGGGTGCGGCACGAAGGGCGCTCTGTTTCGCCTCTTCCACCCTGCGCCTGGGCCGACTTCTGAAGTGCCTCAGTGCACCCCGGCGCCTGGCGACCCCCCGACCCCCTCCCCGAGCGTGTGCAATGGCTTCGGTCCCAGCTCATCTTGCTAAAAGCCTCGTCGGAATGACAAATTGACATCTTGCCCCTCCATCCCCTTCTCTCCTCCTCCACTGCCATCACCTGGCCCAAGCCCCTTCCTCACCTGTCCCCGAGCTGCTGCAGTTCCGCCCAGGTGACTTCCCCACTTCCTGCTCCTCCCCTACAACAAGCCGCCCGCAGCTGCCCCGTGGGCCTAGAATAAAGCCCGAGCCCCTCAGCGGCCGCAGCCCATCTCCCCGCCCAGTCCCCTCCGGGCACTGACCGCTCTCCACGCCGCCCTGGCCTCCTCGGGCCCCTCGGACCCGCCCAGCTCCCCTCCACCTCTGCATGGGTGGGCCCCTGTCCCCACACCTGGCTCCCTCCCACACAAGCCTCCAGCACAGACGGCGCCTCCCAAGGGCCTTCACAAACCCGCACATCTAAACTGTCCCTTCCTTCGGAGCACTAACAACCTGCAACAACGCTGTGTCTGCCCGGGGGAGGGTGTCCCCACAAGGACATATGATCCACGTGCAGGTGCGGCTGCTCATCATGGTTGCGTCCTCAGCTTCGGAGGGCGCCTCACTCACAGCAGACGCCCGGTCAATACCTACCGAATGAATGAGTGGCTAAACGACTCAACAACAGAGTCATCGACAGTCACGGAACACCTGTCAGCGCTAAGGTGCACCGGGGACGCAGAAAAGGACATGGTTCTTGCCTCCTTCTCCAGGAGAAAAATTCTGCATAGGAGCAGTCATAATAAACGAGAGCGATACCCACGGGCTAACTAAAGTTGAGGGCAAATTGGTGCTGTTTGGGAGCTTTTCTTGGAATCTCGGGCGATGCATGTGGGCAGAGGGAAAGAAGTGGGTGGACAGGTACGGCTGGAAAGACCGCTGAGGTCCCGGCCAGGTGAGAGCCGAAGGCGCCGCCTGCACAGTTAGAGAAAGGCCGTGCTGGGGCGCCCCCCAGCGGGCGGGCCATGAACCTGCAGGACTGCCACCTCGTGTCCCTCTGGCGCTCAGGCCTCAAGGAAGGGGCTGGGGGCATCTGGAAAAATCAAGGTTCCAGAAACTTCTTTGGCATGCACTGAGAACAGGAGGTCCCGTTTCTAGAGCTATTTACTAGTGTTTTCCTCCTGTGTCCAAACAGCCAAAGGATCGCTTTCTCTGATTTGTACATACCGAGCATTATCAGCCAACGTTCTAAAATGTGCAAAAGTCATCTTAAAAAAAAACACCCCAAAACCCACCTCCCATCCCTCTCGTAAAAAGCATTCACCCAATAGCACCGTCCTAGGTACAGGCAGAATACTGGGCACCGTACAGGGGGTGCGATCCCAAAGCCCCGGCATGGCCTCGACCCCTTTCCCACCTTCCCCGCCCGCCTCGGGGCGCCGGGCCTCCAGGGAGAGCGCGCGGCCCGTCACCTGAAGCGTGGCTGGAACGCCGGCCGGTCCCCGACGTCGGGGCCGCGCGCGGCGCCCGGCCGCCGGGCCTAGCGTTTGGGCCGCCCGATCGCTCGGCCGAAAGCGGCGCGGACGCCGACGAGGGCGGCCCGGCGGGGCGAGCGGCTCCGCGCGGCGGCGACCCGGCCCGTCTGGGCGCCCGCGCGCCGGGGCGCTTACCCGGTCGGGCGCCGCCTCGGCCATGGCTGCCCGCGTCCCTCTCTCGGCTGCTCCGCTCGGGCCGCCTGTCAGGCTTGGCGCGGCGCGGGCGGCGGCGGAGGCGGAGCGGAGCCGCCCAGCCTCGGAGCCCCTGCCCCGCGGCCGCGAGCTGCGTCCGAGCCACGTGCCCCACCGGCCCTTTAAACAAGAGCTGCGCTCGCGGCCCGGCCCAAGGCCGCGCACAGCGCCCCCTGCAGCCCGAAGGACCGCATGCGCGCGGCCTGCGGCCCTGCGTCCTCGCGTCCCTGCGTCCCGGAGGCGGCCGCGGGGGCCACCCGGCGCTCGGAGGGGGCAGCCGGCCGCCCAGCCCCACCTGGGCCGCGGGCCGCGCGCGGACGCAGCTCGGTGGCCTGGGCCGTCTGAGCCCTCCGAGATGGCGGGACGGTGGGGCCCCAGAGCCCCATGCCGCGGGGCAACCGGGCCAGGGCGCTGACGCAGGGAACGCGCAGACTTTTCCACACTTTGGGAGTCCCCCTCGGCCCACCGTGGGCGGGGAAGAACGCAGTCCTCGCCGCGAGCCTCAAGGGCATGAAGAGCCACAGTTCTAACACCTTTGCTGGACCCAAAGTGACGGCTTGATGCCCAGGAAATAATGTGTGTGGGGGGCGGTGGGCAGATGAAGGATTTAAAACCCCTTCTTCAGTTTTCCAGAACAAATAGAAAGACCCCAGGAAAAATTTAATCGATTAAAAAAAAGAGAGAGAAAAGAGCCCATCCTCTCTCCCCTGAACTGCTTTGTGAATCTTGAGTCTTTTCCCCTTACCCCGGGGCTGCCTCCCAACAGAACCCCAGAGGTCGTCTGTGCCACACTTTGTCCCCTAAGTCCTTGTGCCACGCTGTCGACAAAAATAAAGGGGCCACAAACGAGACCTGACAAGCTCAAGGGAGGCCTGGAGGCTGAGCCCTACCAGGCTGAGCCCAGCAGACTCAGAACGCTAAACCAACCGCTTAGGATGGTCTGAAATGAAAACTTTGTAACCAAAAGCGAGTTCTGGAAGGCAGTCATGGACTAGGCCTTATCTCCCCTGAGGAAGGTCAACCTTGACCTTAACTGAGCCTGCCTATTGTCTTTTTGCATCTAGGATATACCTTTGAACTGTCTGGGTAATTTCCTTTTTTCTGGACCCCTCACTATAGCCGAGACCACACAGCCCGTCCTTGTTATTGTGGCAACTACCCTACACCCAACTATGTAAAAGGAGTCATCTATTTGTTTGACTTTGTATCCAATCTCAGGGGTTTCCCCACTTAGCTTTCTCCCACTTCATAGATTTTACTAATCCCTTTCACCTCCTCCTTTGATGATAATGTATAAAATAAGGTGCAAAACTGCCATTCCCTGGAGTATTTTCTCAAGCCATTGAGACTTTACTTCCCAACAATTGTCGTCAGTTTGGCTCAGATAAACTCATAAAAATTCTCTACAGGTTTAAACATTTCCTGCGCCGACGACATCCAGTCTTCCCTTGCACAGCAGCCGCCATCTGGGATCCTCGCAGCTCTGCCCATGATGGGCTTGCAGCAGGAGCAAATCCACCGCTAATTCAGGCCCTGAGGCATTTTGAGTCAACCACTCAATCTAGGACCCATTTTTCCTCATTGGGAAAGCGCCTCATTGTGGAAAAGCAGAGTGAATCACTGAATATAACGTGAAATGTGCTCTATGCAGCGTAAGTTTTATTTTCCACCTTTTCTGCATTACCCATTCACCTTAGAATCTTGGTCCAACAAGTCCACAAACTCTCCTGTCTGCATTGGGCGTTATTTCTTATTTTCTAAGATCACAACTTACCAGTATTTTATAATCCTTAACATATTGGTCTGACCGACCCCTGATGAGCTCCTAGTGTAAACCAAAATTAATTTTGGCCTGTAATAAGGAATAAAAGGCGGTTATTTGTGCAAAAAGGAGCTGCAGCCCCAGACACACAGACTAGGGCAGCGACCCAAGACAAAGGGAAGGCCATTCTTCATAGTGAACATTCTGCCCAGCTTCTCAGTTAGGCCCTTTTTGTGCGAGACATCGCAATTGTGAAGTTCCGATAGGACAGAGCAGGTCTCAGCCTATTAGTAGATGAAGCCAAGGTTTCCCTGCAGAGGTTGACCCAGTGCAAACAAGCAGGGGACAGTGCGGGACACTGAGTGTCCAGCCTGAGGCTCTCCCTGGTACGTGGCATTTGCGAGTAGCCTGTCAGCAGACGGCCACTAGGCTCTTATTCGTTACAAAAGTTGGGCCTTCGGTGGACCAGGGGGCCATCTCAGCCGATGAATTCCTTCTCCGGTTCACATCAGGTGAATCTGTCTTCTCAGAGCGCACACTAGGGACCTCTCAGCGCCTCCAGTGCTCACTTGCAAATTGTCTGTTGGGATGCGTTACCTCAGCAGGGAATTTATCAACAAACAGTGCTGTATACTGAGTCCATTCCTTACTACCTTGAAGTAACACTTCCTAACCTTGCCCCAAATTGCAGGGGTGCAGTTAGAGAAAGTATCCGTTTTTCAGCCGGACATGCCCAGGTGTGTAAAGCTGAGGAGGGCAAGCATTAGCAGAGGGAGCCCCGAAGGCAGCCAGGGCTCCCTTCCTCCGAGAAGCCGGCCCCAGTTCAGACAACACCTACCCCTGTTCTGTGAATTCCCCTCATACCTGTTTATTCGATAACCGTGTGGTGAGCACTTACATGCAAAGCCCCTGTGCTTGGCGTTGGGAGTCTGGATGCAATGAAGACACGCTCCCTGCCTTCAAAAACATCACACCCTGTTGACTCTGCCTTGTCAATCTCGTCCATCTCTCCCGTCTGCTGTTTTCTTTTCTGCTCTTCTTCCTGCAGCTGTACCCACTCAGGGTTTTGGGGGTTTTGTTTTTACTTTTTAATATTTATTTTAGAGGAGGGATAGGGAGAGAGAAAGAGAGGGAGGGATACAGCGATGTGTGAGAGAAACATCCATCGGTTGCCTCTCATATGCGCCCCACCGAGGGACCAAGCCCACAACCCGGGCCTCTCCCCAGACCGGGAGTCAAACTGGTGACCTTTCCGCTCTACAGGGTGCCGCCCAACCCACGGGGCCGCACGGGGCAGGGTTTTTATTGGCTCTTGCTGGTCTCACTCAAAAACCTTCTACCGTCCCTCCATTCTCAAAACAACAAAAAAGTATGATATAACTCTTATTAGGTTAACATTCCCAAATCACAGTTAGAAGCAGGCCACCCTTTTGCTCAAAACTCTCAGATCCCTGTCATTAACTCAGTAAAATCCAAACCCCTTCGCCTGATCTCACCCTCTCTTTCCAGCCACAACCCCCAATATGCCCCCTCTCACACCCCACCCTCTGGCCGAATGAAGTGAATTGGCATTTATTTGTTCACGCCCATAATGTCTCCCATCTTGTCCATGTTGCTCCACTCAGAATATCCTCTTCCCATCCTTAGGGATCCAGCTCAGAAATCAGCTCCCGTAAAGCCTTCCCCAATGTCCCACAACCACGTCATTATTCTCTGACTTCTTAGACCTTTAGCCTCACTTGGGACATACAACGTTCTCCCTTGCATTAGAGTCCCCTAAGCCCGTGAACCCAACAGCGGCCCCCGATTTCCCCTTGCGCCCCTCCGCAGGCTTTGCACATAGAGGCGGCGCGTATTTCTGAGCAAACAAGCTGGAAGGCAGAGTGGAAAACGGGGCCGGCTAGGCAAGGGCTGTGTGAGTGTGCAGCGCGGGAACAAACGGGTTTTCTCCCTAGGGCACGGGGCTTTGCATGCTGACTAAGCATTTACAACAGTGCCTGGAGAATAGGGGCTCAATATAGAGTTGTTGAATTACAAAAATAAAATAAAATAAAGGAGGAAAGCTTTCCCAGGAGGTTACAAACTCAACCGTGAAAGAGAGACAGGACCTGGTTCTCAGAGGCGACGTTTCTGGGAGGGGCTGAATGTGGAGGCAGGGAAGCACGGCCTCCCGACCGACCGCAAGACCAAGGTTGAGACAAGAGCAGAGAGGGAAGGAACTCAGAGGTTAGGTTGTCAAAGTCGCGAGTTCCACACTAAAAAGCTTGCTCTCCAGCAGGGCCAGTCGAAGGCACCGTGAGGCTCGCAGGAAAGCCCACATCCGGCTGGGGTTCCGGGGCCAAAGCTCTGGTGGCAGCCAGACGGGTGTGGCTCGACGGAGGAGGCCAGTGAGGCCGAGTGGTTCAGGGGGCGACAATTAGGACCTAACCTGTTCCAACAGGAGGAAGAAGGTAGGACAGATGAGCCCCTAATGTTCGGCATTTAATTCTTCCGTGTGTTGACTTGATTCTGCTACCTCGATCAGCCTTGGCCCTCGGACAGTTCCGGTTCCAGTTTTCCTCTCGGCGCCTCGCTGAGCAGACTTCCCGGGAGGATGGCGGAGAGGCCAGAGGCTGACCTTTTGGATCATTCAGGACAGTGCCCTTGTGTGCAATCACCCGGGTCTGTTGCTAGAATGCAGATTCCCACTCAGTGGCTCTGAGCCTGCATTTCTGCCAGGCTCCCAGGGGTTGCTGCTGCGTCAGACACCACACACACTGTGGGTAACAAGGGCTTTGAATCCAACCCGGACACCAGGTACTTCATTGTGGGCAACACCAGGTGACAGACCAAAAAGTCGCTGGGACAGTTCCCGGTCAGATGCCTGGGTTGTGGGCCAGGTGCCCAGTTGGGGGCCTGTGTGAGGCAGCTGATGGATGTTTCTTTCCCTCTCTTAATATAAATAACTTCAAAAAAGATTTTATTTTTAGAGAGAGGGGAAGGGCGGGGGAGAGAGGGAGACATTGATGTGAGAAACATCCATTGGTTGCCTCTTTTGGCACCCCCGACTGGGCACCAAAACCTGGGCACATGCCCCAACTGGGAATTGAACTGGCGACTTCTCTCTTCGTAGGATAACACTCAGATGAGCCACACCAGTCGAAGCTTATCTATTTATCTTATTTGTTCCTTTTTATCCCCGTATCCCACTCCTTCCATGGGTGACTGTAATGTCTTTAATGTGTAACTTTTCATCTCCGTTGTTTTGTGTACATAATTGGTATCATTATAGATTTCACTCAATTTTTTTTAAAGATTTATTTACTTTTAGAGAGAAGGGAGAAAGAGAGGAAGAGAAACATCAATGTGTGGTTGTCGTTTGAATTCCCTGCTGGGGACCTGACCTGGTCCTCAACCCAGGCGTGTGCCCTGACTGGGGGTTGAACCCATGACACTTTAGTTTGCAGGCCAGCACTCAATCCACTGAGCCACACCAGCCAAGGCAGATTTTTTACATTTTCCACCCAGCACTGTATGTTTAAGATCAACCCGTGTGCCTACACATACACATACAATATTCCCAACTGCTAACCAGCACTCCCCGGTGCCTACGACCTGCCCACGGCCGACACCGGCCGGTCTGCAGCCCTCCACCCCCACGCACAGGGCCCGAAACACGCCCTCTTCTCCTCTGCGCTAGGTTTAAGCCAGGCCTCTGTTGCTGCTCCAGGTCAGAGGCCTCATCTTCCTTGATCCCAGACGTGTCTTCTTGACAATGGGAGAAAAACATCCAACATGAGCACTTTTTCTTTGCCAGTAGCAAGTTTTATTCTAAGCAACTGCCAAGTCATCGAAGGGGGCACTCACACAGGAGCCAGGAGCCCACTCCCGAACAACAGCGCGGCGGCAGGCACCGCGCACTCCCGGCAGGCGCGCGGCTGTGCGCCTCTCCTCCGCCACGTCCGGGACTGTCAGTCCCAGGACAATTACTGGAAAGTGTGTCACCTGAACAACCCTAAGGAACAACCGGTCTAACAGGAACAAACTCAGATAACCACTGATACAAGCTGAACAACCTTAAGTAACAAAGGAGCCGTGTACCCTGTGAGGCCGCAGATCCCAGCAGGGTGCGGACGAAAGAGGCACTCCGAACGCCTGGGAGGCTGCGGCTCCTTCCGTCGGGCTCCCTTGCCAGACGCTTCACTCTCCGCGGGGAGCTTCGGGGTCCACCCCTACTGCTCTCTCCCTCTCAGTCCTTTTGATTCAGTGAGTCCCACCCAAGTGCGCTAAGACTCCCCACAACGAGGGGCCCGCACATTGCACCCTGATGCACCCTGACCGTGGCCTGAGTGTGGGTGGGCCGAACGAGCCCAGACACACCTCCCTCCCAGACGGCAGGCCAGGCCCTGCGTTAGGAACTTCTACAGCGCTGGAAATTAAAAAAACAAGTGTTGGGCTGTATTTTTTTTTAAAGTCAACTAAAATCTAATTCCAAAAAGGTTCTTCAGAGCAGGGTGAGTTCGTTTAAATTACTTTTCTACATGTTATTAAGGAGACTACGAAAGGAGAGGGAACGGAGGGTTACGCTCCCCAGAGCTCTTCTGCACACCTGCTACTCCTTTGGCCTGACTGGCCCCCCCACCACCCCGGGGGAAGACCTTAAACGCTGGGCCAGGCCCTCGAACCAGCCCTGGACCACGAGCATTGGCGTGGATGCGAAAACCCAGGACGGGAAGGTGCCGAAGACACGGCGAGCTCAGCAGCAGGGTAGACAGCAGGGTGGCCTGGCCCGGCCCGCTCCGCGCAGTTCTGGGGGCCGGGCTCGGCCTGCCGCTCGGCCAAGGTTAGGCAAATCAAAGCGACTCCCCTCAGGAAGAAGTCAGTCCCTGACTCCGCACAGTGTCTCTTCGGGAGACCAATGCCAGCCCCCTCGGCCCCCCCCGGACAGGCGAGGGGCTGGCACCCTTAAAGCAGGCCGTTGGGCCTCCCCGGCTCCAGGGCCAGCCCGCCGCGCTCGCGCTGGTGGATCTTCTGGTGCTGCAGCAGGTGCTGCTTCTGCACGAAGCTCCGCTCGCACTCGGGGCAGGTGTAGGGCCGCTCGCCCGTGTGGATGCGCTGGTGCCGCACTAGATCCGACGGGTGGCTGAAGCTCTTGCCACAGTAACCACAGATGAGCGAGCTCCGGCTCTTCCTCCAGGGGATGTGGCCTGGCAGGGCGACCAGGCTGTTGGGCGAGAACCTCTCCTGGACACGCTGGCCACCACTGGGCCCCTCCTGCAGGTGGCAGCGCTGGTGGGTCACCAGGCTCACCCTGCAGCTGAAGCTCCTCATGCAAATGTCACACTGATGCTGCTTTGTCTTCTTGGACTGGGGCTTCAGCCGCGGCCTGGGCCTGAGGCTCTCCTCGGGCTCCGGGGCGGCGGGAGGCTCCCACCCCGAGTGGGTCCGCAGGTAGGTGGCCAGCTGCTGCTCGCAGCGGAAGCTGAGCTCGCACTCGGGACATTCGAAGGGGCCGGGGGGGTCCCTCTGCAGCTTCAGGCCCTGCCCGCATTCCTGACCCAGCACCACCGGCCTATTAGATTTCTGCTTCGAGGGGAGGCCCAGGCTTCTGTCACTGCCGGGGTCTCTGCCGCTGTCCATGGGCTCCTCTAGGTTAGTGTCCCGGGGATCTGATTCCAAGAGGACAGAGGCGCCCTGGCCGTTCCAGAGCTCGGTCTGCACCGGGCCCAGGAAGGCCTGCTCTTCCGCGACGCCCGGGAACTCGCCGGGGAGGTCCTCCGGGCGCTCCTGTCCCTGGGGGGACTCCATCTCCTGCTTGATCATGACCCCTTCGGCTGTCAAAACAGAGAGAGCCAACAAAAAAAGATCACATTCTAATGCCTTTGGTTTCTTCAGAGCTAAATAAACATCTGTGAATTCCAGAAGGGCTCAAATCAAAGGATCGAGGGAATTAGAACAATCTGGAGAATGGCTGGCTTCCAAAACCCGAAAAATGAAACCTCTACTCAGGTAGAGGCATGTCGATCGGAAATCTGAATATATTATTCTTATAAACAACGTTATAGAGGAGAGTTGTCCAAGCTTGTCCACAATTTGTATCTAATCTCTGAAAAATGACTAAATATACCAAAAGATTATACTAATTTAGAAAAGTGTTAAAGTAATAATGATTAAAAAAAACCAACTAAACCTACAGCTTAAAAATTCACATGTCCAGCCCCGCTTTTCCTGTACATTCCCGCCAAGTGATCCAGCTTACAAATGCTTGTCCTGCCTCTTCCCCCACCAGCCTCGCCCCTGAGGCCGACCGACCCCCCTCGGAACGCTCCAGGGGTTCTGACCGGCCCATGATGTCCTCTCCTCTGTGGGGCCCGAGGGACTCAGATGTGGTCATGAATCCCAAGGGTCCTACATAGTGGTAAGGAGTTAAGACACGTATGATAGGCGAACAAATGATATTTGGAAAAGAGCCTGGAGTAAACCAATGCCACATGAGGTTACTGATAATCAGTGTTTGGCAGTTTGGCAGTTCAGGGAAAGCTCCTGATGGGCTGCAAGGAGTGGGAAGGGGCGCAGAATATTCTGGAGCCACTCACCTGGGTGCACACCGCCAAGGGCTTCCTCCTCCAGGTCACCCAGCATCTCTGTACCCAACTCCGCTTCTCCTTCTGGCTGGCCAAGGACCTCTGGGTTGGAAACGGCACAATGTGAGCCCAGGAGAGTAAAATCTCATTGCGCACAGGTCATTTGCTGACGAACCAGGCGACCAATGTCAAGGAGTCCCTATCAGAACTCTGTAAAGTTCAAAGTGCTACTCTTGTCCCTTTGCCCGTGCCATTTGGGACAATCAGAGAACGACGGCCGCCGGACGGCCGCACCCGGCTAACGGCCCCCTCGGTGCTCCTCCTGCGGCAGCTGCTTGTGGCTCCGGTCGCCGGGTGGGGGAGCCCCCCACTCACCTCGCCAACACCGTCGCGCCCTCACACGCACGGGGTCTCACGCGCCACCGCCTTTTCGGGGCCTGGTTTCATCTGGGCCGAAGCCCTGCAAGCCCGGCAGGCCCTGGCTCCTGCCCGCGGCGGACAAGGCAACAGCCACGGGCCGAGCACGCGACCCAGCCGGGGTGGCGGTGACCTCTCGGACCCGCCTGCCACTCTCCTCCCGCCTCCACTCTGCCCCACTGGCCTTCCGGACACGCCCCCACAGATCTCGGCGGTAAAAGGCTTCACTGACGAAGCAAAGGGCATGTAAAATGCAATAGCTAATACTTTGCACATCAAGATATACAGGGTCCAGCAGAAGGAGCACCTGCTTGAGTGTGGTGGGTAGGGTCATAAGATGGGTGTAATAATTTATAGTTCTAATTTGAACATTTCACGTACAATGTCATCCAGTGTGCTTGAGTGTGATATTATGTTACAGAATGACATGCTTTACAAGATTTTGTAATAAAAGAGGGGCGTTATTTGTGCCGGGCCCTGTGTCTGTTAAGCAACACTCCTAATTGACACAAAATAAATACTGGGACCACGACCGGCTGTGATGCCAGCCAGGTGCCAAGGACAATTTTCAGTTACCCTGTGCTGCCTGTCACCCCACGTAGCGAAAGGCTTCCTATCAAAGGGTCTTAAGTATTAAAAGCAGCACAAGGACCTGTAGCCATGCTATGCCATAGAGCACATGATGGCATCTTATCTACCAGTAAATAGTATCACAACCTGACCATGTGACCACCAAGAGGCAACGTCCTCATACGCTGAGGACATGGAGACCCCCATTTCTGCACCCAGCACGGGCGGGGGGCCACAGGGCGCCTGGGAGAACTCTCGGAAGGAAGCTGCCGCTTACTCAGGGAGACCAGAGTCTCGTAGTTGCTCATCATCACGTTTCTGTACAGCTCCTTCTGCCAGTCCTCCAGGTTCTCCCACTCCTGCTCCGAGAAACAGACGCCATCGGTGTCCAGGGACCGGGACACCTGAAATCACAGAGCCACGCAGTGAGTGCTTCCAGTCTCAGCCAGGGGAAAAGAGCCAGCAGTGGAGAGTCTTTAAAAAAAGGACTACCTTGGGGGCCTCCCCGGTGCCACCCGGGGGCAGGCGCAGGACCCAGAAGTTCCGGTTCCGCAGCAGGTTCTCCATGTTCTCCAGGCGCCTCTGCAGCAGCCCGTACTCCTGCAGCAGGGTCCCCAGCACGGCCCACTTGCCCTCCAGCTGGTTCCCGAACTCCAAGGTCATCTTCTCAAAGTCGGCCAGCTTCTTCTCCACTGTCTCCATGCGTCTCTCCAGGCTCTGCAGCTGGGCGGCCTGGGACTCCATCCTCTTCTCCACCGCCTGGATGGCGGCCACCACGGCCTGCAGGGGGAGCTCTGCTGGCGGAGGGCGGGGGCTTTCCTCTGGCGCGGGCGGGGGCGGCGGAGAAGAAGCCAGGGGTGTGGCGCGGCGCTTCCTCCTGTGCTGGAGAACCAGACACAGGCCCCTCGGTCAGCCAGCGCCGCTCCGGGCGGCAGGTAAAGGACCCAACGGTCCGGGGGCCCAGCAGCACGCAGGGCTGGTACCCTGCATCGACTTTTTTAAATTCATAAAGCATGTCCTGGTGTATGCCGATACTGCAAATTATACACGTATATTGTAATAAAAAATAGTGAAAAGTAGAAAGGAAGAAGGGAGGATTATGTAAAATACCGCTATCCAGAAATGAGCTGTTAGAATTTTGGTGTATTTCCTATTAAGTTTTTTCATCTTGTGAATGTATTTATTTTTCAAAAAAAATTGAGATCATATTATATGTATGTTTTGTTACCTGTGTTTCATACCTAGCATTTCCTCTAAGACTTTTCTGTGTCAGCATTCCTTTTTTTTTTTTTAAATCTACACACGAGGATATGTTTATTGATTTTAAAGACAGAGGGAGGAAGGGAGGGAGGGGCAGACGGAGGGAGAGAGAGAATGGTAACATGAGACAGAAACACAAACCAATTGCCTCCCATAAGCACCCTGATCAGAGATCGAACCTGCAACCTTGGCGTATCAGGATGATGCTCTAACCTGCTGAGCCACCTGGCCAGGGCAGGATTCATTTTTTAAACTGATGTCTCTCTATTTGACATTTTGGACTATACTTGTGATATTTTCCTGCAATAAATCATATAACTGACATCTACTCTTGACCCCACGTTCCTGTCTGACGTCCTGGTTGATCACGTCCCCCTCACTAAAAACCTCCCAGCAGCTCCTTATGATAAAGGTCCCTTAGCAGGGTCTGCAAGACACAACTCGGTCGCCTTGCACCCTGGCAGCTGGTATAAGCAAATGACACCTTCTCAATCCCTCACAGACATTCACCGAAATGATCCGAGTCCTCTGACGCTCTTCCCACACCTCTTACTTTTACAGTCCATCCCTGACAGGAGGGATTCGCTGTGGCTAAAGCTCAGCCAAAGGACCAGAACTGGCACTTGGGAGGTCTTCCTGAAACCGACCCCTCAGCCCCGCGGCGCCACTGCATGCTCTCACGCCAGTCCTAGTCCCCAAAGCGTCACACTCCTTTCTACAACACACTTTATTCATGGCTGCCTCTCTCACCATGAGACCGGGACCCAGAGAAGGAACGTTTATTGGCCATTTGGCTTTCCCTTCCGTGAACCACCTGCTGCAGTCTTACCCATTTATCTTGCGGGTTACCTGACTTTCCCTTCCTGTCCCCTAGGACTTTGTTGTAAATTCTGGACACTAATCTTTATCGCTTATATACTTGTATGTTGCAAATATCTTCTCCTTATTTTTTTTTTACCCTCTTCAATATCACGTGATAAAAAGTCCTGAACTTTAATGGAGTTATATTTTATCAGTATTAATACTTTTATGGTTTGAATTTTTGTGTCAGGTGTAAAAAAAAAAAATCTATAACCCACAGTACAGTCTTCTAAATACTTTATAGTTTCAACTTTCTCTTTTAAGTACATATCTCAACTGGAACTGATAAGTTGTGTACAGTGCAAGACTCGATTTTCATAGGGGAAAAGAGCAGATCTAACGCTCTATGATGAAAAGTCCGTCAGTTACACATTGGCCCCCAATGCTACCTCTGTCATAAATCGAGTTTTCTTACATATCGGTCTGTTTCTGGCGTCTGTATTCTGTTCCACGGCTCAATTTTTCTACTGCTTTTCCACTGTCACCATCTTAACGGCCACGGCTTTCGATAATTACCGGTGTCCAGTAAGGCAAGTCCCACCTCCTTGTTTTTCAGGAGTGTACTGACTATTCTGTGCCTGCTGATATTCTACAGCTCGGAGAGGTTTCACAAAAGTATCTTTGGAAATTTCGTCTGGCACTGCATCAGATCCACAGGTAAATTTGAGACGTGACATCTTTAGGGTGAGATGTTTCAATCTGATTATCTTTCAGTATTTAAACATATTTCCAGGGCACCTGTTCCACTCATCAACTGCTGTATAACAAACCCCCAAATTTAGCAGCTTGAGACAACATCTGTTTTGTTCATGAATCTGTAATTAAATGGGGGCTTGGCAGGGAAGGTTTGACTCTGCCCCACTCTGTCACCTAGAGCGAACCACAGGCAGGCGGGCACCGGAACCCCCTGTGGGATCCCACGCTGCATGGAGAGGACGCGGGTGACGTTCTGTTCAGCAGCCCTGCCGACGGCCACAGTCCACGGTCGGCCTCAAACGTCAGGACACTTTCATTACTGACAGGGTTTGGTTTGGGTTTTTCTTTGCCTTCTCTCTCTCGTTTATTAATCTCTCTATACATCAAAATTATGTACGAGGTCTGCCCAGAAGGTATCCAGCCATGTAATATAAAAAAATAGAGACATTTATTGAAGAAGATACAAGAAACATTGTACATAGGACAATGATGCTTCAGTCCCCTGCAAAGCAGGCACCTTGGGACCTCACACACAGCTCTCCCAGTCGCCATCAGCTGCCCCGTCGTATTTTCCTGAGTCCGATTGACGGTCTGAAATCTCTTCCCTTTCAAAAATATTTTAGTTTTGGGAAAAACCAGAAGTCGCAGGGCGCCAAATCTGGGCTGTAGGGTGGCTGAGTCACCGGGGTGATTTGATGTTTTGCCAAAAAATTCTGCACAAGACGTGATGCCTGAGCAGGCACACTGTCCTGATGAAGCTGCTAGTCCCCAGGCGCCCGTAGCTGCGGCTTCTGAATCATCCCAATAGTTTCTGTGGAGGAATGCTCAAGCTTAACGCAAAATTCAACACAGATCTGCTGCGCTACTTGCTCAGCCATTTTGAATGTGACAGCCACACAGTACTCATGCTCCCTCAGTTGCATCTACGGCCCCACTGACTAGTACAGGGATGCCACTGTTGTTCTCACATGCTCATTCCAGTCCACTCTCCTTGGCCGCCAGGTTACATGGATGTCGCACAAACCATTCTCGTTACATTAACAAAGGCTAGACTTTTTCCAGCCCAAGTGTATGGGATAAATATATGGGAAAAATTAATCCTATCCTTTACATATGTGCTGTGCAATATAATAGCTACTAGAAACATGTGGCTGTTTAGAGTTAAAGGAGTTGAAGTTAAATTAAAAATATAAGTTCCTCAGTCATACTAGCTCCATTTCAAAGACTCTCTAGCCACATGTAACTTGTGGCTACCTTCCTGAGCAGTGCAGAGACTTTCCATCCTTCCAGGAAGTTCTACTGGAGGGAGGTACTGCCCCCTTCCTAATTGTTACTGTGTGATAAGATACTCAGGCAATGTTACAACCTTCTGCTTTGGGAGTGAATTTTCCTTGTAGTTCCATCAATTTTTGTTTTATATATTCTGAGGCTATATAATTAGGTTCACATAAGATTACAAATGCCGTATCAAGCTGTAAATTGAGTCTTTTACCATTATAAAAATAGTATTAGCCCTCTGTCTCTAGCCATTTTAATATATTTAAGCCAATTTTCTTTTGATTAGTACTAACTTGGTATATGTTTTCATATCCTTTCATATTCAACCATTTCTACAACTTTATCCCTTAGTTGTATCTGTTATAAACCATATAGTTGAATTAATTCATTTACATTTATTCTAATTGATGTTTTTTACCTTTTCTGTGATTTATCCCATCTTTCACCTTCTTTCTTTGTTTTTTAATCCTCACCCTAGGATTATGTTTATTGATTTCAGAGAGGGAGAAAGAGGGGAAGCAGAGATGGGGGAGAGAGAGAGAAACACCCACTGATTGTCTCCTGTACACACCCCAGCCGAGGACCAAACCCACAACCCAGGTATGTGCCCTGACCAGGAACCAAACCTACAACCTTTTGTTCTAAAGGAGGATGCGCAAACCAACCGAGCGGCCAGGCCAGGGCTAGACAATTTTTTCTTATTCTATTACTCCTCCTTTCAATTTGTAGGGTATGCAGCTTTTAGCAATTTGTAGGGTATGTAGGCTTTTAGCAATTATCCTAGAAATTACAGGGAGCATACCTAGAGACTTCAAATGTCGGAATTCTGATCCCTAACGTTTACATCAGTGATGCCGTGTATGTTCATTCTGCCTTGGTTTTTTCCTCTACAAGAGATTACTATTTTAGTCAGTCAATATTTGCTTAGATTTACCCATTTTTTCCCTTTCCTTCTTTTTTTTTTTTAAAAGATTTTATTTATTTACTTTTAGAGAGAGGGGAAAGGAGGGAAGAGAGGGAGAAAAACATCCGCCCCGGCTGGGACAGGGCCGCGCCCTGCCTCACTGGGAATCCAACCAGCGACCTTTTGCTTTTCAAGACAACACCCAGCCAACTGAGCCACACCGGCCAGGGCTACATTTACCCATTTTCATGGATGATCATACTTTTTTACTTTTTTAGACTTTCCAATTGGGATAATTTTCCTTAACCTGAAGTATATCCTTTAGAATTTCCTTTAATGACAATGTATTGGTAGCAAACCATCAATTTTAATTTGTCTAAAAATATCTTCTCTTTACCCTTGTTTTTGAAAGTTACTTTTGCTGAGTATAAAAATCTGGGATCACAGGTATTTTCTTTCAGCCCATTGATGACATCATCTTACTGTTACCCTGCTTCCGCTGTCGCTTTTGCGAAGCTGGATCCCAAGAGTCTTATACGAGTTCATTGACAGGTAATTGGTCTTTCCTTCTCTGGCTGCTTTTAAGAATTCTCTCTGCCATGTATTTTGTACTTTCACTACTATGTGTCTAGATGGAGATTTCTTTTTGCTTATCCTGGTTGGGTTCTACTGGGTTTCCGTGTGTTGGCATTTGCACCAGCCCAACCGTATCCTCAGCTATCAGCTCTTCATCCGTTACGGCCTCCAGTGCGGGGCGTGCGTCTATGTGTGTTCCTTCTGGACTTCCAATCTGTTCTTCTGGAATTTCAGCATCTGAAATCTTTGAAGGTCTAAATTTGTTGCCCATTATTTTTACTGGCTTTTCCTCAGAGTTTAAAAAAAAAAATGTTTATTGATTCTAGCGAGCTAGGAAGGGTGGGCGGGGGAGAGAGACACACACACACACGGATGGGAGGGAGGAACGCTGACCGGCCGTCTTCCACACTGGCCAGGGCTCCTCATAGTTCTTCACTGTTTGTTCGGTAATTTTTTTTTTTATTGTGAATTCATTTTTCTTGGAATTTCATCTATGAGAATTAATTGGAGCCGGAGTTAAATGCAGACTCCTCCAGAGAAGATTTGTGTTTATTTTTCATAGACTGCCAGAGGTTCTACTTTAAACTGAATTTCCTGCTTGAGGTTTGTTGGACCATCCAGGCCATATACATGCAGCCAATAAACCCACTCGAGTCTCAGTATTTTTCAAGGGGCACCTTGCACCCCTCTCTTGGTACCAAGGTTTCAAATATGTAATATTCTCTGCAACTACCTGGGGGTAAGAGCTTGCTGTCGGTCCGCCTGGGTGCTGCCCTCTGAGGTCTCAGCTTTATGGGACTCGGGTAGGAGGAGGTTGCCAGCACCACCGCCTTAGGCTATGAGTTTCGTCTTCTATATTCCAGGCCCCGTAGGTTATAGACACCACAGATGAACATTCAGCAAAAGCCCTCAAAGTTGGTGTCAGGACCCTGGTTTCCTCTTAAGAGCTCCCTCTTTCACTTAGTTTCTGGGTTCCAACTATTCTTTGTAAACATAAATTTCAAATACATTTGTGTCCTCTCCGCCCCAGCATTTTTACTTGTTTTCACCACGGTACCTACTAGGCCACACTGTCAGATAGGAGGTGCCAAATCCTCATTTGACAAGAAAGTGTCTGAGAACAGAAATCCGCTCAAAGGTAATTTAAATACACTCTACAAAGACCGATGCATAAGTCACTTAAAGCACAGCTTTGAATTTTGGAGGATCTTTAAGACTCCTTTTTAAAAACATCTGTCAATGACATCATTGTGCACTGACCGGTCAGGGAAAAGGGCTCTGGAAGTCAGTAAACTTGCCCTCCTGCCCCACTTTTACCACTAATTTGGTCTTGAACAAAAGCCAACTCTTTGACCGTATCACCTTAAAGGAGTCAGAGGAGGTAAACACTAAACATTTGTGTCTTGTCTTCCCAGCTCCCCTGTACTTCCTTGACAGCAAACACCTTCTTTCCTTTCAATCCTTCCCTTCTTAGCTCTTATGTACCTGCTACAAGAATCAAATAGCTCTGGCTGGGTGGCTCAGCTGGGTGCAGGGACGTTCCCCACATCGAAAGGTTGCAGGTTCGATCCCCGGGGTCGGGGCATAGGGGAGGCAACCAATCGATGCTTTTCTCTCTTTCTCTCCCTTCTTTTCTAAAATCAATAAAAACATCCTCGGGTGAGGACTTAAAAAAAAAAAAATCAATGGGTAAAAAAAAAAAATCAATGGGTTAAAAAAAAAAAAGAACCAACCAATGAACGCATAAATAAGTGGAACAACGAATCGATGTTTCTGGATGTTTCCCTCTCTCTCCCTCTCTCTCCCTTCCTCTATCTAAAAATCAATAATAAAAAAACAACAACAACAAAAAAACCAATTAAATTCCAGCCCTGGCCTGGTGTCCTCGGGAGATGCCAAGGTTGCGGGTTCGATCTCCCCTCAGGGCACATGCAAGAAGCAACCAATGCATGCATAACTAAGTGGAACAGCAAATGGGTGTTGCTGTCTCTGTCTCTCCTTCCTGCTCTCTCTCGCTAAATAAATAAAAAAATAAAAAGTATTAAATTCCATCTGCTTTTTCCATAGCACAGCCTCTTGGGCCATCCAATTAGCCAGTACTTTCGAATAACGAGAGCATATCAGAGCTGGCAGGAACCTTAGAGACTATGTAGCAACTAGTCCAACACTCAGTTTCCAGCGAAGAAATCGGAGGCCCAGAGCCGGGTGGCCGGGAGCTGAGTTACGGCTGAAATCCAGTTTCCTGCCTCCATGCCCAGGGCTTTCCTCACCCCGAGCTCTGCGTCCTGCGGGGGCTGGAGGAGATCCGACAGCTTCGCACACCGAACCCAACAAGTCCCCCCGTGAGACACACCTGTCCCCTCGGAGAGGAAGCCCAGCCCGACTTCCACCTGCGGCTGCAACCGCGGGACAGAAGTCCGTAGCGGGACAATGTGGCCGAAGGAACCAGCGAAACACAATGGCCGAGAACGAGCTGGTCGTGGACAAGCCCTGCGCCCCTGGGGTCCCCGGAGCACCCGGCGCGCTCACCGGCAGCGACGGGGACCCAGAGTTCCCAATCCGCGCCACCTCTCCAGCCTGGAAACGGGCTCTCTTTTGGCACCACGGAGAAAACGTGTGGGGACGGTCACAAACCCAAGAACAGGGAACAAGCCTCGGAGAAGTTTCCCGGCAAATGCGCGTGGCGCTGGGGCTCCGGCCCGACGCGGAAGGAATCGGACAGGGGAGGGCAGAGCCCCGGGGTCGCGGGGGCAGGTCCGTACCCACGGGCGCCAGCGGCAGCCGGGGGACACCCCGCCCCGCCCCGGGGCTCCGCCATCCCGAACGCGCCCCCGAGCTGCGCCAGAGGGACCCTTACCCGAGCCGACGCCGATTCCGCCATTGCTGCCCGTCGCCCGTCCACAGCGGAGCCCCGCCTGATACCCTCGGACTGCGCGCGGGTCCGCTGGGCGTCCCCTACCCCTCCTCGAAGCCACCACCAGCTCCGTGTTGACACAAGGCCAAGACTGGCTCCGGCCGCCCGTCCTCGGCGCGCGGGATTCCCATGGCGCCCCCGTGCGGCCGGAGGGTGAAGAGCAGCGCCGCACTCCCGGCCAGGGAGCGGCCAGCGGGGGACTTAGTCCCTCCAAGTCAAGCGCAAGTTCGGAATTTAGGGCAAACCCATGGGACATTGTGTGTGTTTTTTACGTGCCCAGAGCTCTGCTAGGTGCTTTGAGAGATTCCAAAGTGTGTAAAACTCAGACTTTGCTCTGAGGAAAGAATATGTAATCTAGTTGGGGAAAACAGCTATGGTCCCAAATGGCAAGTGTTTGTGTTCCAAAATTTAGCTTTTTAGAAGCTGGAAACACGCTTTGCATCTCACAAGCATGGGGCCAGGTTCCCAGGCCACCCCGCTGTAGCGTGCTCGTTATAATAATCACATGCTTTGGAAGCGCCAAGATAGCCCAGATTTTAAGTATTTAATCCAGTGCACGTGCTGCATATTAAGTGATGGGCGTGGAGTTCTGCCTAGTTGGTGCCACGTTTTCTCTATAGAAATTGGCAATGAACTTCTACTTCCAGTGATACAATAGATATGAAACGCTTCCCTGGACAACTAAACTCTTATGTTCACATTACTGGGTCGTTCTTGGCATGCCCGGCTCAGGTCAGACTTCACCTCCCCAGAGAGACATTCCCTGCCTCTACCCCAGCCCCAGCCCCCGTCCCCGCGACTCCAGCCCAACATCTTCCCTCATCCCAATCCTCAATCTGGTTACTCTCTTTGAAAACATTTTCATAGCACTTTATCTGAAATCTCATTGTTTCATTTGTTTACATGGTAATCACGTGTTTCTTTCACTAAAACGTTCCTCCCCGGTACCTCCATTTCTGGCACGCAGAAGTGGTCATAAATACTTTTGGGTGATTGGATGGCAAATCAGAGCATAATGCTAGGAAAAGCCTCCTCCAAGAGAAGGCACGATGTCCGGGGCGAGCAGATCACCAGGAGATTGATGGAATCATGGCTGTATCTAAAGAATGGGCGGTGCGGAGGAACCTAGTCGACCATGGAGGTTTGTCCAGGGTCTGACCTACCCTCGCTGGCCAACAAAAACATTCTGCCATTACAGAAAATGATGTATCACGATCGTGGAGAAGGATGTCAGGACACAGGATGCTGAGGCCATTAAATGGTTCAGGGACGGCTCTCACATGCGCTACTCCATTTCTACACGCACCAGGCAACCTCACGCTGAGGCAGGTCCCCGTGTAGCTATTGGGTGATACCATACAAGTCAGGCTGATGCTGATGTCCAGCCCACCCCTGGAGATTATTCACCAATACTCCGGCTTATACATCCGTCAGTCTCTTGAGAGTCAGCATGATTCAGCATCCCTGACTGTGAGCCTGGAACTCTGGAAGAATATTTAGATCAGATTTCCAGCGTGCAAGGGACAGAGCACCAGGCACTGTTTTGCAGAGTCACTGGCTTTGGGAGACGGTGAGTTAGTGGATGGGGCCAAGGAGTGCGACCATTAGGTGGCTTGCCACTCACTAGATGGGGACCTTGGGCAAGTCATTCACTTCTCGGCACCTCCACTTCCTCTTTATCAGTGGTAGGTAACAGCACGCATCTCATAGAGTCGTCGTGCAGACTAAAGGAGTTAGTTCAATGTCAAGTGCTTAGAACAGTGTCTGTCAGTAAAAGCTCAAGACGTGCTCATGATGGCTATTATGCTTTGCATCCCAGCTCCCTCACCCCCTAAGTGGTGTGGTTCCAGCTCACTCTGCTTCAGGGTCCTCCCACGGGGACTATGAACACCATCCCCAAGGGGCGCTGATGGAATGAAAAGGAATGACATTGTGTAAAATGTATATGCAGCCGAATACCTGGCACATAGCAAGCACTTGGTAACAGGCAATTTCTCATTTCAGTTTGTCTTTGCTTTGGCAAGGTCCTAGCCTTGAACTGCAATGAATTCGCCAAGATAAATGTCTCCTTGTCTCCAAGAAGCCACTCATTTGTCCTTTCCCAATGACACTCAGGTTTTGACACATGCCTTTGAATAAACTTTTTTTTTTTTTTTGAGTTCAAGTGGCAGTGGCAAGATTTATTAAAGTGCAAGCACACTCTCGCGGGGGAGGGGAGAAGAGAGTGGGCGGGCTCAAAGGGCAACTGCTGAATAAACTTTTAAATGAGGTTCGCAATTATTCCCTTCAGTGGCAGTGGTATCAGAGGAGCCAATATACTCTTAGTGCCTGTATCCTGTCATCTACACAATGATTGAAACATGCAGAGGCTCTGGCTAGGCAGCTCAGTTGCTTAGAGCGTCATTCCAATACGCCAAGGTTGTGTGTTCGATCCCCAGTCAGGGCACATACAAGAATCAACCAATGAACGTATCAATAAGTAGAACAGACCAATGTTTCTCTCTCTCCCCCCCCCCCGCATTCTCTCTCTAAAAATCAATAAACAAAATTTAAAACCCCTGCAGAGCTGAACATGACCTTAGATATTATCCCATCCACACCCTCATTTTTAGTGACCAAAAAGTATTTTTAACCACAAATGATAGTTTTAAATGCTTCAAAATATTTACCCAGACCATTAAAATTTCTATTGTGTGATCTGCAGCTTATGTGTTAGTGTATCTACGCCCAGGCATTTTTTATTCAAGAAAGTTTACAGGTCACAGCTTTATTCCACTCAGTAGGACCCTTTCTATTCTGGTCCCTCTACTACCCTGCACGGTTCCAGATGGCAGGGATCATGCCCTTTGTGTGCCTTCGGTGTGGGGAGGGGCACCCCGGGGAACGAGCTGCGCTCGGCTTGCAGTCGGGGAGAATCGAGTGTGAGCATGCCTGGCTCAGGCTGCACCTCCCTGCTGCATCTGTGTGTGCAGCGGACATCTGATAACTTTGTCAGCTTAGCACTTCTTTCCTCTGGGCCTATCACCTTGTTCCCTTTGGGGGCCTCTCCAGTTCTGAAAGGACATATGAGAAGTTCTTAGTAGCCCTGGCCGGGTGGCTGAATTGTTTGGAGCACTGGTCTGCACATCAGAAGGTTGAGGGTTCGATCCCTGGTCTGGCTGCATACAGGAGGCAACCGATCGATGTTTCTCTCACATCGATGTTTCTCTCTCTCTCCTCCTTCCTCTGTCTCTAAAAATCAATAAAAACATATCCTGGGGTGAGGATTTAAAAAAAAAAAAAAGCTCTTAGCAGTGGATGCTTCTCAACAGGGGAGTCTGCAGGAAAGCAATCGATGTTTCTCTCCCCCCCAACCGCTTGTCTCTAAAAATCAATGAAAACATATCTTTGGGTGAGGACAAAAAAAAAAAATGTAGAAGCAGAAGCTCTTAGCAGTGGATGCTTCTCAACAGGGGATGAGGCAGTAGTTTTACTCTTCGTCTTTCTTTTTTAACCATTTGAATTTTTACCGCATGCATTAAAAGTTAATTTTAATGAACACATTAGGAGGAGGAAAAAAATCCACCACCCCAGAGCAGGCCCTTCAGAAAGCAGAGTGCAGGGTCCGCACTCCAGGTCCTTGCTACCCCATGAGGCCCCTTCGGTAGCGTCACCTTGGATCAGTTCCGGGGCAGAGATCACTCTAGGACTTTCCTGGGGCCAGCGGGAGGCTGGGGCGACTCCTGGTGCAGCCGAGGGGCGCTTGGGGCCCTGGGATCCACCAGACTAGGAGGCAGGAACCAGCTACTTAGTATCGGCCTCTTGCTCACTCAGTCACTAAGCCTCTTTGGGAATCAGCTCCGGTGAGGGCAGAATATACACTTTAACTAGGTGCTCAAATGTTTCAAACCCATGTCTCAGGGATTTCTCCCCGCTCCATCTTTATACTCTGAACAGCCGAGAACAAACAAACAAAACTGTTGGTCTTATTTTCCATAATTTAGATTAGGATGTTCGATTCTCTGCATATGCCTTTGAAAAGCGAAGCACTGACCCCTTCCCACTGAAAAGAGCACTGGACTGGAGGGTCCCTTCTGCACTAATGAAACTCCATTGAGCTTGTCTATGTTTTAATTTCTCAACTCGTTTTCTTAAGACTTGCCTCCTTCAAAAAGAATGAAGGGGAAAAAATTAAAAATCCCAGGGTGTTGGATTCTAGTCCCGTGGAGGCCTTCCTGTACGAAGCCAGGCTGCAGCCCCCTCGGTCTTGCCAACATGCAGTCTGCAATCTGGACACCTTTTATTTAATTTCAAGAATTCCCTTTGCATGGCGAAAAGGGGTCTGAGGAAAGCCAAGCTGCGCAGACGAGGGAGGAAGCAGAGCGCTCACAAATGGGTGCCGGGGGGGCCGGCTGCCCACTGTGCCCGCGGCCGGGGAGAAGTGGGCTGGATGGGCGGAGCGGGAAAAGTCATTCTCGACACAAACGAGGGTCCTGGGGCATGCCACCCCACCCCGGTGCCTGGCCATGCAAGACGCAGAAATGGAGACTGCGGCCCCTCAGGACCGTGGAGCATTGCACCAACGCGAGGGAGTCCTTTGGGCGCCTCCCGAGGCGCCTGCGGGGTCTGAGCAGAGTCGGAGTCCGTGTCCGGGAGCACGGGCCGTGAACAGGTAGCACCGGTGGGACGGCTCAGGGCAGGGCAGAGACGGAGGCGCTGGGCCTCTAGCACCCACGCGCTGGCCCTCCTGGGAGGAGACTCGCTTCCGCCAGGGAGGCCCCTGCGGCCGGAGCCGCGCGCTCACCCCTTTGCCCTGGGGAAACTGGAGTAAGTCACCAGGGTGAGGCCTGACCCAGGGCGCCGGCGCCTCCGGAGGGCCCGGCCACTACTGTGCAGTGACAGCATGGGCTGCACCATATTGAGGGACTTGGAGGTGGCAGGCGGGGGCGCGGGGCCCAAGAAGGTCTTTCATAGGAAGAGCCTTTCAGAAGCACCACGCGGGGCACGCGGTAGCCGACCATTCCCCATTCCCAGGTACCCCGCGAGTGGCCCCCGGTTGCTTCTGATAATTTTTGGCGGGTCAGGGGCAAGGGAGAGAGACCAGGCGAGGCCAGGCCAGGGAGGTCTGCCTCTGGAACCTCGGAGGTAGGCGGTGTGTGTACAGGGGGGGGCCACTGCGCCGGGTCCGGAGCCCTGGTCCCAGCTCCGCCGCGCTCTTCCCGTGTGACCTGGGCTAAGCCATCCGATCTGCACCTCCTCTCCTGGGTTACCGGGTCAGGCAACCCCTACCCCCACCCACTGCAGAGGGATAGGCTAAGGGTGAAGAGAGATAACGGATAGAAAACACGTTTAAAAAAGTACAAAGCGCTATTGAAACGCGAGGCAGTGTTGTCGCCGTAGAGGTGGTATCCCTTACTTAGCGCATCCCTCTGCGCGGTCATGCCTTTGTTCCTTTAGCCGCCTCTCGACCTTAGGACCTGGCTGCCTGATCTCAGGCTCCCGAGAATCCCCGGTTGCTTCCCTCGATCACAATCTGTGACCCTGGTGGCCCAATGGGCACTCCAGGTGTCTGAGGGGGGTGCCCAAAGCCTCTCCTTACTGTCCTCTGGCCCCCTCCCTGCGGGAAGCCGCTCAGCCGGCCCCTTGGTCCACTCGATGAGGTGAGCTGGGCTGTCCGTCCAGGTCTGGGGGACCCCTGCCCAACCAACCACCGGGGACCCTGTTTAGAGTGCAATTCCTATTCCCGATTTCCAGCAGGTGGCGGGCGGAGGGAGGGAAGGCGCCCCGGGAGCCAGGGCAGGATCGAGGGTCGTCAGGCCGCCCCCAGGCCCGCCGCACCCCCGCTCCTGCCGCAGGGCCCTCCCTCCCCCAGCCCAGCCCTAGTCTCGCTCAGGCGGCGCCTGCAGGGGCCGCGGGGCCCCGAGGCCCGGGCCTCCGCTGTGCACGCGCAGGTGGTCCTTGAGCGACTCCTTGTAGCGGAAGCTCTTGCCGCACTCGCCGCACGTGTAGGGCCGCTCGCCCGTGTGGATGCGCTGGTGCTTCAGCAGGTTCTGCTTGCGGATGAAGCTCTTGCCGCACAGTGCGCACTGGAAGGGCCGCTCGCCCGTGTGCAGCCGCTGGTGGTTCTGCAGGTGCTCCTTGCGGCTGTAGGTCTTCTCGCACTCGGAGCACTTGTAGGGCCGCTCGCCGCGGTGCGTCATCTGGTGCCGGATGAGGCCCGAGTGGCAGTTGAAGCTCTTCTCGCACTCGGCGCACTCGTAGGGCCGCTCCTTGGTGTGGCTGCGGTGGTGGATGATGAGGCTCTTGCGCACGCCGAAGCACTTGCCGCACTCGGGGCAAGAGTAGGGCTTGCTGCGCGCGCCGTGCAGGAGGCCCCGCCGCAGCCCGCCCCCCGGGCAGCAGCTGCCGCAGCCCCCGCCCCCCTCCGGGCCCCCGCCTGCGCCCCCGCCGCCCGCCTGCGCCCCGCTGTTCGCTGCGCCGCGCTCCCCGGCCAGCGCCGCCGGGAAGCCGTCGTCCAGCAGCCCGGCCGCGCCCCGGCTTGGGGGCCCGCCCGTGCTCTCGGGCGCCGGGGCGGCGGGCAGGCTCGGCGGGGCGGGCTGCGGCGGCGGGGCCGGGGCCGGGTTCTTCACCAGCAACAGGCTGTCACCTAGGGAGGAAGAGACACGGAGAAATGACACTCTGACAGCGCTCTGCCCAGGACCCCGCACGGCCCCTGCGAGGGGGCCCAGGTCCTTCACTGATTTTCTCTGGCTTCGTGCGAGTCACAGGCGATTTGGGCCTCAGTTTCCTCTAAAAAAAAATGAGGAGACTGAACAAGGCGAAGGGTCATTTTCCACATGCCTGTAGGCAATGCCCCCGACCCTCTGACCTGCCCCAAGCCGCCAGCTGGGAGGGCGGGGAAACATCCAGAATGCCGAGGGCAGGCGGGGTGGGGGCTCTACGTGGAAGTCACCATCCCAGGCAGAACTACCTGCAAATAATGCGACAGACTTAACTGCGTTCTGCTGTTCGAGGCTAATTTACCGAAGGAGACCTCCCAGCTGGAGGGAATCAGCCAGCACTTACCCGGTCACCAGCCTGTGAGGAGGCAACAGAGGTGGCGCCGGGCGCCAGCACCGCACCCAGGGCCCCTTCCCCCAGGAGGCCTGACCCCGCCTGCGCCCTGGCGCTCAGAGCCCGAGTGTGGAAGCGGCTGTCCAGCCGGCCTCCCTGGGGGCCTGTTCCTGCTCCTGCAACGGGGCCTTTTTCTTTGCACCCCCCTCCCCCTGCCCCTGGAGCCCCTGTCTCCAGGCCAAGTCCCCAGGCCTCCGATAACCTTGGGGATTAGTGGGGCCCAAAGTCCGGGCTCTGAGCATCAGATCAGCGACCCAGGCCCAGGCCGTGACTGAGGAACTGCTCGTTTGCTGACTGTATTGAGGAGCCTTCCCCTCCCTCTACCTTCCGTCACCTCCCTGAAGGACGGCCGGCAGCCCTTTCCCCGGGAGGACGCCCTCCTCCACCTAGGGGCAGCCGATGGAAGGGTAGTAAAGAAGGCGAAGCTTGCACCCTGTCCCCCGCCTCTTGTGGGCATCCGTCTCTGCCCCTGCCGGGGCCCATCGGCTCCCTGGAGGACACCTGTCGGCCCGCCTGCCACACCCCCACCCAACCCCCATGCTCGCTAGCGTCTGACGGAGGCTGTGCTCCTTCTATGTCACCCCCTAATGGACTGGCCCAGCCTGCCCCTCTCTGGCCCAATCACAATTGCCCAGCAAAGAACTGTCTCCATACGACACTGGCCGGGCCGGGGCGAGGCACTGCTCGGGCCTGTCCCCACGACCGGGACAGCGGCTCCCGACCCGGGCATGGCCCTGGCCTCGCGGCTCCCTCTCCCCGTCTGCTCCCCTCACTCTTCTGCGGGGGCCTCTTCCCCAGACGACCCCCCCAAAATGCTCCCACTTAAACCTCCATCTCAGGGGCCGTTTCCCCGAAATCCGACCCAGAGCAGTCCGAAGGCTCTGCCAACGCGGTGTGAGCACCGGTCCCCTGGAGTCTCCTCTTCTCCCTTCCTGGCTCCCCTAAGCTCTGCGGTCGGAGCCGCGGTCACTCACGGGAAGCCCCCCAGACCTCTGTCCTCCGCTCTGCCTGCCCGGGGGCCCCCAATGCTGCGATGGCCCTCAGGCAGCCAAGGACGCTGGAGACGGCTTGTCACAAAGAGCAGGGTGGGAGGACCTGGGTTTGAAATGGCCTTTCAGATCAGAAATGACCTGTGTCCTCCACTCTGACGTGGATTTTAAACTCTGGGAGGGTGTCAGGGTTATGGGTTCAACACTCTGATCAACCGGAAGACACGAAGTCAGCTGTTCCGAGGGCGATGGCACTGGTTCCGGCAGGGAACGCTAGCCTGATGCTGAGAGTGTTAAATATCCGTGAACATATGCCTAAGGTCCCTGGCCAATGACCTTGAAAAAACACCCCGTAGACCCAAGCTGGGTGAGACATTCGGTAAGAAACCCGTTGCGGGGGAAAATCCCTTGTCTCCACTGGAGCTGCAGGATCTTTGCCAGTGACACCGGGGTGTCAGCCCAGGGCTGGCTCCGGCCAGCGCTTTCTGGATGTGGGCCATTGGCCCCTGCTCAGGCCACACGGGCTCAGCTCTGCCCCAGCCCACACTCCTCTCCCCGCTGCCACGGGCTAAGTTGCACCCGGAACGATGTGGAAATCTGAGTACCCAGGACCTCAGAATGCGACCTTATTTGGACACAGGGTTCTTGCAAACGGAATTAGTTAACATGAGGTCACATTGGAGCAGGGTGGCCCCTGATCCCATATGACTGTGTCCTCATAAGAAGACGGCCTGGTGAAGACTCAGACACCGTATGAAGATGGAGGACTGAGGTGACACACCTGTAAGCTGAGGACACTAAAGATTGCCAACAAACGCCAGAAGCTGGGAAGGTGCAAGGAAGGGCTCCCTGTAGCTTTTGGAGACAGTGTGGCCCTGCTGGCCACCTGCCTCCAGGCCTCGCCTCCCAAGCCCTGAGACAAGGCATTTCCATTCTTTCAAGCCACCCAGCCTGGGGGGCTTTGTTAAGAAAGCCCTAGGACCCGAACGCAGGGGCCTTCCTCCCAACACGGGAGGGCTCTCGGGGACAGACCGTGGAAAAGCCGCCGCCAGAGAATGTCGTCCAATCAGGGGGCAGCCTGGGGGAGCAGCCCTCCCTCTGGACAGACACCCAGGCCCTGGGGGCACCGCACGCAGCACTCACTGGGGCCAGAGTCTAATCCGAGCTCTCCTTCCATGGAGTCGCGTGGGCCCCACGGGTACGGCTGCTCCTCCTGCTTGATCCACGACAAGATGTCATGTGCTGAGATCAGAGACTCTGTTCGCGGAAAGAAGGCATCTTAGAAGCTGTTTGTTCCCGCTGAGGATCCCATCAAAGGTTCGACAACCACCCCACGCTCGGGCTGCTGCCCCAGCTTGCGGGGCACGTGGGGGCTGTGGTATCCGTGTTTCATTTACCGGTGCCCCCCCTCCTCGCGTGCCTTCACATACAGGACATCGCGTGTGCTCCCTCCACTGCCGGGTAGTCAGGGAGGAGGAGGCTTGTCCCACAGTCAGTGTGGCGGCAGAGCCAGGAGTAGAACCCAGGTCTCCTGACTCTATCTGTATCTCCTGCGCCTCGGGGCGGCCGGCAGGTCCAGGACAAGCCAGAGGGCAGCCTGGTCTGGGACGGCCCACAGGACCCGGGGAGGAGAGGTGGGACTGCAAAACCAGCGATGGCGCGGGCAGTGAGCACGGGTCAGTGTAAGAACTGCTCTCCACCCGGAAGCTTGGCTTTCCTTCCTGCCCTGGAGCCTCCCAACCTCCCCGTTGTAAAGCGGCTGCGCTGACAACATAAAGGAAGCCTAGACTTTATGTCTGATAGCCTCTTCCTGGGATGGCGGGGGTGGGGGCGGGGGCAGGATCAGACTTCGGGGTCACAGCTACAGAGTGAGGTGACACTGGAGTCCTCCAGGTCTGCAAGCTGTGTGAACACACACACACACACACACAGAGGCCCGGGGGTGGGGTCGTGGGGTAGCATCTCTATTAGGCTTTTACGTTTCCCTTTACACTGGGCCTTCCCCAGGAGTTTCCCTGGGAGTCGTCTAACTTAATGTTCACTCAAGAGAAACTCCAGAAAATGTAAATACGTATTTAGAGAAATGTATACAATTTTAAAAAGCCTTTTCGGTTACATTTATTATTTAAAAATCAGTGCTGAGGTTCTTTTAGTGTTAGATACATTGATGCAATTAATTATCGCCTGTTGACTCCTTTAGAAAACCCCCTCCACTTTGTTAAGTTACACTCTAAAGCTGTAGGAAGTTGCGATGCCGCCGCCCCCACTGGCTTGGCCCTGCAGGGACGCGGCTGGGCTTGCCGCAGTCACAAAGTCGGGGGGCGGGGGGCGGGGGCGGCTTGCCCTGCCCTCCGTCGGAGCTCCCTGCTCACCTGAACTGGGGTCCGTCGGGATATCCCTCTCGGCCAGGTCCTGCTGATCCCACACACACGTGTGCTCCTCCTGCTTGATCCGGGACAGGAGGTCCTGGGCGGAGGCTGGCGAGTCTGCATGGGGGGACACACCAGCAAAGGTGTCAGGGGACACGAAAATGCCCGCAAGTCTGCGCTTCGAGGGACTCTCTCACCTCATGCAGTTGTGTCTTTTCCCTGCAAATTGGGCAGAATTAACTTATGCTCATTAATTAAAGGGTGAAGTCAGCTTGGCCTCAACTAACGGAGCTTTTGCTTCAAATAAGTGGATACTACTGGGGAGTGACGCGACAGTTACTTCGAGAAAGAGCCCTTTTGCGCTTTGGGAACTTACCTCCTTAGAGGAGGCTTGTGACTGAGTGCAGGGTACTAAGCGCCAAGTACTGAGCACTGAGCACCCTCCAAGGAAACAGGTATTCCATCCTCATGTGGGGGTTTTCGAGGAAAATGACCCCTTCTGGGAAGCTTTTTTTTTTTTTTTAAAGATTTTTTTTAAAAACTGTATTTTTAAAGAGCGGGGAAGGGAGGGAAGAGAGAGGGAGAGAAATATCGATGGGTTGCCTCTTGAACGCACACCGAACCCACAACCCAGGCATGTGCCCCGACTGGGCATTGAACCAGCCACCCTTTGCTTTGTGGGCCGATACCCGGCCCACTGAGCCACACCGGTCGGGACAGGAAGCCTTTTATCTTAACTATTTTCACGGGATTTTTCTACAAAGACGTATTCTACATCTTTCTTCTGCAGAGGCCATTAAACCGCGTTTGTCCTTCGCGGCCGTCTCGTCTCCGAAAGATCTCTTTGAAGAGAGCAAAGCCCTAACACCCTGGAGGACCACACCGCAAGGGCTCCCTCCCTCAGCCGCTGGCTCACGGACCTACGGCTGTGAGGCCCTGACTCAGGCCAGCGGGGCTGGTGGGGCCCCAACCTGTGGATAAATAAAGAGCCACCATATGTTAACCTATCTGCCAATGGCGGATTTGGTGGGTACACTTGACTGGGCCACCGCATCCAGACCTTTGGCCAAACCTTATTCTAGAGGTGGCGGTGAAGGTGTTTTTTAACAATGAGATTCACACTGAACTCAGCAGGTTTGGGGTCAGGCAGATGACCCTCTATAATGAGGGTGGGCCTTGTCGAATCAGTTGAAGGCCTTCAAGAAAATGCTGGTCTCCCCTGAGGAAGAGGCCCTTCTAGATGCCAGGAGACCAGGTCTCCAGCCTGTTGGCCAACGCTGCAGATTCTACATGTGCTAGACTTCACAGTCATGGAAGCCAAGGCCTTCAAGATCAGTCAATTGACCAATCAATCAATCTCTCTACGCTCACGCATACACACCCTGTTGGTTCTCTGGAGACTGCCAACACGCACCTGCTCTAACAGAGTTCTCGCGCAGAGTCGCGCTCAATGCCACCTCAGAGGGGCTCCCCAGACTTCCCAGGCCGGTGCCCAGAGGCCGCCGCCCGTGAAAACTCGTATAAAACAGTGAATGCCCTTCCTGGCCAGGAGCAGGTCTTAGGGACCGATACAGTCCCCACTCACAGAGCCCCAAAAAGTGCTGCCCTAGTACTGCCTGTCCAAAGGAAGAGTTAAAAAGTGGTATTACAAAGAACAGAGAGAACCGAATGAACTAAGCCCAGATGTGCTGGCCAATCGCCGTGCTGTGTGCCACGCCAGTGCCCCGTGGGGAGACCCTGTCTCTCTGCCCGCCCCAGATCCACGGCCATTTCCAGCTCGGTCCCCCACCTCGCACACACGACCGACAAGGCCGGGACCCGCAGACCCTGCCGCACCTCGGCTCGCCCTCCCCAGCCTGGGCGGTTCCTCGGCTCGCTCACCGGTAATGGCCTCCGCGGGGACGGCTCTCTCCTCCAGGCCCCGCTGACCGCGGACACACAGGGCTTCCTCCCGCTTCACCTGCGAGGATGCGTCCTGGGCGGGCACCAGGGGCTCTGCTCCTGCGGACAGAGGATCACATCATTTGGTGTCTTTTTTCTGAATGACTGTCACCTGGATGCTCTTGGGGTCAGAAGCATGGCTGACAGCCCTTGCCGGGGAGAAGCACCAGGGTCTCGGGTTCCTGCGGGTGACGGCGGGGTCCCCGACACACAGAGGGTCCTGGGAGCAGGGAAGCAATCGACATTCAGGGAAATGGGGTGGGCCAAGCACCACAACCTGGCGTGGAAGGCCAGGAGCAGGTTCCAGAAACAGCCTCACGTTGGGCTGGATGCTAATCAGGACCAGTCTGAACTTTGTGTGGGAGTCATTTGTCCTTGTTTGTCACCCCAGTTCAGGAGGAGGTGGCCAGACAGAACACAGACATACACACTCACATGGACATATGCACGCACCCACACACGCGTATAAAATGAGCAAGAGGTTAGACTGAGCAAAGAGATACAGCCCAACCACCCCTAAGGACGCACGGCACGCATGCTGACGCAGAAAAGACTGTGACATTCCCAGTGCGTAGCCCCTGCTGTGTGACAAGAGGGCATTTCCTTCCTGTGCCGTTCTGCGGTGCGATGCACCAGCCCTGGCAGGAGGCAACAGCTCAGGAAGCGGGAGAGAGAGCGGAGGGGGAACCGGAGGACGCGGTCCTGGTTTGAACGCTGCCCCTGGCCCTGCAGCGGAGTCCCCTGGAACTCTCTGGCTTGGGCTGCTCGTCTCACCCACAAAACGGGCACGGTGGCCCCGTCCTGTGGGCGCAGGGAGGGGTGGTAACTCCATGCTTTCAATGAGAAAGGCGACCTCAGCCACTGACTCAGGCGGTGGCAGGTCCCAGGTATTTTTGCCGGAAGCATCTCTACCACAAGTATTTTCCCTGCACGGCGAACAGGCCACCAGGCAATTTCAGCCATAAAAGGTAACAATGACAAAAAACAAAAGTGGGACATGAAAAACTAAAAAGGCTTTTGACAAAAATGAAAACACACCATCTTTGAAGGCTTTCGTTCAGGACCTCATCCCATTTTTTTGTTTTTGTTTTTGTTTTTGTTTTTGGCTTTTTGATGCGTCTCCTCCTTTGGCACTGCACTGTTTTCTTTTCGCTACAATGTGGTCCCCCTCATTAAAGAGAGGTTATCAGTTTCCAGCTAAAGAATCAATACTCCATGCTCTTGAAGGCTGTTGTGAATGAGTGGCCGTCTTGCACAGTGCACAGTGTGGAAACCTTTCAGAGCTGAGGGGAGGGAGGGAGGATCCGCAGAAACTTTCTCGTGGCCACGTTCCAGGAGAGAGCAAGATGTGGACTTATATGTAGTTCCTACCATCCCGTCTCCAAGGCCACCACGTCTCCTTGTCAGTGTAGAGACCATTCTGAGGGCCAAGGTTTATGTAATGACACGCGCCCTGGCCGGGTGGCTCAGTTGGCTAGAGCGTCATCCCCAAACACCTCGGCTGTCGGTTTGATCTCCGGTCAGGACACATGCAAGAGGCGACCACGGAGTGCGTAACTAAGGAGAACAACACGTCGATGTCTCTCGTTCTCGCTTGTAAATCAGTGAATAAAAATGTAAAAACTTTAATACCATGAAAACGACAAGAACCTCATCATTGCGGAAAAACGTCAACCAGCTTGAAGACGTGAAATCTGCCAAATGTAAACCAAACTGTGCACCAGTTATTTGATCTCTCCTGGTGTAATTGCCTACGGCCAATTGTGCGGCGCAACGCTTGCGGCAAAGATGTTTACGGCAAGAATGCCAAACACAGGAGGGGACAAGTGAGTTACGTGATAAAGCACAGAACACAGTTCGAGCCCCAGATTTCAAACCAGTCTCGGATCTAACACTGCTCAGCAGTGCCGGGCCCCAGGACAGACCTCGTGGGCCGAGCCGGGGCTGGCAGCCGGCCCCACCCCCGGGAAAGCCGGGCCGTGCGGTGCCTCGGGAGCTGGCTCCCTCAGGCCCGAAGATTCCTTCTCCAGTGAGGGGACGGGCTTGACAGGTAAGTCTGCCTGTGGCGTGGGGCTCTGTGAGAGCGCGGTGACACTCCGGGAGGGGACGCCCATGCAGACCCCTTTCTGCCCTCCCCTGGGGCTGCTCCCAGGTCTCGGGCCTCCCACCGCAGGTCACCATCAGGTCTAGGGTGCCGCAAGCCAGCCCGGTCCCCGTGTCTGTCCCCAGCTGACCTGGGCCCCCAGAGCTGCCCGGCTCTCACCCAGTGCCGGGGCGGGCTTTTGGGCCCTGAAATCTCTTCCTGCAAGTGACCGCCAAATTTCAATGGTGGCAGAGCTGGCCCCACAAGCCACTCAAGAGAAGCCCGTCGAACAGAGGCGGGGGATGGGGCCCCTCTCCCACCCTGTCCTGGATGCAGGGTCTTTTCAGCTGCCATCACCTGTGTCTGGATCCATCAGGATTTCTCTCTCTTCTGGGTCACGCTGCTCCCACACGCAGGGCTCTTCCCTGGGCTCAGCCTGGGACGGGGCCTCGGGCTTGGGCCCTGGACCCTCTGAATCTGGAATGAGTTGGAAAGAAGGAAGCCAGGACTGAGTGAAGCTGACCACAGCGTCCCGATCCAGGGCGACGGCAGAACTCTCCCTCCCCCCACGCCCCCCCACCGCGAATGTCCCTCTAGGTGGCAGCTACGATGTGAGCAGGTAATTTCGTATGAGGAACCTGAAAACGAGTCTGCAGACTCCCCAGTTTCTGGTGTGGAACTAGCTGGTGTCGGACAGCCAACAGCAGGCTGACTGTGGCTTGTCGCAGCTGCGGGGGGCAGGGGGTGGGGTGGCGTGTGGTGAGGTACAGATGGTGCTAATTGTATTGCAAAACAGCGGTGATGTTTGAGTCCACAGTCATCGGCCCTGTCCCTGGCTTTTTAATTTTCATCCTGTTAGGGGCCATTCTATCTTCCTAGCATGACAAGCAAATTGTTTCTCGAGCGCCCACAAACAGGACACAGCCCGCCCAGGTGGCGCGTGGGAAGGAGGGTGGGGAGGAGGGCTGAGCGCGCGTTCCCCCCAGGACTGGCGGCCACAGGGGCGGGAGGCCGCCTCACCCAGGGACATGAGGGTCTTGTAGTTCTCCTTCACGAGGTTGTTGTAAAGCTCCTTCTGCCATTCGTCCAAGTTCTTCCACTCGTCCTCAGAGAAGTAAACGGCGATGTCGACAAAAGTCACCGGAACCTGCGCCAATGAGAGTTTCAGTCTGGCGCCGCCCCCGCCTCCCCTTCTCGGACCCCGGGGAGGGGGGGCGCACTGGACCGGCCTTGGCTAGCGCTGCAGGGCTCCCCGGCCTCCCCGCCCAGTCCGGCCCATTTCAGTGTGTCAGTCACTCCATTCCTGACCTCCTCCTGCTTCCAGAACAAAAATCACTGCCTCTCCACCACCCCCTCGCCCCCGCCCCGTTCAAGCCTTTACCGTATCCTTTGTGGTTTCACTTCTAGGTGACTGGGACCCAAGCAGAACTGGAGTCAGCGCGCCCGCCCGGGTGACTGGGGCATGGCAGCTGCTGTGTACGTACCGGCGAGCCAAGTACAGTAAAACCCTGCCATGGAGCCTGTATTTCTGGTCAGGTCACCTCTACGTATGCAGGGGCATTTCTGTTGCTACCTGGGTCAAACTGAAAGGCACGCGTGGAAGCTCCGCGATCCCCATCTGCTTGGTCGCTGCTGTGTCCCAAGCATCTGGAAGCCCAGAGCCTGAAGTCCAGACATTTGTGGAGTGTGCGGAACTCCGGCTGCCAAAGCTAGGAAGTTCCGCGGAGGCCTGAGTCACCTGCCGCCCCGCGCCCGCCCCTCCGGATTCCAGGCAGCCTGATCTGTTATTCAAGCTGTGACAGGGATCCTTGTCTGTCACTCACCAGCAGGGCCTCACCTGCGACCCAACTGTTCAGCATAGTTTCACTTCCATGACTTTAACAACAGAACTTCCCTCCTTTGACCACAGAGCCTCGCCCCCCACCCCTTTCATATCCCCAGGGGACCAGCCTTCTACCCTCACTCTGAAGTCCAGCCCCTCGATTCTCTCCCGGGCCCCAATCCTAGTCCATCAGCTTCCTACCGGCACAGGCAGGCCACAGCGGGCCGTGTGGCACCTGTGCGCACCTGAGAGAGCCGGCCCTGGGGGTCAGGCCCACTGGTGGACGGTGTGGCGGTGGGGGAGGGGGTGGGGGCCACGCCCTTCCATAAGGGGAAAGCTCCACCTTTGCCCAGGCGCTCGCAGCCCTGAGGGCGCCCCGCCCAGCGCACACCTGTGCCGGGGGAGGGCTCCCCGGACCCTCCCACAGACCTGGGTGCGAACCCCTGACCTGGGGAACTATTACAGACTGCTCTTCACTTTACTGCCCTGCTGCTTGATAAAAGTCACAAAATCCTGCGGGTGGCACCCACCATCCATTTCTGTCACTTGTCTCAGGGGTCCTCCGGCCGCCTCTCCCGATCTCGCTCATCTCCCCTCCTCGTCTGCCCTGGGAGCCTTCTTTCGTACCCTCCTCCAGCCGCCTTCCCCGTCTGTCCTCGAGCTCCCTCCCGTCCTTGCCCTTCATCTTGCCGAGCCAACCCCCTCGCTGTGTGCCCTCATCTCTCCTCCACTCCAGCCCAGGAAACAGCCCGAACAACCCTCAGTCTCTCCTTCTTCTGGGCTTTCCCTCCAGGGCCCCCCAACCCAAGGTGAACCCACTCAATTCAGCCGCCTCAACCAACGCGACATTCTCTCTTCACTGGGGACGCATGCCCCGCGCATCTTCTGGCCCCTTCAAGCCTGTCTGAGAGTCCTCGCTCTCCGGCCCACACCCCAGAAGGTCCTGGTGGCTACTGTTGTCAACCCTCCCCCTCGCTGGCCTCTTTGAAAGGTCACACCCCCTCTGGGGGACTTTTCTCCTGCTCGCTGTCCACACCCTGCCACCTCCTGCCCGCACGACTCACGTCTTCTGCACAGCCTCCTCTTCCTCCCCCAGCCCCGAGGTCCTGCCCTTGGCCCCCCGCCCCCACCCAGTTCCTTCCCTCTCCCCTTGGCAGACGACATTCTTCAGCTTGCCTGGCGCCCTTCAAAGCTCACAGATCCACAGCCTTCTGAGTGGCCCCATTTAATCATCTTTTAAGTACCTCGAACTAAATGTGCCCCAAACCAAGGTTGTTATCTTTTCCAACCTCCCCCTCCTCCGCCTCACTTCACCGTTTCTGCGGACTGACCGACACGCTGGGATCGCGCTCTCGCAGCTGGAAAGGGACATCACTTTTGAAAATGCTGCCGTGCCAGGATACGGCAGCAGCCTGAGACGCGGCCCAAGCCTGCGGTCTAGCTGGGTAGGAAAAAACCACCCACAAATCATCTGTGAACCCGTGAGCAGACCCCACAGCATCAAGAGGCACAGAGGATCTGAGAGCCGATAGCCTCCCTGAATCTGACAAAGAGCACGCGACCAGCGTGGCCAAGAGTCCGCGATGAATTAGGACTACTGCCAGCGACAAGAACTTCCATTCGCATGGTGCTCTATGGTTGCGGGGGTTGAAAACATGTCCACAAATTCTTCCGACAGTGTCTTTAAAAAGCAGAGCCCACTTCTCTCCCCTCGAGTGTGGGCAGGACGTAGTAACTTGATTCTAAGAAATGAAGAAGTGAGGATGTGCGGCTTCTGAGACTCGGTCTCAGGCACACGCAGCTTCCGTCCCGGTCTCCCCTCAATTCACTCCTGACGGGAAGCCCGCGGCCATGGCGGGAGGGCGCCCGAGCAGCCCTGGGGGAGGCCCACGTGGGGAGGAACGTGGGCTTCCTGCCCTCGGCCAAGCGAGCCAGTCTCGCCGGAGGCAGACCCCCTGCATCGGCCACGCCTTCAGGTGACGAGCCCCAATGGCTTGACTGCAACTTTGTGAGATGCTGAGCCACAACCCCTCGGCTAAGTGGCTCCTGAATTCCTCACCCACAGACAGGGCACGGTGATAGATAATTATTTTTTTAGGCTGCTGCATTTGGGGATAACTTGCTACACAACCATAGGTAACTGATACATTGCGTTGTCCCGTCAGCACAATCAACGCATCCTCACAACTCCATGCCTTCATTTTCCCGGCGAGAACATCGACGCTCAGAGAGGCCAGCTGGGAACGTCCTAAGTTCTACTTACTTACACTTCGCTTCCTTCAAGGGAGAAACTGAGGCAGCTCAGTGACAGCGGAAAACACACTTGACCGGTACATGCAAAGCCAGGGCCCACACCCTAGTCCACTGGTTCCGGACCCCACACCCGTTCCACCATTCTGTGAGGGCACATGTCGACTCAAGGGTCCTGACGCTCAATCCCACACCCGGGACACACAACAGGGCCACAGGGGAACCGGGCACTGAGGCGAACTTGCAGCTCAGACATGAGAAAGGGCCGTGTGGAGACGCTGGCTGTGTGGGACAAGCGCTATAAAAGCCACCCTGGGAGCCAGGCTCTGCGCGCTGCGGTGGCAGGGCCGGTTTTCGGGAGGAACCAGGCCCACCAGACCGTTCCAGCCCGGTCTGTGCAGCCTCAGTGAGCCTCTAACAAACAAGCCTGTGGCAGAGCCACCGGGGGCCGCCTCTGCAGACACAGCTGGGGGCCGCCAGGGACTGCGGGGGTCCGATGCAGTGCGAGTGCTCACGCGGGCTGTCCTGCAAACCAACCAGAGCCCGGGGCCTCTTATGGGCACAGAGACGCAGCAGCGGACCCAGCCAAACTCACACTGCGGTTGGAGAAAACCGACCGAGAAGACAAAAACAGAAGTGACTACTTCAGATGCGTGATGGCGTAAGTGCTTGGAGAACGTGAGAGCGGCGCAGAGAGGGCTGCGTGGCCGCGGCGCCGACCCGGCCACCGGAGGGCGCGCCGGCCCAGTGACGGCTGAGCAGGCCCCGGTGGGGGCACAGGAGGGATGGAGCCTTTCAGTGGAGGGAGGCCCCTGAGGGGGACGGGCGGTGCCATGGCACAGTGGCAGGAGGCCCTGGGCCCGGGAGGGGCGGGCAAAGGGGGGGAGTGGAGATGAGGCCCGAAAGGCGGACGGCCACCGGCAAAGCGCGGCCTACCCCTGGGCTGCGTGGGAAGCCGTGGGAGGGTTTCAAGCAGAGGGGTAACGCGACTGTCGGTATTTTAACAGGCTCCTTGGGCCGCTCTGCTGAGAATAGAGCTCATGGGGTGGGGGACAAGGACAGAGACCAGGAAAGCCGGCAGGAGGCACGGCGATGACCGGGTGAGAGGTGGCGGTGGTGGGGGCGGTGGAGGTGGCAGCAATGGTCGGACACCGGCTGCTATTTTGAAGAAAAATCAACGGTATTTACTACATTTTGGAAGTAGGTGTGGGAAAGAGGAAGGAAGGTGAGCCCAAGGTGCTGGCCTGAGCAAATGGCAGGAAGGCATGTCTTCACCAGACACGAGGATGACTCCGCGCAGGACAGGCGTCAGCAGGGAATCGGCTCTGACAGGCCACGGTAAGTCTAAGATATTCACTGACACCCATGGGAGATGCGGGGCGTGAATCCGGCATTCACGGGAGTGTGGGCAAGACACAGGGAGAGAGACAGGGAGGTAAAGATGGCGATCGGGCGCAGACAGCACCCAGGCTGCGCCCACAGCCCTGAGGCTCATGAAGTCATGCAGCAGGGAGCAGAGAGCGAGCGGAAGGTCAGACAGAGCCTGGCCCACACCACGCGTAAGAAGTCGGGAAGGGCAGGGGAAGCCCACAAAGAGAGAAGGAGCAGCTCGTGAGGTCGGGAAAGAGCCCAGAGCGGTGGCCTGGAAGCCACATGACAGGTGTCTCAGGGAGGGCGCAGTCACCTCCATGAAATGCTGCAGACAGGGCCACCAGCTTTAATACCACGGATGTCGTAAGGACAGAGAGATGGCCCCACAGGTGGGGGCCGAGGAGCATGCTCCAACGGCCAGCTTCTGGAATATGGAGAACAGAGGAACATGCCAAATGAGACCCCAGAGGCGGCGGCAGTAGAATCCAGATGGTAAGGAACTCAACAGGAAGGATGGGCCAGTTCCTTCCACAGATAAATTGCAAAGAAAAATTAAAGAGATGGAGAAGGAACCTACAGGGTAAAAAAAGGACTTAGGAGGCAAAGCAATCACAGTGGATAGACCTTAAGTTCTGATTCAAACACACACGTAGAGAAAAAAATTATGTTTTTGAAAGAACTGGAAATGTGGATGCCAACCAGATATTTGAAGAGGTTAGGCTTCTGCTGTGGTGGTAATAATACTGAAATTATTATTTTTAAAAGAGAGTCTTTACCTTTCAGAGCTACATGCTGAAATACTTGCAAATGATTAGTGTCTGAGATTTTGCCATGGGTGGGGATTTAGATGCAAGAAGACTGGCCAAGAGTTGATCATTGTTGAAGCTGCACGATGAGCTCATGAGGGTTTGTTACATTCTCCTGTCTACTTTGGTGTATGTCTGAATTTTCTATAGTAAAAAGATTAAAAAGGGAGGGAGAGAAAAATGGGGAAGCAAGAACTGGAGACAGTGACAGATGAGTCACTGGACTCTGCTCCAGAGCAGCAGAGAATCGAGGCACTAGCTGGAGGGAGCGGCAGGGGCTGGGGGCTTTGCTACTGCACGGCCGGCCGGCCCCGTAGACAGGGAAGAGCTGATGATGCAGAGGAGAAGGGGGACGTGCTGGAGTGACTTCCTGGAGTGACGGGGGACAGTGAGCCCGTGGGAACAGGACAGGCAGAGCACGCGAGGCGGACGGATGGACGAGTGCCGTGGGTGCACGTGGATGTCGCCTGTGAGTGACTCTGTTTTCTTGGCAGGCTGGAAAGCAGGGTCATGGACCCAGACTGCCGTGCTGCTGAGCTGGGGGACTGCGGATGGAACAGCAGCCGGAGCCCGAATTCTGAAGTGCACACTGGGAGACGGCGGAGGGGCTGGGGGGTGGGGCGGTCATGACTTTCTAGGGGTTCCGGGCAGCGTGGTTTGGGTCTGCCTCCAGCCACATCCAGACACGCAAACACAAAGATAACCAAAGACGAACGGCCACTTATTGGTGCCAAGTGGAAGCCCGAACATGACACCTGGGCATTCCGGGGAGGTAAAGGCTCAAAGACAGAAACGCGCAGATGCTGTGGGGGCCGGGTGGAGGCCGGCTCCCAGAGAGAGAACGCTCCAGACCTGATGTGGGAGAGAGACATCCATCAGCCGCCTCTCGTAGGCACCCTGACAGGGGACTGAACCCACAACCCACGCATGTGCCCTGGCTGGGAACTGAACCGGTGGTCTTTCGTTCCGCAGGATGACGCTCCAACCAACTGAGCCACACCGGTCAGGGCCAAGAAGACACTTTAAATTAAACAACAGGAAGCCAGAGAAGTTTGTGAGGAAGACTGACAAAATAAAATCAAGGGTTCACCTGTGCTGGTCCCCACCTCCATCCCTGCCCCCGGGGACCACCACATACCTTGGGGACCTCCCCCTTGCTGCCCGGGGGCAGGCGCAGGACCCAGAAGTTCCGGTTCCGCAGCAGGTTCTCCATGTTCTCCAGGCGCCTCTGCAGCAGCCCGTACTCCTGCAGCAGGGTCCCCAGCACGGCCCACTTGCTCTCCATGTGGTTCCCGAACTCCACGGCCGTCTTCTCGCAGTCGGCCAGCTTCTTCTCGGCCGTCCCCGTCCGTCCCTCCAGATTGAGCAGCTGGCTGGCCTGGGCATCCACCTTCCTCTCCACCGCCTGGATGGCGGCCACCACGGTCCAGAGCGAGATCTCCGCCGTGGGCAGCTGGGGCTCTCTCATTACGCGGTCAGGGAAGACGGGCGCCCTGTCTGGGAAGGGCGGGAACTGAAAAGGCATTGGTCGCCGGGCGTCCATGTCCCATTCTTGAGCCTGGGTGCAGAGGGACAAAGTGACAGCCTGGGATGAGATCCTGTGTGAGGGGGGACAGTGGCCTAAGAGCACAACTAATTAAATGCCACAGATTCTCTTTCTTCGGCCAAGCCCCCACCCCTCAGGCTACGGTGCGCACGACCGTGTCCCCTGCAACAGCTCAAGCAGCCCCCAGCCTTCCCACTTCCTGCCTGCTGGAGTCGGCCGCTCTCGCTAGTGCGCCCACCTGACCCTTGGCCTAAAATGTCACACATGACCTTCTTGGAATACAGCAGCTACTTTCCTCAAGAGCAAGACTTAACGATGAACTCTTTAGAGTGGCCTAGTGCTTTCTGTTTGAAAGTAAGAATTTTCACGGGAGTCACCAGACCCCAATCTTCCCAGCAAACTTGGAGCTACTTAGGGCACTAGTGGTTATGTCTGCTCTAAAGATGATGAACTGAGGCACAGAGAAGCAGCTGGCCACTCTATAGCCCCTCGCTTCACTGCCACCTGGGCCGGCTCTAGGGGCTGCGGCAGGTCACCAGAAACACAGTTCAGGTCAGTGCAGCTGACAGCTTCCCAGCAGGGCGGCGCCAAGGGGGACACTAGGGAGGCCAAGCGAGACAGCAGGCGAGCAGCTTTCTTTCCACAAACATCTATTGATTCGTATTTCCAAAATGAAAATAGGGTTGCCAAAAAATGTCACTCCCTGAGGAGGGATGAAGGGCACATCCCTAAATGGGAAAGAAGACCTCCCAGCTCCCTGTCTCCTGGGGAGGGGTACCCCATGGCCCGGCGCCTCGTTGTGCCCGCCAGCTCTAGGCCCTCACCCTGGTAGGCAAAGCCCCACGGGTGCAGGGAGAGAGCTGAGACCTATGACCAAGTGAGGGCGGTGACCATTCGCTGGTGACCTGGGAACCGGCCCCATACGGTACCAGCACCCAGGGCTTAGTGGACAATGGCAGGTGCAGTAACAGCCTCTCCTTGCCGCCAGGGACAGGAGGAGGTGTCATTTTCTGTCCTCCCTGTTGCTGCAGAAGAGGCCCTCGGGCCAGGCAAAGCGGAGACCTGCTGCTTAGAGGTGACCTGGGCAGGCCCAGGGCAGGCACGCCAAATGCCCTAACTCAGAGCAGCTGTGACAGCCACAGAGGAACACCCGTCGCGTCCGGGGAATCACCGGCACGGGAGAAAGGGGGCCGGGGCTCCGGGCCCCACACCCTGCTAAGGAAGAGGTGACAGCATTTTCATCAAAGCTATGTGCATGGGCTCATTTCGGCTTCTGTCCAGCCTGGCCTGCACAAGGCGACAAGAGCTGGCAGTGGAAGTTGAGGAAGTCACCAGGCCCAGCTAACTTTTCTGAGGTTCACTGGCCTAAAGCTGAAGAGCGACCAGACACAACTCTTGGCCTCGACTGGGCCATCCGCAGGGGGCTTTGGGGGCCAGGCCCAAGGCCTCTCCCAGGACCACAGCCTTGGTACCTGATTCTGGAGCGCTGGCTCCTGGCACAGCTGCACGCTGAGGTCCTTGTGGAGCTATAGGAAATGACCATACCCACTCGCAACCCCTGAGCCGCTGATTTAACTGGCCTGGCCTGAGGCTCCGGCGGCAGGAGTCTTGCGAGTTACTCAGGTGATTAGAATGTGCAGCCAAGTTTGCCAACCGCTGGAGAGAAGGCAAAGTCACCTCTCAGGGGCCCCGGCACACCCGGTGCAAAGGAAAAGTGGATTACTCCTTACACTTGGTGAAAGATGGAAATACGTGTAAAAGAGCTTTCGTCAAAGTGGCTACGGTGTAAACCTGCGGAGGCGGCCCGGGTGCTGCCGGCAACCCTCCTGCCCTGCAGCGGCGAGGCCAGGCCGCGGTGGAGACGCGGTTACGGCTCCGCCAGGTCGCGGGAACCACGCGTTCTGGTCCCTCGCCCCCGCGGGGCCTCTGCTAGGCACCGGCACTGGGCCCGGCCGGCACGCGGCCTCGGGGGCCTGCGGCTGGGCGGCGCGCGGGCCGGGCCGGCCAGGGCACCGAGGATCGGGGCCGGGCCTGCCGCGGGGCCCACGGCGGCCGCCTGCCAGGCGAGCCCGCCCGTGCTCCGACCCGCCCGAGGCCTCCGCTCCTGCGCCCGCACGCCCAGGGCCCTCGGTGCCCGCAGCCCCGCAGCCCCGCCCCCACGGCCGGGCGGCGCGGCCATGGCGTTGGACTGGGGCTGCACCCACCTGCATGGGCGGCATTCCCTCGGCCATTTCCCCGCGCAACGCCGGCTCCTGGTGGCAGACCTCCTCCGGGGGCAGAGCCTGGGCCCAGCTCCAGCTCCCGCTGTCCAACCCCAGGCCCTGAATGCCCAGCTGCTGAGGCTGCGGCCGTGTTGACACAAACTGCATCCTGGGAGTGCTGTTCCCCGCTCGGGCCGGCCACGGAGAAGAAGAACGGTTTCCAGGCGCCTTCCCCCTCGCCGGGGCCGGACAGCTCCATCTACAGCCCGTAGGAGCAAACAGTCCCCTTTGGAGGCGCTCCCCGCCCCTCCGCAGCCAGCGCGCCAGCCAATGGCTTCCGAGCTCCTGCCCGCCTGCGGGACCGACGGGACCACTCCCCGGCCAGAGCTGCCGCCACCCCAAAGTGGCCCTGGGCGGTACGTTCCTTAGGGCCCTTCAGTCTGGGATGGCCTGCCCTAACGTCCCAAACAACGCAGGGTCCTGATTTCTGCCAATTCTGCAAACGTATTGGGCATCCCACGGAAAATGCTGTCTGGTCCTTTTGAAAATTTTGCAAGAATAATTGTGCCTCCAGACTCTTCGGTCTCTCCCCTTCCCTCACGCCTTTGCAGGCTTCACCTGCCCACTCTCCCTCTCCCCAAATTCAGATTCGCCTGGACCAGTTCCAGGCCTATGCATTGGTCTGGGTGACAGAGAAGTGATCTGGGGTAATGTGTCAGGAGAGGGCTGAACTCTTCCTCCCAGGAAAGGCGCACAGCATTTTAACAGCAGCCTCTCCCAAAACCTTTAAATGTAGGTCAGCGTCACTTTGAAACATCAGGCTAAGGCAGGGTAGGTGAATGGAGAATATAGGCAGAAGGCAAATTTCGTTCCTTCCACAAATATTTACCGAGCACTTACTACGCACCAGGTACTGACTGCTTGGGCAGGGGTTGGGCTTTGCGGTTGGATGCACCTGCCTTTAAATTCCAAAATCACCAATCATTAGCCTCGACTGTTAACGTTACTTAACTTCTGAGCTTCCCTTGGTCTCTTCATATATAAGTGGGGGGAAAAAATGCCCACTCCACAGTTGTAAAATCAAGTGAGATGAGAACAGTGCTTAGTACATAGTAGGTACTCAATGAGGGTAGTTACTACCAAAAGGCAAATCCTTGTAATTATCCTCAAAACAGTGTCTATGTTGTCTTCCTAAATGACTACCTTGTTATGACGGAAATCTCCACAGCGTCTTGCCCGTAAGAAGCCAGACCTGCTGCAGAACTACCCCAGGTGGGCATCCTTTTGTTTCCCTGCATTTAGCAAAGCAAAGGGCCTCACTGGCCCAAGTGAGGTGTGTCCTTAGAGCTCCATACTCAAAAGGACAATCATCAAGTACTTCCTCTGTAAGACACATTTCCAGGATACAGAGCAAGTGCCTTAGTACTATGGTCAAAGAGCACACAGGCTAGCAAAGGTTCTGTTCCCAGAAGTCAGTGTTTCCTTCCCTCTGTTGCCTGGTCACAGGCGGCCCCCAATGGTAAACATCATGTCCACCGTTATTAGGGGAACGAGGGAAGTAGAGTCTGAAAAGCTGCAGGTAAATTTATTTGCACCAACAAGGCACATTTCAGAGCGCATATTCTAGCATATGGATGGTCGGCTGCCTTCCCTTCCCTACAGGCGGAAATGAGGCCAGGCTAGTCCCAAGGCTGAAGCTGTGGTTTCAGTGCATGGCAGTTAACTAAGTGCTTCCCTCCTTACACAATAAGACACCACCGTGGGGCATCCGCTTTACGTTTCTCTCTCCCCGAGGATGGGTTTCCACACAGCCATGCACGCTGTCACCCCTTGCGGCCAGGGAGTGGCTGCCCTGGGCTGGAGGTCCAGTTCACTGTCCGGAGCGAAGCCATCAATGCAAGACAACTTAAATGCACGGGCTTCATTGCACTATCATTAATTTATAACTGTCCAGCCTAGCAGCCGCAGGCCGCGAAACCCGGACGTGGATCCAGTAGGAGGGTAGTGCATGGTGGGATTAGGGGCACTGCCCGGAAAACAAGGGCACGAGGAAGGAGCTGTTATAGCAGCGCAGGCTGCGGACCCTCTCCGGGGTGCTCCGGTGACCCATGGGCTCAGAGAGAGGCTAGGGCGGGGCAGGGCCTGAGCTGGGGGAGGTGTCCAGCCACCGAGCTTGTTTGCATAAATCGCTAGGTAACCATCAAGCCGCTACCTCACTTACCGAGGAGCAGAGTGAGCAGCTGGATAACAGGAATTAAGGGCTCAGGTATCTCGCTAATAAACGCGTCTCCTAAGGGGAGGGCCCAGGCTGGCCCCTCACTCTCACAGGTGGGAACGGACTGCTTTTCCTCTCCTCGCCTGGGAGCTCTGCAGCTACTGCTTGGACGGGGTATTTGACGTGGTAAGAGAGGCTGAAGGAGAGGGAGTTCGTGAATGCCAGAACTCTCGTGTGTCGTGAGGGTTCGTTTTGTGCATTAGCTTGTCCGGGCCAAGGGATGCCCAGATAGCTGGTAAACACAGTTCTGGGTGTGTCTGTGAGACTGTTTCCAGAAAACATTGGCCTTTGCATCAGTTGGCTGAGGAAAAATCAGCCTCACCCATGTGGGGGGGCATCGTCCAATCCACCGAGGGCCAGGGCAGAACAAAAAGGCAGAGGAAGGGCGACCTTGCTCTTTCCATGAGCAGGGACACGTGTCCCTCCTGCCCTTGGACAGCAGTGCTCCTGGTTCCTAAGCCTTCGGACTCAGTGCGGCCCCCCTGGCTCTCCTGCTTTTCCTGCTTGCGGGGGGGCCGACAGCGGGGCTCCTCGGCCTCCGTACTGCAGGGGCTGATTCCTCTAATAAACGTCTTCACAGCCTTCTGGTTCTTGTTTTTCCGGACAGCTTTACCATTTCCTACGAATCCCTGGTGCTCCCTGTGCGCTCCGAGTCCTTTCAACAATTACAAGCTTTATTCGAGGAAAAAATAACCCAAAAGACAAACACTCTAGATTCACTCTTAGCTGAGTGAAGAGGGTGACCAGATTTGCTCTTCTTTCTTGGCGTCGCCCGTGCCTAACTGCACAGCTCAGCTTCAGGACTACAGTGTGATTGATGGAGTAGAGAATGGCAACCTAGGGATCCTCAGACTCCCCTTGCCTGCTGCCGTGTCCGCGGTCACAACCTGTCTCCACTCTAGGTCACTGTCCCTTCTGCCAAACTCCAATGAAGGGTAACCCCTTAGGTTTCAAAGCCACTGACATCCTGTAACTAAAAATCAGATGCAGGGCTTTATGGAGGGGAGGGGTGCTGGGCACAAGGTAATAAAGCTCCAAGATTCCTTTTAAGAGGTATCAAGTGTTACTGTGGGGATCACAGTCAAATATTTTATATTATACAGTTTTAAGGTCAGTTTGCTCTTGCTAATGAGTTTTCAACATCCTTGCTTTTTCCAGCTCTACCTTTTGCCACCATTTTTGTTCAAACTTAAATGCCAAACACACACACATTTTCATTCCCTGTCCCTCTCCTGCTAACTTCTGAACATTTCTGCTTTATACTTATGTAAATAAAGTTTGGAGAAAATATTTTTTCCCTCTTCAGTTTCTTCTCAGCCTTCTTCAAATACGCATTTCATCACCTTCTTTACAAATCTTGACACAGTAGATAAATGAAGTTCTTGGGCTTCTCTGCAGTTCTTAATGGCTCTATGCTGCTGCCCTCATTTTAATAAATGTGTAATCGCTCGGTGACTGAGTGCGCTGCTCAGCGGTTCTAATGCAACAGGTACCTATGACTTAACACCCTTTATGCAGAAGACATGTTTTATGTTCGAAATAGTTGCAATATACTCTCTTGAATCTTCTCAATGGGCAACCTTCAACTTTTAAGTGTGGATTTGATTACTAAAAATGGCCAAAAGCCTTTCAAAATAAAGCCTAGTGTTCATGCAGAATATTACTGTTTTTTTCCTAACAGCAACAAATAAGGTATTAAAACCTCATATTATTGCTAAATCCAAGCTGGTAATGACGTTGCCAACATCCCTTTCTGTTCTCCAACAAAGTGCTCTGACAAGCAGGTGCTGGCCTCGCCCTCAGAGGTCAGGGGGGTGGGCGCGGGCCCTGGGACCACCCCCGTCTGTGCTCAGCCGGCATGCTGCCGGTGTTGTGCGCGCCAGGCCTCCAGACCCGGCGTCTGCAGTGGGCACAGCTCAGGCCAATGCTGCTCCTCCCACAGCAGCGGGAGCTGCTGCCCCAACTACTGAGATCTGTCAGAACTTTCTCAGCAGCCATTCCAGGGCCTCATTGCCCTGTGAGCTCCGCCTCTACGACCAAATCATGGCTTCCCATTGTGGATTCAAAGACCCTTTATTAATCTCCAGTGCACAGCTCCCCACCCCAGTAAAGCAGGCTAACTGATCACTTCCAGCCCAATAATTCACTGTTAGGATGATATCCTAAACTCGCGGGCACAGTAGAGCGCTTAAAACAAACATCCAGGCCCCATCCCCGACGGATGAAACCATGCTGGGGTGGGCGCTGGCATACGTGGATGGTTCTTCAAGCTCCCTGGGTTATTCTTATGTTCAGCCAAGAACCAGCATAAGAGTTTTCCTGCTATTCCTCGTGTCCTTGTCTCACCCCCAAAGGTTCACCCTGGGGTCACTCTAAACATTTATCAGCTAAAAAAAGTATGGTTGATTTAATTATTCTTGTTCATTGCTTTTATCCTGTTGTTTGCTCACGAGGTTGGGCTTTTAGATAGTTTTTTCTTATATCATTTTTAATAACGATAAATTCAAAGCCAAGAACTTGCTTCATGTACATAGCTTTATGCCCATCCTTAATTCTGAATTCTGGTTGTTTAACCCAATCTCTCCAGTAACATGCCTGCCTTCCTAATTTGTTATAATTCCTCATATACATAAAACTGGTTATGCTACAGGAGCTGCTGGTAGAAGGCAACATATTCAATAGGTCAACTTGGTATTTTCTGCATCCCACTTTGTTTTCGATCTCTGCCCACACACACTTCCGTTTTCCCACTGCCTCCCAAACTGCACTCTCAGGCAGCTTCTCCCCAGCACCCAGCACAGGCAAGCAAGCTGGTAGTGAAGGAACTACTCCTGCACAGTCCTGAATGAGAAGCACTAACATCTCAGAAGCTCTTCCCCTCGTCAACAGGTAATGCTCCTGCGCCTGCTATGTCAACACTCTCTTCTTAGGCCTATTATGTGTTGCAAAGCACTTTTTAGGACTGTCCTTCACTTGAGCCTCACAACACCTATGTAAACTTGGGAAAGCGTGTATCATCCTCACACTACAAATGGGAAACCAAAGCAAGATTGAAACTCTGTCCTTCTGACTTCCTTTCCAGGACCGTTCTCATTAAAATAATCTTTGTTCTTATAAAAGCATTAAGAATGCTATGTATATTTTACATTACACAGAACTTATGGAGAAAAATAACTATTGAATGACCCCAACACCCTAGAACCACCATTGTTATTTCGGTGTGTTTTCCTAGCCTTAAAACATGCAATCAGCCCTGGCCGGTGTGGCTCAATGGGTTGGAGTGTCATCTCATAACCAAAAGGTTGTGGGTTCAATTCCTGGTCAGTGTACACACCTAAGTTGCAGGTTTCATCCCCGGTCTGGGTATGTAAGGAAAGCAACTGATCAGTTTCTCACACAGATGTTTCTCTCTCTTCCTCTCTCTAAAAGCAATGAAAAAATGCCCTCAGGTAACGATTAAAAAATGCGATCAACTGCATACTGTATATTTAAAACAAAATTTTATAGTTTTGCCAAAATTTTATCAGTTTGTGTGGCTTTGGAGTAACTACAATATGGTTAGAATGAGAGACTCTTTATTCAGGAGTGATGCTTACCTCTCCAAGGTGCTTGTTCTGTTGGGTTGAAGCAATCACTCAGTAGGGCAGAATCTGGAGAGAAACCAGACAAGGAAAACAGGACCAGAAAGTAAAACCTTAAAGTCTATGATTTTAGAGTTGGAAGTGACCTTGTATTACCATCTTGTTTGATGTGCACATTAGAATTAGAAAAATGAGATCTCCACAAATTAAGTAGTTTATTCTATATGAAGAAGGTAGGCAACATTCTGCTAGGACCAGAATCCAGTTTTTAACCCCTGCTCAGGTGCCCTTCTTGAGTAGCTTAATTTTTAGACTGATTTCAAGATTTCACAGCAAATACTGGCTTTGCCAATAAACAAAGTCGGAGCCACCTGGCCCAGTGAGGTTTTATCTAGTATTCTGTTTGAACTATAGTCTGGCCATTTTCAGAGCACTGCACCACACTGCTTGGGGCTTCTCTGATTAGACTATCTTTCTGCATTTAGTGGGTAGATGGTCTTAGGGGTGAAGTTAATACTTTTGCTTTGAAGAAGCACTTTGACCCAGTTGACAAAAGTCTGTGTGCGCATGCACGCATGTGTGTGTATATGAATGAAATTATGGCCACTAATGCACTTAAAAAAACAACTGGAGCAGGGCCGGAAGGAGTAACACCCTAGAAAGTGACAAATTACTCCTTCTGCAGTATATAAGCAGCACCTCTCGGGTCCTTGACACAAGGGACAGTGTGCCCTGATCTGACCGCGCTGAGGAGCCTGCCTCTTGAGGAACCCTGACACAGGTGAGGCAGATTCTCTCCTATCCCGGTCGTACTAGAAATGCCATATGGTGCCACTGTTTGCCTCCTCCCAAGGCACAGATCCTGGTGCAGGGACCACAGGGCCTTCCCTCCCAACTGCAGCTGACTGAAGCAAGATGAGCGCGTAACTCGCGGGCAGCCAACCCAAGGGCTGGCCGAAAACTCCTGGGGCCTGGGGTAAGGAGAGCAGGGCCCGAGCCCACACCTTAGAATCTGAGCTAAAAAAGCCAAGGGACACAGAGCCACCGGTGTCATGGCACACAGGGACTTGTGGAACTGACGTACAGAAAAGATGGAGTCAAAGAACAGGCTGCACGGAAGCAAAAAGCAGAGACCTCAAGCATCACGTGCATCTACAGAGCAGCTTCGGTCCCTGACCTCTGCTCCAGGCTCAGCCGGCTTTCCAGCCTCTGGTTGGGCCTGCACACCTTCTTGAGGGCTGCCACCCTGACCCCTTTGACGTCTCAGGCTCAGCGCTCGGCACGTTCATGGGTATCCCGGCACCCAACACCTCGGAGACAGAGGTATCATTCTATTTTACAGATAAGGAAACTAGGCTCATGATGGTTAAATAAAACATGTATGTTATGTCACTTCTGCTGATACCAGGACTTGAATCTAGGTCTGCGTGCGTTCTCTAAACCACAAAGCTGCACCAACTCCATGATGTGGCCTCATACCAAGCCCTGTGTACCGCCAGGCCCCACGCCTTCCCCACCCCTGACCTAACTCGACTACCTTTTGCTTGTAAGAGCCCAACACTTCCCTAGTTAAAGAATGTCCTCTGTGTATGAACTCTGCTTCCTCTGCAGAGTGAAGAGACCAGGGTCAAAGGTATCCACCAAGCACACAGACACGACATGTACCTGTAACTGAGCTCCTGGTCTGTAACAGCGTTGTGGGGAAAGACTTGCTTTTATTCATTGCTGCTGAGCAGCCACGGGGCGGCTAGCTAAGGGAAGCTAGGATGCGGGGGAGGAACGGGGGGCTTTCCTGCCCCTCCTCAAGAGGAAATGTGAGCAGGAATTTGGGTTTCTATGCCATTTGGAACGTACAGATAAAGGAACTCGGGCCCTCTTACACCAGCAAGGCTTGTGCAGACATGGACAGCAAGCATGCTATCCCCCAGTAAGCCGCTGGGTCTGGTCCAGGTAGAAGCAGGCATGGGCACTCGACTCTCTCAAAAACGCCCCCAAAGCAGCCCAGCAGGCCCCCAACGAGAACGCTGCAGACTTGCTGTTGCTGAGGGAACTTATGCTCTGCTCTAGCTACAGCCCAGCTATGGTGTCGCCAGTATCAAATATCCAGCAGAAAGGATCAGTCATCAGCTTTCACCTTCTAGACAATCAACTTCCGTTTATTTTCACATCTGTGGCTGAACCAGAGGTTCATCTTATGGTAACAATGAAACACCCAGTAAGCAAAGAGTGAATCTAGTTCTGCAGTCCACGCCTGGATCCACTCCGAAGAGATGGTGCCTATTTATAAGACAGCACAGACTCCTCAGGCCAGAGGGCCGACTGGTAAGCGCGTTTCTGGCTCTTCCTCTTTCCTGTCTCATCTGCTCATGACAAGGAATCCACAGGTACTTCTTCAGCTGCCGAGTTAAATGTATGGTTTCTCTCACGAGCCTTTGATGGACCAAGCTTCCCTGTACACTGAAGCCTTTCTGTCAGGCTTTATCTTTTCCACTGATCCATTTTACTTATCCGTTCTTGAATCTTAGGCAAACACACTCTCTAATCTAATTTGGAGCTGACCTGGAGTTCTGTCCAGTGGAGGGAGGGAAGACCAGAATGTACCACAGTTGAACTCCTAGTCTGCACCAGGGCCAAAGAGTAGGACCACACCCCTCTCCATCTTCCTGACATGGCCCTGCCCACTCTCTTTCATTCGGCTTCATGGCTCTTGTTTCACTCATCTATCAGAACCATGTTCACTTCTTGCCAAAGTTTGGGACCCTGCCGACTACAGTTCCTTGCAGAAGGGGTTGTGGGAACTATCTGTAGCATTTTCACCCATGGGTCTCTTTCATTAGTGAACTCTGTCTTCGGTAAATCTTTGAGTTACCCACGTTATCTAGGCCAGCGTCACACCTAGAATCCCCTCTTCAGCATACCCTGGTAAAAGCTTCAGAAGAGGGAACGCACCATCTTAAGATAGTACTTAATTCTTTTACCTTTTCTTTAAGGAGATCCAGGTGCAAACCCAGCTGGATCTCACTCAGGTTCCTAGTGGGTCACCTGTGAAACCAAAATTCCCAGAACCCCCCATTTTCTCATAGTGTAAGTCCAGATCCTTACTAGAAAGCTCCCAATATGCCAGCATTCTGTTCCTCATCTGCCGCAGTTTGCTCTATACCCTTGGGTTTCTTCATCGCCTTCAGACTCTAAGTTATGGTCTCATACACATTTCTTAGGTCTCCCACGATCCCTGGTATTGTGAATGTCACAGAGCAGATGCAGTAACTGTGATTATCCTGAAGAACAGCATGTTCAGACAAAGCCTCCCCAGGAGCAAAGCTGGCTGGGGTGCATGCTTTTTCCTAGTGTGGTTATATACAACCAGGTAGGGTAAAGGTTGAGCTAGATGATAAGGAGAAAATGGGTCCTTCCCTTACTGTTTCATCAACAAAGGGTCCTAACTACTCCCAGAGCTTGTTCTGATGCATCTCAGATGGATTCAGGGAGACAAGAGGACGGGCAATAAACGGCGTACCTGCCTGAGACTTAGGGCCTCTGCGTACTCTGTCTTCCACCTCAGGCTCAAAGCAAAACTAAAACAACAAACCAAACTGATTTCAGTCAAGTTTCAGCAGGAATGTGTCTGCTTTGATTTTGTGGCTTATTTGGCGTTGCTTGGATAGAAGCCAGAGGCAGAGATAGGATTTTGGCAGGAGAAGGAATGTATCACAAGATTTAAAAAAATTTTCTTAGCAGCTCACTTTTTCCCTTTCACCAGCCTCATTTTGCAGACAAAAATCTTAGCTCTGTAAAAGGAAAGAAAGGGACTTACACCCAATTGCAAAGCCAGTTAGGTACAGAACAAGGCTCAAATGCTCCCAGGTGACTGAGTGACCCCGACAAAAGGACACATGGTAGCCAAGGTCCCTAAAAGCAAAACCAGCAGGAAGAGGCCATCCCTGTGTCAGTGTTTAGCGCTCAGTGACCTGAAGCCCCTCAACCTGCCCATTGCCGATGCGGGAATGGCCAGGTGGTGGCCCAACAAAGCTGCGTTATCACACAAGCACCTCACCGCGGGGGAAACGGAAGCTGGGCGTCCACAGGCACTTTCTGAAACTCCGTAACACTTCTGGAAAATGCTGTAACCTTTTCTGCTGAGGACTGTCAAAAATATCAGACACCAGAAATGGAAAAGTCATCTTATAGGCTTGTAAATAATAAGAATTTCAAGTGACTCTAAGAAATGGGGTTCAGGCACAACTGTCAGCTAGGCTGTTCTGTCATTTCTCTGGGACCTCTAGCCTTTGAAGGGCTGAGACCCCTGCTCCCAACTTTTTAACAGGGACCTCGGCAGGGGTTTCTAGCAGTTTAAATGCCAGGGGGGCTGAATGCTGCAAATCAGGCTGGTGAAAGGTAGGAGCTGTTGCCCTTAAAAAGCTTTACAGGTCAGATGTCTTGCTCACCCGATATTTAACAAAATGTACTCAGAAGAATTAGACTAAGAAACCCAGGAAGAATGCACTGAGCTGTCACTTGGGGAGAGGCGTCCACTAGCACAAGTGGACTTGAGCTGGTGTCGGGAGGAGCAGGAACATAGACCGAGGCTTGACCAATTTCTTTTAACCAACTGTCCTCCCATCAGGAAACTAACGAAAGGCTCAGGGAAACACGCTCCACCTCACATGGGCTCCAAGCTTTGGTGGCTCTTCCCATGCACCTGTCTCTACCCAGAACTGCAATCATTCTCAATCTATTACCACCCTGTGATGAATTACCGGACACCAAATCTTGCTTATCTCCCTGCAACCTCTGCTCAGGTCACAGTTTTGAAAGACGGGGATGTTGAGCTCCTTTCTAGGTCTGTCTGGGTTTCAAAATGTGATGTTCTTGTAACACTATGAAGTTCTCAAACTGAAGAACGTCTCTAGCCAAGTGCACAGAACCCCAAACGCACCAATGTGCCAACGGGGATTACTGCAGGGGCCTTTCTCCTGCCCTGGAGGCACATGGATAACCAGGAAAGGAGGGAGGTTCACAAGACTCCTCCTCCACTGCCCTCCCCATACCACTGACTGGCCTCTAGACCTTCAGTACTAACGCCCAGACCAGAGGTTTCGAGCCCAGTTAGGAGGGGACCTGGAGGATCGGGCGGCTGTCCAGATGGGTCACTCTCACCCCCACAGCCTCCACTGTGGCCCGAACGCAGGTGGTCCTTGAGCGTCTGTTTGTAGCGGAAGCTCCTGCCACAGTAGGCGCAGGGGTAGGGCCGCTCGCCCGTGTGGATGCGCTGGTGCTTCATGAGGTGGTGCTTGCGGATGAAGCTCTTGCCGCAGTGCGCGCAGCTGAAGGGCCGCTCGCCCGTGTGCAGCCGCCGGTGGTTCAGCAGGTGCTCCTTGCGCATAAAGCTCTTACTGCAGTCAGTGCATGGGTAAGGACGCTCGCCTGTGTGGATCATCTGGTGGCGAATCAGGGCGGAGTGGCCGTTGAAGTCTATGCCGCACTGCGGACAGGAGAAAGGCCGCTCCTGCGCATGCCCACGCTGGTGGAGCAGGAGGCTGATTTTCAGGCTGAAGCTCCGGCCGCACTGCGTGCAGCGGAAGGGTCTCTCGCTGGCGTGAGCTCGCCGGTGGCTGGTGAGGCGGGCCTGGTCCACAAAGCGCTTTGGGCAATCAGGACAGGAGAAAGGGCGCTCGGTGCTGTTATGGACCCGGAGGTGGTAGGTGAGTCGGGACGGGTGAGTGAAAGTCCTGGCGCAGTGCGGGCAGGTGGGGGGTGTCTCAGTGGCATGGGCCTGGGGGTTGCTGCCCAGCTCGGCTTGCTGCGGAAAGTGCTTGGGGCACTGGGCGCAGGATAAGGGGTGCTCCCCGGCGTGGCCACACTGGTGGGTCAGCATCATGTCCTGGCTGAGGCTCTTGCCACAGTGGTGGCATGAGAACACCTGCTCCTCAGCTGGCGGCAGCAGGGGGTAGCTACCCAGCTGAGTGAAAGTCACTTGTCCCTCAGAGGCTTCTGCCAGGTCAGTGGCTGGACGCCCGAAGGGTGCCATGGACGTAGACTGCTGGCTTTTGAAAGTCACATCTGTAAAAGTATCCTTTGCTGCTGCTGCTGGTGGAGAAGGGAAGGTGACTGGAACCTCAGGGCACAGGGAGGCCCTGGCAAGGCCTTCAGCTTTGATGACAAGCTGTTCATCTGAAAGAAAGGACTCAGAGTCACGCCCGCCAGCGAAGGTCTCCCAGCCCCGCGGCGCCCTCCCCAGCCCTCACGGCCCGCTCAGAGCTCTCTGCTGGCTCCAACAAGAAACTCCGCCGGGGGCCGAGCAGATCACACGCTGTCCACGGTCCCTGCGGCCCAACACCCAAACCTCCTCAGTGCTCCGTCGGGAGAAGGAACCACCTTAGCATCGATCTTTTCAGCACGGCTCTCGTCACGTTCCTCCTCTGCTCACCAGCTCTGAGACTCTGCCTACTGTGCCAAGGCCTACATTCATGTATTAACCTACTCCTATTCCTCTTTACTCTGCCAGGCAAATCCTTCATGATTGTTAGCTCTCTCTTTACTGTCCCTGAAAATGGAGTAAACATTTCTGCTGCGCATCTCTGCTCATTCTGTCCTTCCTTTTGTAGAATGCACCTCCTCTCTTCCCAAACATACCCAGCCACATCATACCAGGCTTCCAAGGCCCAGTTCTGGCTTCGCATTCTTCCTTAGGCCTTACCTAAAACATAAACTAAAACTGAGGCATGTTCTCCAAACCTCTCATTTCTTATATATAGGTAACCTATCCCACTCACTCCTGACACTTAAAAACAGGTAGGCCCAGTATTGATATGTGTGTCCCCAATATAAATATCTTGGAGAGCAGAAACTGTCTAATTTATTTTCTAGAGTCCAAAAGAACATAGGACATAGAAGATGTTAAAAATCAGGCTGCATAAAGTTATGTAAACAATTGGGTCCCTTCTGACCTTGAGAATCTCTTCTATAATTCAGGCTGCAAAACACAGACGGCGCAACCCACATTAGAAGGAAGACGATCTGCTGTGTCTCCCACCTTTGTTTCTCCTGAGGGCCAGCTCTTCACTGACATTCCCGTGTGCCTCCCCCGTGGCATTTTCATCTCCACCGTGTCTGCTTGTCCTGCCCCCACTTTGTTCTATCCCTTCTCCATGATATTTAAATGTTCTTGTCTTTCCCCATCCTCCTATTTTTGGTCTACCTATATGTACTCCTTTTTCTCCCTCTGACAATTCTGATTTGTCTTTACACTTAGGAGTGTTTTCTCACTTTAAACTCCTTAGTTCGATTTTGGTTTCATTTCTAACACACCTGAGTGTGTGCGCACCCCCCGCCTTCCCGTTCTTCCCCTGCCCCCTTGCCTCTGCAGGCCACGTCACCTGCTGTGCCTTCAGTCGGCCCTGGCACAGGCGGGACCTGGCCTGCAGGTCTCCGATTCATCACTCACCAGCATAGGTTCCCTTGTACACGTCACTCTGCTTGGGCTCCGGTGGGGCCCCAACCTGGGGCTCTTCCTCTTGTTTAATCCAAGACAGAATATCTGATGTTGAAATGCCAGGCTCTATTTGTGGGGGGGGAAAAATGGCCTTCAGGGACTTGAATCAGAAAGTTAAAATAATCATGTTGGTTTGTCGAACACTATGTTTTGCCCAAATTTAATTCTAAGCAACAACAAAACTGAACCAGCCTTTAAAAAACATCCATATAACACCTAGAGAGCCAGTTCAAAATGAAACCAAATTTATTTTTACATTATGTACGTACTCAGCTTGATTCACTATTTTCAGTGAGCCCATTTCAAAACAAATCAATTTTTATTCTGGAGATGATACCCTGAAATAATCTAAAATCAATAGTACCTTTCATTTCATTAGCACAATTACTTTAAAAATCTTTTCACTTTTTTCTCTTGCTGCTTTTTAATCAAATAATGAAAACAGGAATATTCTCTCCATTTAAGTAGAGAAGGCCCCCAAGATCCCAAATAAACAGTAAATATTTATGGTGAAACACCACGTTTTCAAAGGTTTGCTTTAAAATACAGCAGAAAAAAAGCAGAAAAAAAACTGACCAAAATTATTTTTTCTTAAATATTAGTTAAAAAACAAATACACTTCCAGAATTACAAAGTGATCAGTATAAATAAAGACCTGACTCCTCAGAAACATAGTTTCCAGGTTCCCAATTCTAGGCTTTTTCTAAATATTACCTTGGCTTATTAAATGATAGAAGTCACTGTTTCCTGAAGGGCGGGGGTGATCATATCTGCAAGCCCTCAGGTCTTAGGGTTTCCTTCAGAAAGAAGAGAGAACAGACTCCAAAGGCGTTACATGGAACACGTCTCATTTGGTCAGTGCAGAAACAGCTGCGTTTGCTATTCCAGCTGAGGCCTATACCACCTTTTTTGGCCTAAAAGGACAAGCTGGCCAGCTGACAAGGGCCAGAGTAAATTCATGCTCTTTGTATTATTTCCCAGGAAAGCCTTGTAAGCAGGCTATGGCTTTATCCTGGCAAATGAGAACTTGCTGATTTCCGTGATGCCTTTCTCTCCAGCGGAGACCACTGAAACCTGAAGGTATGCCCACGGCCGAAGTAAGAGGCTGGGCAAAACTAAGGCCCCAAAGACGGTCAGGTCACACAGAGAGACTGGCGAGACACAGGGTTTAGCACATATGGCAGGTTGCTTTTCCGACTTCCTACTTTGAGCTATAAGACTAAAATCTATGAAACATACAACTTCATCTTTTTTCTTCCAGATTAAAACAATTTTTTAAGCCCTTACCCAAGAATACATCCATTGATTTTAGAGAGAGAGAGGGAGAAACAGCAATGTGAGAAACATTGATCAGTTGTCTCCTGCAGGCACTGACTGGGGATCGACCCTGCAACCTTTTCGTGTACAGGACGATGCTCCCACCAACTGCCACCCAGCTGGGGCCCAGATTTTATACAAACACATATATAAAGAAAGAAGCAGAAGGGCAAAGGGTAGGTATAAGGAAAAATATCTTTAGGAGACATCTGGAGGATGAACTTCCTATCCATCAGCAATATGAGACTTTTAAAATGTTTGTTTCTCTGCACCAATTTTTTGAATAACAAGCTAGTGCTCTAGAAACTTCAGTGATTTAAGTGGTTTGACCTTTCTTTTTTGGTTTATCATTATGAAATCATGTCATGTTACACATTTGATGAGTTTCAACCCATTGCTGTCATCATTCTTTTTAATGCTCGGACCGTCCCTTCTCTGGCCAGAAACAGCCTCCTCAGATCTCTGCGTCATTTCACGTCATCGAGCATCTGAGTCTCATTTCTGATATGACAAACCATCCCAGGTTCACCCTGGACATTTCCTACTCGAAGCCCACAATCAATGATCTCTGAGAAATGGAATTTAGAGACCACAGTTGGGATGATAAGGATGCTAACTGGTAACAGGCTGTCACTGCCTCAAAGTCTTTTCAAAGGACAGAGCTATAAAAACACATACTTTTTAGAAAAAGAAAAGTGTTATGAGTTTATATTTATATTTAAGATTATAGGATTTTAATTAAATCCTTTGATTTAGTATCTTTTCTGTATTACCTGAAAATTTTTGGTTTCTAATGACATTAACATGATCTCTGCTTTTCTATGTTTCAAAATAATACCCATATTACTAACAAAAATATGAATGCAATTTAAATTTTGGGGGTACTTTTGGTCCTTAGCATATATTCTTTTAGGGATGTACAGTTAAAATACTATGTTCTGAAGTCATTTGAAAGAAATCTATTGTATCTATTTGTCACCATCATAATACAGTTTACTTATGTCAGCATGTATTTGATTTAAAAGAAAAAAAAATTTTTAACAAGAGTTTATTTAGCAGTGGCTCACTTCTACTACCTTGTCACAGAGGTAGTAGAGGTGAGTCAGCTGGCCTGCGCAGGCTCAGGAAATAAGTTACAGAAGCAAAAGGAGGCCCTTGGAGCTTAGGAGAGGCAGGCAAAGGTTACGTGTCTGGGGGAGGAGGAGAAGGGAAGGGCATGGTGTCCTCCCGAGAGGGAGAGCGCGCCTAAACAAATTTCCTAATAGTAAAATATTTACAAGGTTCCAAAATAGTAAATAGAAAATACAGTACACTCAAAAGGTCTAGCTTCTACCTCTAGTCTCTCTCTCCCTGAACAGGTATTGGTTTTTAATCTTCCATCGTTTCTTTGTGAGAATTTAAGCAAGCCGGTAATTCTCCTCTTTATGTGTCACACTGCACGAACCGTGCGGTACCCTGATTTTTTACTTACAATATATTCCGGACATACCTATGGCAGTTTACAGAGATCTTTCTCATTTCTTTTCATGCTGTTCTGTGTAGCTGTACCACCGATTATTCAAGAATTCCCTATTGATGGGCACGTGAATTCTTTCCAACCTTTTGTTACAATATTAGTCAGCAGCCAACCATAAAAGCTATGCAGGGCTAAAAAAAGAGTAAGTCAGTTCTCCAGAAGTTTAAATGGCTGTTATTACAGCTCATTGACTAGGTAGGTCTTCACTGAACCTGGGGAACCCCTGGAAGCTAACTGCTCTTTTTGAAAAACAATGCTAAAAGTTCCTGGGGTCACTTAACTAACTAGGTCAGTACAACTAAGTTAATATTTATTTTATTGAACTGGGTCTTAACCCTACAGTCACAGAATGCACAGGACACAGTTGTATCAACTGCAGTTTGGTGGGTGTGCGCAACCTGGGGACCTTTTAGAAGTAAAGGAGCAGGACAACGTGACTACTAAGATGGCCTGACACAGACACCTGTGCCGTGACAGCAGGGCAGCTGCTGGCCAGGTCACTGCAATGGCACTCAGAGCACGCTCCTCCAACGCCTGAGAGGTCCCACCGGTGCACAGTTGAAGAGACACAAAATGAAAGTAAATTGTTTTTTGCAAACAGCAGGCTCTAGAGAAAGCCAGGTAATCGAGAAAAACCGAATACTGACCAGGTAAGAGAAAGTCAACAAATGCTGAGGTTGTAGGTTTGAGAGGTAGCTAAAAATAGAAGTCTGATCACAAGAAAATATAAAATTTTAATGTCTACACTGGCTGAATATGACTTTAACTATGGGGAAGGCAGACTCCTTAAGCAAGCAATAAAAATATTTGACACATGAAACTATCATTGGTAAAAATATAAAAACTTTTTTTGAAACTTTCTGTGAAATAGGTGTGGGGCTATAACATAATTGAATGAATGTGTTAAGTATTTGTGTAGTAATTTAAAATCTTTAAGTCCTATCATTTCCAGGATGATTCTTACTCTCAAATAGGATAAACTAAAATAAAAGGATTATATTGGATGTGGCTTAATCACTGATTTTATCAAAAGGTGGTCTTGCTGGACCAAGTGAACAGGGATAAACATGGGATAATGGTGATGCATGGGAAATAAAAATAACCAAAGAGGTCTCCCCAGCTCACTTCAGACAGAAACACACACACACACACACACACACACACACACAGAAGGGAGCAGAAAAAGATCTTTCATGAAAATGGAAGCAAACAAGAAAAAAGCTGGGGTAGCAATACTTATACCAGACAAAACAGACTTTAAAACAAAGGCTATATATGATATATAGCAAGAGACAAAGAATGACTCAGAAATTACATCTTTGGGTATTTATCCAAAGAAACCCCAAAACAATAAATCCGAAAGACATAACCATATGTTCACTGCAGCATTATTTACAATAGCCAAGATATGGAAGCAACCTAACTGTCCTTTGATAGATGAATGGATCAAGAAAACACGGTGGTTGCCCTGGCTGGTGTGGCTCAGCTGTTTGGAGCATCGTTCCCAACACGAAAAGGTTGGCGGTTCAATTCCCAGCCAGGGCACATACAGGTTGCAGGTTCAATCCCTGGTCAGGGTGTGTATGGGAGGCAACTGATTGATGTTTCTCTCTCTCCCACCCCCTGCTTCCTCTCTCTCTCGAAAAGCACTGAAAAAATGGCCTCAGGTGAGGAGTATTAAAAAAAAAAAAAAAAAAAAATCAGTCACCAAATAACGGCCACACAAACATACCGCTGGTCTCATAAGAGGTAAAGAAGAATTTCAGAAAAATTTCAAGTTTATATTTTTCTGTCTTCTCCCATTCACTACTTACTATTCTCTAACTGTATGCGATTTTATCTAAGATACTAGGCATCAATGACTATTCAAAGGAGGGTATGATAATTTCTCTTTCCCTCTATCAGATACAGATGATATGGAGAGAATGCATTAAATTAATTCCATTCTACCTATATATTTTTATTGAATTATAAGGCACAGTTCTCCTGAAAGCTCTAAAATGTAAAACAATAATAAACTATAGGTTTTCTTTTTTAAGAAACATGGGTAAAACCTGAAATGTATTTTAGAAAATTAAGTACATCAATATTCTAATATAACCACACTGGTCCAACCACAAATTTCATGGATTAAAATCGATTAAGATGATATTAGAGGAGAGAGAAGCTGCTTGCTCAAAAATCAGAAAATTTGATTAGCTTTTTCTAAAGATTTAAATGATTAGAGTTAAATGGATACTATCTAGCAAAAGAAATCTTTATTAGTTCTGTCACTAAAGTTGCCTAAAGTTAGTAGCCTCCACATAGTATTCACAGGAAAAGATCTGTTATGAACCTTAATAACCAGTTTGGTACTATTCTCCAGTGCAAGGAAACCAGGACTTTTTCAAAAATTTTTATTAATATTGATTTTAGAGAGAAAGAGAAAAGGAGAGAGAGAAACATCAACCTGTTGCTCCACTTACTGATGCATTCTTTGGTTGATTCTTGTATGTGCCCTGGCTAGGGATCGAACCTGCGACCTTGATGCATTGGGAAACTGCTCCAACAAACTGAGCTACTCGGCCAGGGTGAACCAGGACTTTTTAATGTGTAATGAGAACAGAAATCTACACAGGCCCGTGTTCGAAATGCCTGCTCGCAAGGTTGGCCCCTGGCTGGCAAACAGCTGCCTATGCTGGTGTAAAACATCCCCTGACAGTTAGGAGGGCCTTGGCGGCCTCCGCGACCAGCTCCCTTGAGAACCTTGTGTGCTGAGCCTCTAATCAGCTTTTCTGGGAGATACCACTCTGCAAGTGTTGTCCCCACTCTGTGCTGAAGGAATTAGGTGTGTCCTGGACACAGAAGGGGACTCTCGAAGCTCCTCTGTCCCCCCAGACCTTGCCCGTGCTTTTCATCTTTGCTATTTGCTTTGTATCCTTTCTCTGTGATAAATCTTAGCCCCGAGCACGACTACATGCTGAGTCCTGTGTATCCTCCTAGCGGATTACCCGCCCGGAAGGTGGTCGTGGAACCCCAAACACAGCCTGGAACTTTTCCCCCCTCCTAAAAACAAGTATTGAGGCAGTACTGGAAGGACACAGGAGACAATTTAAAGTCCTCTCACTTGCCAAGTTGACAGTTTGAACAACACAAAGAAAATAACTGACTTAATTAAAACTCTAGAATATATAGTTAAACACAAAAGCGGAGGAGATATAAAGGGTTTTGTTTTTTAAAGATTTTATTTACTTATTTATAGAGAGGAGAAGGGAGAAAGAGGGAGAAAAACATAAGAGCTAAAGGGTTCTAAAGATAGACACATTTGAGAGTTTTTTTCAATGCTGTATATTGATTGGTCTATCAGGGTTGTCCGACCTGTGGCCCACAGGCCACACATGGCCCAGGATGGCTGTGAATATGTGGCCCAACACAAAACTGTAAATTTACTTAAAACATTATGAGGCCTCTTTTTGTGATGATGTGTCACAATGTATTTAACGTGTAGCCCAAGACAACTCTTCTTCCAGTGTGGCCCAGGGATGCCAAAAGGCTGGACGCCCTAGGAAGTCATGACTCCTGCCCTCAAGTTCTGGTAAATGTCTAGGTTGTTAATCACCCATGAAAGCTACAACTGTGAAGAATCAAACCACAGTATTAAGTAAATTCAAAGCTTACTCTGTTTAATTTTAAGTAAAAATGTATTAATGTGTACAGGTTAACTACTCACAAGCTGACGAGATGGAAGCTAAATGAAACTTTCATACATCATTACAAAACCAAATTATTTACATCTTTTCCATTCGTCCCCCCGAATTAATGACACATTGATTTATGATCACTGAGGGCCACGTCAGGTAACTAGTAAGAGTAGGCCGAGGTGTTAACTTCCAATAATGAATCTTTCTGATTAAGTCACCCATCTTTATTTGTGATTTAACTTTAGACTCATTACATGTATCCATCACATAGATATTAATCAAACTCAATTTGTTACATTGCCTACACTATCACCCACACAGTTGTAACAATAATGTGTGGCAGACGTATGCTTACCTCAGAGAGAATGTACACTTAAGATTTGGGCCTTCCATCATACGTAAAATTTACCTCAAAAGAAAAAAAAAAAACTGGACTCCAGGTTAATGACATTCATGCCAAACTACTCAGGGGGAAAGGCATTGATGTCTGCGCTGGTTCTGAAATACACTCTCCACCAGACGGGCGGGCTGACAGACGGAGAGAGGGGTGCAGAAATGCATACAGATGTGATGAGCAGGAGTAAAATGTTCACGCTGGAATGTAGGTGGCAGGTATTTATTTAGGTGTTCACTAAAAAATGACTAACTTTTGTCATGTTTGAAAATTTTTATAATAAAATGTTAGGAAAAAATAAGAGTACGAGAAACTTGTTTTCCTTAAAAAAAAAAAAAAAAAAAAAGGCCCGGTTGTGTTGGGGGTTTCCAGATCGCCTGCTGGTTCCGTGACCCTCAAGGTGACAGAAGCACATCGCCCGGCGGAGACCCCGGAAGATGAGCTCTCTGAGAGCCTTCTATGCAGCTAAGACCAAAAATGGTGTGAGATCCTCTGCTGGCAAAGCTGGGACTCGAGGAACCACACAGCTCCGCGTTGGCCAGCCGTCCTTCCTACACAGACCGAGCAGCTGCCAGCCACAAATATGAGGGAGGGTCAATAACCATAGCTGGCTCCCACACCAGGCACCATCTGCCGCGGCGTCCCCTGGTTAAGTGCATCGCTGGGGGGCCACGCAGACTTCCAGTCCCCGCCCCCAGCAATTCTCTACGACCAGGGGTACAATCCCCGGAAGCCACTTCCCTCGGGACTGCCCTGGCCCCTGTGGACGTGTTCGCTTTACTAAATAACTAGGGCTCACAACCTCTGTCATGGGATGCTATCAGTAGCCCTCAAAGGTGCGGTACTGATGGGCAAAGGCACCGGACAAGGTGGCCTCGCAGCTCGTCCCCCTGCTGGGCTGGGCCGGGCTGGGCTGGGCTGGGCAGGGCAGTCCCGCTGCCCTAGCACTGAGAGGCTCCGGAAGCCCCAGCCCCGCTTCCTTGTTCTGAGCCATCATCTCTGCCCGGGAAAGGGAGACAGACTGGCCAATCTGCTCTGCTTACCTTCACCGGGGTCGGCGGCGGGGATCTCACTTTCGTCTGGCCCTGCCTGGTCCTCTGTATTGTGTTCTCCTTCTGGCTGAATCTGAGATAAGACATCAGGTTGATTCATGGCATAATCTAGGAGGAAGAAGGGAAAGGAGGTACGACAAAGAGATAAATGAGAATGATAATGAATTGCCATCAAGGCTGAGCTGAAGGCTTTGAGGTCCCCAGTCCAAGGGGATTTCTTTTAGACTCTAAATCACTTCTCCCCATCCATTCACCTCCAACTATGGACAATATCTGTTAGAGAAGCAGGTACGGGGAGAGGGAACGGGCAGGAAAGGCACACGTGCTGCCTGAGAGTGGCCCGCCTGCCCTTTTCACAGAGTAAGAGTGGCAGCGCGTCTCAAGGGGCGGGACCTAGGCCCTCTCCAAGGGAGGACGCCCACGGGCGGCACTGCAGCTGGCACACCCGACCCCGAGCTCCACTCTCTGCCTGGCGCGAGGAGAAGTTCCACGTCCTATTTAGCCAGGGTGAGCTGGACACCCCTGGCTTGGATCAGAGTCTGAGTGTGTAAGGACAGCACAAATATAAGGGCGCTGGGGGGGAAAGGGACCGTTCCGAGGCCCCTTGGGGCTGCTGTCCCCTCACAAGCTGTCAACTCAGCCTCACCCATGGAGATGAGAGACTCATAGTTGCCCTTCATGATATTCTTGTAAAGCTCCTTTTGCCATTCTTCCAGCTTTTCCCACTCCGGGGTGGAAAAGTAGATGGAGATATCATCAAATGTCACAGGCACCTGGAATTACAGTGACACTGGGGTCAGTCCCTCTCACTGCAAGTCAGTCACTCAATAAATCTATAGTCAGTGCTGTCTCATTTTAAGAAACTAGGTGACACAGGAAAAAAATTAAGACACACATCAACCTCCAGGAGTTGACAATGTTTCAAGAGAAAAGGCGGTAATTTTCAGATAACAGTCACTCACACAGAGTAGGACAAACGAGAAGCAGTATGTAATGCACATAACACAACATATTCTGAATAGCCACTAAGTACAAGGTTTATCCTAAGCACCAGGATTATAAAAATAAGCTCTCTGCCCAAAAGGAGCACGTGGCTGTATTCAAATTAACGACATGGACAAGAAATTTTGGAAACTGGGGCTGTGGTGAGTCTAAAAGAGATAGGACTTTGGCTAGTCCTAAAGGACAGGTAGATTATAAACAGGCTAGAACCATAAATTGCCCATTTTTACAACTTGCTGAGCACCTAAGATTGGTCTCAGGGCAAATACAGATACTCAATAGTTTATCTAACCTCACTACACAAAGATTTGTGGTATCTTACAACAAAAGTGCAGATGATAAAATAATGGCAGAAATAAAGGATCGGGATGGGCTTCTGGGTCAGGGTAGTGAACTAGGCACACATGTACCTCCTGAGTTCCACCGAAATGCCAGCACGTAAGGTCAGGAGGGACCACCACCTACAGCAGCGCCAAGAGCGAGCAGAGCCCCTCCGTAGATCAAACTTCGGAGGAGTTTCTCCCGAGGCCCAGAGTATGGCTCAGGCCGGGGCCTGAGGTGGGGGAGGACAGGGTACCTCCTATGCACGGGAAAGACTGCAGCTGAGGACCCACAAGAATCCCAAGCTCAGAGCCGGCAGGTGCGCCGAGCAGAGGTGCACCGGAAGTGGCTGTAACTGCAGGGGGAAGGCTGCCTTTTGAAGAGCGCCCATCCTCCTCCTCTGCCCTGGCAGAGAGAGGGAGCGGTGCAGTTACCACAAACCTCATCTGTAAGGAAGTTTGTCCACCTGCCTGGAGGCGGCGTGGGGTTCCAGATACGGGTGTTGACCACTAAGAGTATGGCCTTACCCTTGGGCACCGGGGGGTCCCCGCACTGCCTATGTGCTCCTTGCCACGGGCCCTTAAAGTGAAGCCCACGTGTATCGAGCACCCACAGACCTAGCCCTCCCCTGCAAAGGGAGGGTTTTGGTTGAACAGTCTTAGGCACTAGGCGAGAACACATGCCAGCTTCCTATTAATCAGTCGAATTCTGCACTTGTATAAGTATACAAGCACGGATTACTCAATATTAACAAAAGGAAATAACTAATAGCCCCAAGACGAACAAATACTACCAACAATCCTAGAGGCAAAAACCACAATAACCTGGAAATCAGACCGACCTCTAATACAGTCTCAGAAAAAGTCAAGTACATATTGCACCCATTAAAAAAGTTCCAGCTGCTTTTTAAGAACCAGAAAATATTCTTTTTTTAACCTGAAGGTATATTTACTGATTGATTGTTATCATCTTTTTTAAGAGGGAAAGAGAGGTCAGTTGCCCTCCACACCCATCCCAACTGGGGACAGAGCCCACAGCTTTTCTGGTGCCCTGGGGTGATACCCCCTTCAACTGAGCCACCTGGCCAGGGGAGAAAACAAATTAAACATGTAGTTGTTAAAATAAAAAGTAGAAAAGCTGGAAGGGAAGGTCACAGAACTCTAGTCAAAAAGATGAAAAAAATGAAGGAAAAGTTAAAATAATCCATCATCTGTCAAACTAGTTCCAAAATGAAAATAGAAAAAAAATGCAGGGGGGATAAAATGTTACAAATATAGATTCATATTAGAAAATTTCCCAGAGCGAAAAAGATACCAGTCTCCTGATCACAAGATCACACCAACTGCCCAAAACAAATTTAAAGAGGCCTGGGCCCAGACATATCCTCAATAAATTTCAGAAAAACTAGTACAAAGAGAAGATAAAAGCTTATGGAGAGAAATAACAGGTTTCTTACAAACAAATGAGAATTGGATTGGTAGTAACTTTTCATCAATGGCATTTGATGTTGTGAGACATAGGACCAACGCTTTAAAATTCTAAGGAAGATGGAGTATTATTCAGCCTTAAAAAGGAAGAAAATTCTGATATGCTACAGTATGGATGAACCTGGAAATGTTATGTTAGTGAAATAAGCCAGTCACAAAAGGACCAATATTGGATGATTTCACTTATGTAAGAACCACCAAATTCAGAGAAATAAACTAGAACGGCAAGCGCCAGAGGCGGGGGGGGGGGGGGGGGGTGTTTAGCGGGGACAGAGCTTCCGTTTGGGAAGTTCTGGACATGGACGGTGCTGACGGCTGCACAGCGTAAACGCACTTAATGCCGCTGAACTGTCCACTTCAACATGGTTAAAACAGTAAGTTTTATGAACATTTTCCCACAGCTTTAAAAATTAAAAAATTCTGAGGGAACATTATTTTGAACTTGGTATTCAAGAGTAGGGGCAGAATAACAGTATTTTCAGCAAAGCAAGGACACAAAACTTTACTTCCCATATACTGATCTAGCAAATCTTCAATACATGTAATTTCATTAAGAAATCTTTAAGAAAAACCATAACATTATTTTATGTATGATTTTAGTTTAAGGTGGACAGTTTAAATGTTACCCATTTACCCAGGGAAGACAACCAGCAACTTTCACTTACTTTTTGTCATCCTTATGGCAAATGCTAAGTTTAAATTATCCTAACCAACGAAAACAGCCACGGTGGGAAGGGTCTCCATGGGACACTGCCTCCGAGACCCCCTCCTGGGCACCCCTCCCCCCAGAGGCGGGCAGCCTCTGTCCCACCTCTCTCCGCGCCCTCTCCATTCAGCCCTCTGCCTCCACCGTAGCGAGGTCGGTGCCAAATCGTATTCTCTGCCCTCACCTCTCTACGCCTCTCAGTAACCCACTCAACCCAGGTGAAAATTCTCTCCTTGAAATATGTTTGTCTTTCATCCCTGTGACCCCACCTACGTCCCTGTTTTTGTTTCTTTTCCCACCTCACGGCCGCTCCTCCTGCCCATGGCTCTGCCCTTGGACTCTCTCTGGCTCCTCACTTTCTCTCCAGTGGCGGCGGTAATCGCTTCCAGTCATGTGCCTTATACTGCGACCGCTACATCAACAGTCCCCGAAGAGTTCTCACCTCTGAGCCTCAGAGACCATGTAACACCTGTCCTGAATGGGACACAGGCATCTCCAACCTGCCAAAGGAAAACTCCTAACTCCTTCCCACCCCCAAGATGGTCCCCACCTCGCACTCACCACCACCGCCCTCCCAGTTCTTCAGGCCGAAAGGCCAGCAGTCAGCGATCTGGGCTAAATACAACTCTGTTACTTATACTAACTACACGATCTTGGACTAGTTAGGGTTCTTATGAAAATAACAGAAGCACTTAACACACAGTAAACTTACAATTATTATTCTTCCTAACTCCTGATTCCCTAATTCCCATCAGCAAGTCATGTCATCAGTTCTACCATCAAAATGTTTTCAATCTGTCCTCTTGGGTCCATTCCACTATGGCCACCCTCGTCCAAGCCACTCTCACCCCTCCAACTATTAGAGCTGCCTTACTGATTTTCTCTGTTTCTGGTCTTACCCCGATGATATGTTCTCCACATACCAGTCAGTGATTCTTTCAAAATGTATAGCAGATGTAGCTCCCCTGCTTAAAACCCCCCACTTCCTCCCCTTAGGAGCACGACAGGACAACCCAGGTTCCTTACCTTTGTCTCCAGTGTCATACCTCGGTGGTTCACAGACCTAGCCGCACATTAGAACCAGCCATGGGGCTTTAAGAACTACTAATGCTCAGACCCCACCCTCGACCCCGATTAAATCAGAATCTCGAGGGGTGAAGTCCATCAAAGTTTAAAAACCCTCTAGGTGATGCCTGTGTACAGCCAGGGCTGAATACACTGCCCCCGGCCGTCCTTCCAGTCGCCTGTTAGCTCACCGCACACCCACTAACCGGCCCTGCTTTCCCCTGCCGCTCCAGCTCGGTGTTCCTCCCGCCAGAGCGCGCCCCCAGGCCCCCTGCCAGCCGGGGCCTTCCTATCCACCAGTGTCAGCCCAAATATTAGCTCCTATATGAGACTTTCTCTGACAGACAATCTAAAATCCCCACATAGCACCTTCCTTTTTATTGAAGTAACCAAATGTATTCATTTTCTTGTTTATACTGTTTTTCCTTCCCCACTAAAACTTAAGCTCCAGGGGAATATACATGAATTGTCCGTTACTGCCTTCAGCGTACAGATACCAAGCAAAACAGTCAGTGTTCAAGAAATACTTGTTGGATGAATGAATAAACAAACACGCATGGCCCGGAACCAGCTGCCTCAAGGCTGTTTTCCACAGCTTAAGAAAGATATTCATTTCCTTTTGTTTTCAAGGCGATTCCCTCCAGAAGGGCCGGGCCCCAGCACTGCAGCCCAGTTCTGGAAAGGAGCTGAAGGGCAGGGTCTGCGAGCCAGACCTACACATCGCCCCAAACCCTGACCCCAACCATGTACGCTACCTCCCTTTCCTTGTCCTCCCTCTCACTTTTCACCGGAATTGCCAACAAAATCAAATGGATTCAGTTAAATAATATTTAATTGAGTGAAATCTACATGAAGACTGTGGCAAACAGGTTAAGAAAAGTGATTTGGGGGTAATGAACAGGAGAGAAAGCAGAAGAAAAAATCCATCTGCCAGATCACCAACTTTTTTTGGAGTTTTCCTATCTGAAGTTTGACACTTCGAATGATTGCTAAATTGAACATGAAATGCTTCCCAAAGAGATAAACACAAAACAACTTCACGGTTCCCTAGACTATCCCTTACAAGGAAGGACCAATGGTACCGCTTTCCATCCAGAAGTGAAGTACTACCTTTGGGATATCTCCTTTCATACCCGGGGGCAGCCGCAGGATCCAGAAGTTCCGGTTCCGCAGCAGGTTCTCCAGGTTCTCCAGGCGCCTCTGCAGCAGCCCGTACTCCTGCAGCAGGGTCCCCAGCACGGCCCACTTGCCCTCCAGCTGGTTCCCGAGGTCAGCCACTGTCTTTTCACAGCTGGCCAGCTTCTTCTCTGCTGTCCCTGTCCGCCCTTCCAGGTGCAGGAGCCGCCGGCTGTGCACCTCCACCTTTCTCTCTATAGCCTGCACGGCTGCGACTACCGTCCACAGGGAGATGGCTGCGGTCTGCAGGTGCGCCTCATTTGCCGCTGGAGGCGTGGGAAGAGGAAGGGGCTGCAGGGATGTAAGGCATTCGGAGTCCCACTCAGAAGTCTGTGTGCAATGGAGAGATGAGACAAGACATTGAGTGTTAGAAGGAGCCTCAATCTAAACTCCAGGGAGATAAGGGCTGCTTAACTGGGCATCTGAGATTCATCTAAATACAGTTTTAGCAGTGCCTGCACAAGCCTCACGTTCATGGAGCTCATCGGCATCAAAAGCCAAGAGAATGCCTGGTGGGTCAGGGGAGGTTCAGACTAAGACAGTAAGTGGAACTAGATCAAGAACCAATCTGGCATAGTCCCTGGATGCAAGGAACGGCAGCTGGTTGTCCACAGGTTCGGGCCGCTGCTGCCTTCTGTCTGGGGCAAGAGGCCCACACGCCCCAGGAACAGAGGTCCCCGGTTTCAGCCAGCTCAGAGTGCTCTGACAAACCTCTTACCGACCTAAGCTCTGGCCCTGCTTACCAGCCACAACTGTACCATTCAGCCAACAGCTAAGTAAGCTCTGAAGGTTGAGTCTGGAAGGCTATACAACACACGGCAGCAGAGACCTGTGTATTCTCACACTGTGTCACTCCACAGGGCAGAACTAGAACCAACAGGGACTCTTGAGGCAAGCAAACTTTGGCCTATATAAGTAACTCTTGAGCTGGATCTTTGAAGAAAATAATAGGCTGTCCCATCACTCAGTACACATTGAAAGAGTATAAGAAAAAAAGAAATTCCTACAACAAACAGGAGATGAGCCGAGCATTACAAAGACTCCTGACGCTATGGTAACCGGCTCTCTGGCCATGACCTCCCACCTGTCCTGCTCACCCACCTCCTGATGTGCCTTTCACCTGCTCTGTGACCTCACTGAACCCTGGACCTTCCATTTGCTGCTGGTTCACCAGCCTGCCCCAAGCTTGCTTTCCTCCTCAGCTGATCCCTTCAGCCTCCTTCCACCCTGTCTACCTGCCTTGCCCTCTCAGCTCCCCTCCAGGTGTGACTCAGCCTAATCGTTCTCCTTCCCTGTTCCCGTGAGCGGGCTGGTGAGTCACAGGGCCAGGTAAGCTGGTCAACTTCACGCACCAGCAGTCTCTAAGCTCAGCGGGCACTCAGCCCTTCGGGGCCCCCCTGCTGCTTTTCCGGGCCCCTACAGTGGCCGCTACAAGCCCCGGCCCTCTTCAAACTAATGTGCATAAGAATCATCGGGCGATCTCGTTAAAATGCAGACTTTGATTCAGCAGGGCTGGGAGGAAAACTGAGATTCTGCATTTTTAACAAGCTCCCCAGTGATGCCGATGCCGATGCCGATGCCGTGGGGGCAGGGAGCACTCGTTGAGAAGGAAGAGTCCGGCGGCTGCGGCCCTCACGCTCAGACGGCACGGAGGGAAAGTTAGAGTAACCAGACCGAAACCCTCTCGGCTTTCCCTTCATGCCTCAGACTCACTGATAACTTAACCCATGCTTTCTTCTTTCCTTCCCACAGGAAAAAGTTTCAACCTATTTAAAACCAATCTCTCCACTCATGCTCCAAATGCCAACTCCTTCCACATTTTTAGGGACGTGCCTCTCCTTCTTTTCTGGTCAACATTTCAATCCCTTGTGATTCTTCTCCACAAGATCGCCCCGCACTGTTCAATGTGGTAGCCACATGTGGCTACTGAGCACAAACGTGCTTATTCCGATTGACGTGGGCGGTGAGTATGAAATACACACCAGATTTTGAAGACTTAGCATGGCAGACAAATGGGAAATCCGATTAATTTCCTTATTTTGACCACGCGTTGGAATATTCTGTAAACACCAGGTAAAATAAAATAGATCATTACGGTTAATTTCATCCACTTGTTTCCACTTTTTAAGCGTGGCTACTAGAAAACGCCAAGCGACATCGGTGGCTTCCATTACATTTCGGTCGGCCGGGGCGGACTGAGACACCTCCACCTTTTTTGTTTGTTTGTTTGTTTGCTTAAATTTTTAAGATTGGAAAAGGAGTCCAGGGCAGAGATTCCCCTCTGCTCTCTTCCCCACCCCACTGCTACTGCTCCCTCTTCTTCCTGCGCTTTTCCCCCTTTTGCAGTCCCGCCTCAGCAGCCCCGTCTGGCTCCCGACCCACTAAAGCGGCTCTGCTTGGGCAAGTCCAAGACCTAACCTCCAGCCCCACGTCACCGGTCTAGTCCCTGCTCACGCTGGCTGGGTGTCGCGTGCCCGGACTGGGGTGGTCCCCTGCAGCCCCAGGAGCTGGCGGAGGGCTTGGCGCCCACAGGCCCGCAGTCAACACCCGCTGAGTGAATAAACACGTCAAGCAAGCCCGCCCAGGGCACTGACGTCCGGCACTGTCGCGTGCTGGGCCCAGGGGGGTCCCTGTCTCCCCGCAGTGCCTCGATCATGCCTGTCACTGTCACACCGCCTCTGTGGCCGTGCAAGGCTCCGGGGGACCGCACCGAGGGCCATCTCGTGCCCCGAGCTGTCGAACGGTCGAGGAAAACGCCACACCAAGCCCACCGCCTTGCGTCCGGCCGGCGCAAAGCGGCTGGCACCCTGCGCTCGCTGGAACCCTCGGATGCGCTGGGGAGCCCGGGGCCTCGCGCCGAGGGCGGGGCCTCAGGATGCGGGAGGGGACCAGCCCTCCCAGACTCGCGCTGGGCGTCGGGGTCCCACCCAACACCCAGGCCCCTCACCGGCCCGCGGGTCCCGGGCGCGCCGGTGTTCGGTCGCTCGGGCTTCGCCCCGCGCCTGACAGGCCAGGCTTCCCTCTCTCCTCCCCTCCCGCGGGCTCGGGGGGCCACAACCTGTGACGCCCGGACCCCACCGGGCGCTCAGCACTCGGCGCGCGGGCCGCCCTTACCGGAGCCGGGGCCGCCTCGGCCATGGTCCTGCTCTGTCCGGCCCGGTCCGCAGTAGTCGCCGCCGCACGGCCCCACACAGGCGGCACCCGCCCGGCTTGCCTTTCGCGCCCGGGCTCGCGCGGCCGTCGGGCCCGGCTGCTGGGGGCGAGAGGACGCGGCCGAGACAGGGGTGGCCGGCCGGAGGAGGAGCTCGAGTGACGGAGGAGCTCAGCGGCGCTCTGTCCGCAGCGGCCCCTCAGCTGGCGCTTTGTGGGCACCGAGCGCACGCCAGGCACGGCTGCGGCCTAGACGCGCCGCCCGCCCGCCCTCCGCGCAGCGCGCCCCCTGTCGGCCCAGCGGACACGCCCATCCGGCGGCTGGCCTGGCTCGGCTCGCGCGCGGTGGTTGCACTAGGAGATAAGTCTATTGTTTTCTCACACCTAAGAGCGCTCAACAGGTTGCAGCTGAGGGCCCAGCCGCAACCAGGGCTCATCTGGAGAGTGTTTCCTTCCAGAAGGCCAATTAGCAGGCACCACCCGAAGGGAGGCGCTGGGGCGGGAGGCAGCCCAATTCAGAAAGGTAGAACTGAGCGGGTGCTAGTGAGCCTGCGAGCTAGAATGAGTGCCGCAGGCGCCCGTGGCTGTGATGAAGAGGACGTTAGTCATTTGCAGAAGCTGCAAATGTAGCTGCCAAGATGAAGCGGTTCACGTCCCACGTGGTCCGTGTGAGGGCTAAAACTTACCGTACAGTTGTCCTTACAACCCGATCATTGAGGTCGGTTTGCTGGGTCTGTGGACAGGAAAGAAGCTCGTGTTCTCCAGGGAGGTTGTCTGTTTCAGGTTGACAACCACGTTACCCGGAGTTTCCAGCACAGTTCTCATTTCAGACAAGCTGACCATGAATCATAGCCCTCCTAAACCTGTACGTCCACAACTGAATCAAGCCAATGCCCCTAACAAAATACATAAATCGCAAAAGTATGAAAACCATCCTGTTGCAGCACCTGCATGCTAAGCTATTTTTAGACAGTAGCTACACCTGCAGTATGTCAGTTGAGATCTACCTGAATATACGTTTTGGTCAAATGGAATGTGTGGCAATTAACAATTGCAATTCTATGAATCAGACTATCACCATGACAGAATGAACTTGTAAAAATAAGGGAGGGGATCTGAATTTCCTTGGAAAGTTAATTTTTATAATTCTATGATTAAAAAACGTAGGTAGTCGACTGCTGGATACTTCCATGGCCCTTAAACAGGGACATCATTAAATGAGACACTTCCAACTAGTTTCCTGGGCCAGCAAGGCTAGTTCTGCCAGTACACTACTATAATATTTCTACCAGTTTATTAAATGGTCCTTCCCCTAATAGGAACGTATTTAAGGTAAAGGTTTCACTCCTTTTTCAATCTTTGTCTTGAAAATGTTTTGGCTCGTGATGACATTTCACTGAAGCAATTTCACAGACTGAAGTTTTGTGCACTGTTTCAAGAAGATACCTATTTTCAGAAGTAGTTTAAGGTTGTTGTACTCATATTTTGTATTTCCAGCTTCTAATGTTTTTGTCCGTTCTTGCCGCTATACACACTCACTAGAGGGAAAGTTTGTCCCTAACGTTTGGACCTAGAAATGTGACAAGGGAGCAATTTAATTGGGTTTCAAGTTAAAAAAACAATCGAGGTTTTCACCTGCATCTTAGCTTTCCTTGTAGGCACACTGATTGTAGCATCTTCACTGGAATGGAATCAAAGAGAAATCTTTTCAGCAGGAATCATGTAAGCACATCAATTTATTTAGCAAGTTCCTACAAACTGCCCTCTATGAAAGCAACTATTGTTTATTAGTAAGTCTTACTATGCAATGTTCTCTGGAAAACACAAAATTAAGGGTTTTTTGTTGTTGTTGTTGTTCTATAATCCTTTGAAGGATGTAAGAGCTGCTGTTCCATCTTGTTTAAGTATTTTGTATATGTATATGACAAGACAATTTCAAAATCTAGTGTGTATCATATAATGTTGGCGGAAGTGGTCAAAAATCTTTTTGCTTGCAGCCAATCATTTTCTTTTACATTTTTAAAAAGATTTTATTTACTTTAGAGAGGAGAAGGAAGAGAAAGAAGGAGAGAAACCTCAATGTGTGGTTTCCTCTGGCACGCCCTCTACTGCAGACCTGGCGCCAAGCCCAGGCCTGTGCTCTGACTGGGAATCAAACTGGCAACCGTTTCGTTTGCAGGCTGGCACTCAGTCCGCTGAACCATGCCAGCCAGGGCAATTTTTTCTATTACACCTGTTAAAGCTATATCCGTTTCTGAATATAAAACTAAGGCGTATACACAAATTACAGTGTGCTTGTGCTCATAGCCTTCACCGTATTTGGTCCACAGTCAATGGTAATTGTATGCATTTCTCTTCGCTGCTTTTACGTTCCATAAACATTAATTGAAGTCAGCTTCACTCTGTGTGTAGGACCTAGGAAACTTTCATCAAGTAGGTAAAGCAGAAACATGGTTGAATTAATCATTATTCCTCTATGTTGTCAAACCTGAAAAATTGAATTTGATTTTTCATCCAAATGGCATATATACCATTCATTGTGGCAGTGTTATTTAATAATTTCATTAATCTTTTTGTACACACACAGCAAAATATAACTCAGGAAAAAGTTTTTAGAAATAAAGGACATCAGTATACAGAATTCATGGCTTGGGTATCTCAAAAAAATCATTTTTCTTCAACTGCTGAAAATGGCTATCAGTCGATAACAATTATTTCTCCAAGCTTTTAAAACAATTAGCCTTCGCAGATCCCAAACCATGAGGCATTGTCTCATTAAAAGCATTTTTGTAAAGTTAGTTGTTTAAAAAAAAAAATTGTATTTGGGGTGTCTCATTTTATCTAAACTTTCAACTTTTTTTCATGTTCTCTCTATATTTTTAATCATGTTTCAATCAAAGATGATTTATCATACATGTGTTATATAGTATATGAGTATTTTTTCCTTATGAAATTTTGAAGTAGCCATGTTAATGTTCTGCTTTTAATTTGTCCTCCTGATATGTAAAAAATTATGAAATAGGGATTTTCATTTTTGAGATTCACAGACTAAATGGAATTAAATAAATAATTAAACATCAGCTTCTAAAGACTGTTTTACATAGTGTTATGAATGCAATTGTACCAAATAATTCTAGAATTAAGATGTAACATAACCTTTATTGTTTTTCCCTGTGGTAATATTTATGTTTTTATAAACATCTGTAGGCTCAAAAAAGATATAACATTCTTCCTAAAGTTATCTGTATAACATTCTCTCAATACTCACATTAACTGTTCATATATTTATTTAACATTTTGAAAGTTCTCTTTTATGCCACAGAATCAAGACCTTTTGTAATCTTCAATAATTATTGTAGCATTTTACTTTTGCAATGTTAAAAGTACAATCATATACACCTCAACAGGCTGATAGCATTTCAACACATAAAGCCCATCATCAGATTCTGCACTTGAAGTTATCGCTAGAATTTGGAACCCCGAACCCGGAAAGTGGATATCCAGAGAGTAACAGTAACTCTGGGCAACATGCCGTGTTCCTGTGGCCGCAGGTCGATGCTCCGATGGGATACGAAGGAAACCTACCCAGTGGCAGTCATTACGCAAGTTCAGTCTAAGGTGCCAGAAAGGACATGGAGCACTCAGCTGTTCCACGTTGCAGAGGCCAAGGCTGAAGCCACAGCAGAATTTGGCCAAACACGGAGCTGGAAGCCCAAGGCCAATCTAGGCGAACGCAGTTCTCATCTAGGCGACTCTGCACACCGGGCAGCCGGGCAGTGACCGTGATTGTAGATGAAAATTTCTACGTGGTTACGGTCCACCTGGGCTGAAAGTATGCATGTTATTTTTAAATTTTTAAAAGTTTTATATTTATGTGATGTACATAGGTTGAAATCATTGTGTATTTTACCAGCAATGGCCACTGAAACTCAGAGATGGACACATTTACCTTTTCTTTTTGTCTGTCTCCAGTAACATTTATTATTCTCTTCCTGTGCTTCGCTTCACACATCCCTTGGCCTCAGATTTTCCTCTTTTTCTGTCTGCCCTGAAGTCTCTTTGGCTCTCTTTTCTGAAGCCTTATTACTCTCTTGGCCTGACCTTGGTTCTACTTGATGTCCCTGCAAAGTATTCAGCATAAAGCCAGCATACTAGGCAAAAATCATAGAGCATCAAAATTACCTTGAACATCCCTTCACTTGCTCCTAAAGTACAGCGCCTGTGGTTTTGTCCAACTCTGTACGGCAATTCTTAGACACAGCATTGCTTTAGGTATGGAAAATAAAGTTGCAAGGGTCCAGCTGATGGCAGATGGTGGAGGCAACATGCAAACATACGTCTTTCCCAGCGTGAAACTCAGGCTCTGCCCACTGCAGCTTGCTTCCTGGTGGTTAGGGCTTCCTGAAGGGAGCCAGAAAGCACCCCGGGGATCCTGGAGGCATTTAAAGTTGGGCCAGGAAGACCTAAAGCTTGGGGCAAGGTTCTTGTGCGGCCACATAGGGAAACGCCTTCCTTACCTGTGCAGAACACGGGGGCTGCCCTGGTGGTCGGGGGGAGGGTTAGGGAGCCAAGCTGGATCTTACAAAAATAGCTGCCTCTCTCCCGATGGAGGATTCCTTCTCTTCTGAAAGTGGGGCAGGCACACGCGTGGGACGGCTGCCATTTTCCCACCAGGTGTGTAGCTCACGGTGGGGTCTTTGAGGTGCCCACCTTCACAATAGCATGTGAGTGTCCAGTAAAAGGAATGATAAACCCAGAAACTTAACTAGGATGAAAACTGTAATTACTCAAGAAACCCCCCCCGCCTAGCAATTCCACTTCTGGGACTATATCCAGAGAAACCTGAAACATCAGTTCTAAAGGATATATGCCCATATATACACCCCTATGTTCATTGCAGCATTATTTACAATCGCCAAGATATGGAAGCAATCCAAGCATCCACCAACAGATGAGTGAATAAAAAGCTGTGATACATGTACACGATAGAGTACCACTCAGCCACAAAAAAGGAATGAAACCTTACCTTTTACAACAGCGTGGGTGGAACTGGAGGGTGTTTTGCTCAGTGAAAGAAGTCAGACAAAGACAAATCTAAAGAACAAAATTAAGAAAGAAAGAAAATAGGAACAGAGTCATAGATGCAGAGAACAGACTGACAGGTGACAGGAG